TAACCTTCAATGGCAATTTTGCACCTTAATTCAATACATACCAAATCAGTACACTATCTATTCAATAAAGTAAAAATATGAATGGCAAAGAGTCTTGAACCGAACGGGAATTGAACCCGCCGAGGATCGGAATCCTTCTGCTTACCAGCCAGACGCTTTACCACTGAGCTAGCGGTGCCTTCTTTGCCCAGGAAAAATTAGGAAACACAAGGAAGAGAGAGGGGGAAATACTGTTTTGGAAATAAGCTAGGGAATCTGCTTGATCTTCTCCATCTTCTCCAAAATCCAAATCCTTGGCCAATCAATCGAATCTCATTGTATGAATTGCACGGATTGTATGTGCATTCATTCAAAAGAGAAACAGAGAAAACTCTACAGAGAATCTATAGTATTTGAGAGGGGGGAAAAAGAGAAAGAAAGGACAGGCCCGAGCAAAGCAAAGCCATCGACCAAATATGCACACGCATCGATGCACAAAAACCGTTCTCTTCTCTCGTTTTTCTCTCTTTCTTTTCTTTCTCTTTTCCCTTTTTCCTCATCCAATAGCATTCATGTATTGATTTTACTCTCAACCAACAAGTTACAGAGCGTCTATTTTGAGAAAAGTTTTTGATTAGCTGTTGTTTTCAATGAATCGGCTTTTTTTTTGTTTATCCTCTTTGAAATGTTGTAGAACGCAATGAAATTCTTAAATAAAAATGTCAAAAAATTGTTTAAGTTAGAAATTTAACACATTCACGACGATACGGCCTATCGACGATACTGTCGCGACGAATACAGTAGTACGGCGAATACGACGAGTCGTCTTATACTACTGTATTCGTCGTTTTTTCCTTTTCATTTCATTTTCATTCCAACATTCGCTTTCATTCCAACATTGTTTTTTGAATGTTTACTGTTATTTTGTTTGTTTGTTTACTCTCACTTTACACATCTTTTTCCATTCGACGTAGACATTCGACGTATCTTTTTCCATTTCGGGTGTCCTCCGCCTTGTCCCCTTTTTGTCCCCCTGGCAGTTTTTTCAACTTTTTCAACTTTTTAACATTTAGCAAGAATGCTAAATGCAAAATGGCACAAAACCTCTTAAGAACATCCATCGATTGCAATGGACACCAAACTCATCGATTCGAACTCGCGTTTAAGCTAAACAAAAGCAATAAGTGACAAATAAAGCTGCACCACCTTTTTCTTCTCATCCGTTGCCATGTTTGAAAAATTTGGCGCAAAATGTTAAAAAAAACGACTAAGATGACTTACTCCCACGGGAAGCAAGCAGGGGGACAAAAGGGGGACAGAGGGGGGACAAAAAGGCGGACAAGGGGGGACACCCGAAATGTATAATTCGACGATCTTTTCTCCTTTTTAACGATTTTATCAAGATTTTTGTCTCTGTTTTTTCGTTTTTAACATTTTCCACCCGAAATAGCTCATATTTCAATCGTGAGCCGAAATTCGACCAAAACAAATTTGACTACTTTACGTAAAAAATTTTCAAGACAAGTTTCCTTTCAAAGTTTTCGCTAATTCGATTATCTTTTCCGTTAAAAGGTCAACTCTTATTGCTTTATAACTTTTAAAAACTATTTTTCCATAATTCAATATTTACGTAAAGCTTTCTCGAAAAATCGGCATTCTTCGCTTTACCGAGATGTCAAAAAGCATCAATATTTTTTGCGCTCCATTGCTTTTTTTTGGGTGAATGTGAAGAGGACAAAAGAAAAAAGAAAAATGGATTGGGAGAAATTCTATGTTTCAATGTTTCAAATGTTTTTGCTAGGGTTTTTAAAAGAAAAGATCAAAGAGGCGAAAAATGAACGTCAATTAGCTCAATTTCATGTTTTCCGTTGTTGTGTTCGGCCTTGGCTCGGGGAAAATTTATGTCTTTCTTTTGCTTTTTAGCAAAAACAAATCTTTTGCTTTGTTTTAAAATATAAATAAATTTTGCCTCAATTGAAAGTTGCCTCAATTGCAAGTTGCCTCATTTTCTAGGATAATTTTAAACTGATTCTAAAAGTTCTCTTTTTAAAGTTCTAAAAGTTTTCCTATTTATCTTGAAACTTTTATCATCGATTTCTTTTCCACTTTCAAAATTCGCTCGTTCTGTTCATGCTAAAATCGTCGGAGCGGCAATGCGATCAAAAGCGGATCGCTCCAAAAAAGGAAATGCGAATTCACATCACTCCTCTCTCTTATTTTCTCCTTTCTTTTCCCTTTCTTTTCCCTTTTTTTCTTTCTTTTTTCACCGATTTTTCAATCATTATTTCAATGGGACCTATCCTATTTGTGCAGCCTTTGTACAATTCGATCTTTTCCCCTCTTTTCCCTCTTTTCCCTTTCTTTTTCTCTTTTTTCTCCTCGTTCACCCGATTGACAAAAAGTAGTCCGTAAACTGCTTTCTAACTGCCTACTATTTCGTTAAGTTCTAAGCAAAAAAATTAGTAGTATTTTGTTTATTTGTCATAATTTTGTTTTTATTGAAGATACGTTGGAAGATTAGTAATATCCAAGTAAAGTAATATCCAAGTAAAGCATCCAATCTTAACTTCATAACATTTTCTCGTCTTCATTTTTTCATCAACTATTATTTTTCAATGTTTTACTCATCTCAAAATTTCAGAAAGCATTGCCGTTTTCTTCTAAAAGCGGCGCCTCGTGGCCCTCAAGAAATATCAAAAACAAATCTTCAATTCCAACATCAGGGCACTCGGTTAAGAATCTTGGTGAGTTCTTATTGTAATAGTATACTTTTAGATTAGATTAGATTCATTTATTTTCAAGATTCATGAGTTTAGATTCATTTAGATTCAAGGGCTCTTATAGGATTTGAAAATTTCCGGGTATTTTCTGGATCGTCACGCTTTGAAGCCCCATAACTTTATCCAGAGATAATATTATTGCTAACTTTTTATATCATTCTATAGAGAAAATTTCAGGCTTTCAAATGACACAAAATATAGTTTGATTGGATAATTCAGTCCAGTAAAATCAAAGCCAATCCTGAAAATGAGACCGATCCAACTCTGGTGCGTGTCGGCTGGTTTGCATGGGAATGAATTATCCAATCAAACTATATTTTGTGTCATTTGAAAGCCTGAAATGTTCTCCAAAGAATGATATAAAAATTTGGCAATAATATTATCTCTGGATAAAGTTATGGGGCTTCAAAGCGTGACAACTTATTCAAAATAGTCGAGCAGATTCAAGTTATTCTAAAGTATTGTTAGATGTATCATTTATCGATCTATCATCAAAATTTCTTTTCCAGATTCACTTCCACCGCTTCTGACTTTCGACAGAATTTTCCTTTTTTCATCAGATCGATTAGCCGAAATCTTCTTTTGAGAGAGGAAAAATGACGACAGACATCGCGGTTCGTGGTCCGCACGACTATGGAAACAACCAGGCATGCCATATCCAACCAATCCAGTTCAATCAATCCCATAAACCTGACCATTTTTGAGAAAATTCTTGATGTTGTCACTAGGCAATAGTTTGATTCTAGACTTAAAAGACAATAGTGATTATTGTGAAAATAGTGTTTATTGGAGTGAAAAGAGTCATAGTGATAGTCAGTGATAGTCAGTATAAAAAAGCAATCTAACGACCGTAAATACTGTAATAGTACCCCACCCCCCTCGTACAGTCGCGTAGTCGCAAAAGTTTTTTAGTATTTCTTTTTTTTCAAAGCGCCCGTACTTTCAAAAATGCGTGTTTAGTATCAAAAAATAGCTGAAATTCAGGGCTATTTTTTGATACCTAAGCGAGCATTGTAGCATAAACCAGTGTCGAGAAAAACTCGTTCAAAGCTAGACTACGCAACACTCCACACCGTCATTATGAAAATGGGGTACTATTACAGTATTTACGGTAACTATTTTTTTTAATTTAATCTACGATTTATACAAAGATAAGATTCAAAAGAATTGTAATAAGCAATCGAACATTTTAAAGGTCAATTTTGTGAATCTGTGGTTGATATAAAATGAAATCGTGCCGTCCTTCACCCTAAAAATAATCAAGTTTTGTGTGCTCTCTTTGTCACAAAAATTTACCCTTTAAATTTTGGTTAACCATTCTTTTGGAGTTTTTTTTTTTTTGTAAAGAGTGTGAGTGATTTAGATTTATGTACAATTTTTTTCCGAACACCACGAACTTTCAGGAAGACGAATACGACGAGAACAGCTCGGCGCGACTCTTCGAACGCAGTCGAATCAAGGCGCTTGCTGGTTTGTTCAATCATTTTCTATAGAATATATATTGAGTGAAAAAAAAGACGTGTTTTATAGTCAATATGACAAAAGAATTATAGTATTTTCGAAGATTTATATAAAATTTATATAAACTTTATATAAACATTGTATAATCTGGGTAAATCTGCTTGAATAGCAGCTTCTCAAATGATCAATGACGCTCGAAGAGTCATCCCTTTCTCTCGAAATCCCTCATGGAATACAGAGAAATGTTTTGAAGGGACAAGAGACAAGACAAGAGAGAAAAGACAAGATAGAAAAGACAAGAGAGAAAAGGACAAGAGAAAGATTTGAATCTACTAGAATAAATTAAGAGAATTAGAAGAGAAAATGTGGAGTTTCTTTTCTGAAAGGATCAATTCCTTGTTCTACTTTTCTCTCTTTAAATTCTCCAGCCAAATTTGTCACGCAATGTTTCTTTCCTTTTTTTAATCATCCAAAAGCTTTCAAATTCTTCAAATTGGATTTGTGGATTTGTTTTGAAAATTATTAAAAGAAACAAGAGAAACAAGAGAAAATTATCGAAAAAAATCTTCTCAGCTCGATAAATGTCAAATTTTCTCTCAGAATTTTCAAATGACAACAGAATTCCAAACAAATAACAACAGGAAAATGACCTAAAGAATGGGAATGATAAGAAAATCTTTCCGAAAAAAAAGAATTGTGGAGGCGTCAAGAGAGAAATCGATTCTGATAACACAGAAAGAGTCATTGCTGAGATTCAAATTTTGCCTGTTTCCCTAACAAATGTCCGAATCGACAAATGCTGATATCACATTGGATGAGGTGTCTGAATCGACTTCAAACACTCAATCGGAACTTTTGAAAACCCCGGCTCCATTAGGAGATTTGGCTAATCGATCGCCTCAAGAAACTCCCGTCACTCGCTTCAAAAGACCCACAAATATCGATATTCGGTACTATGTAGCGCTAAAAGGTGATCAAATATCACCAACATCGGAAATAATCGATGAATTTAATGGAGAAACATTGGTGGTAATGAGAAGTCCAATGAGGACGCCAAGTCCCGGGTATTTAATGGAAATGAATGGAGAAAGAGAAATCTATTCTGAGAAAACACCGAATAAAGAATTCTCGGGAATCGATTTGAGATTTCGACAGTTGAAAGGTTTTTTTAAAAAACTTTATAAAGTCAGATTTTAGAAAAATAACGATAAAAATTTCTAGACGAACGTGAGAACGTGCAAAAGAAAACGTTCACGAAATGGGTGAACTCACATCTGATTCGAGTCAATTGCAAAGTTCAGGTAAAATTAAAGATCCTTTCTGTTTACAGTGAGATTTAGAAATTTGAAATTGAAATCAAATTATTGTTATTATTATTATCAATATTTTTAGGATCTTTATGCCGACATGAGAGACGGAAAAAATCTGCTTCGTCTTCTCGAAGTGCTTTCCGGGGAACGCCTGGTAGGAAAAGTTTCGAAATTTTATAGAAAATCATCCCAACAATAGAAAACATAAAAGAAAGATATATAGATTTTTCTGGTTCGATTATTTCGATTTTTTATTTAAATTTTTGTTTTAAGTTGTATTTAAGTATGTTATCGTTTTTTTAAATCTCAAATATTTTAGCCGAAGCCGACCCGGGGCAAAATGCGCATTCATTGCCTGGAGAATGTCGACAAGGGATTGCAATTTCTTAGGTGAACATTGATTTAAATATAGTTTTGTATAGATTAATGATAATGGATTATTGATAATGGATTAATGATAATAGGTTATTGATAATAGATTAATGATAATAGATTAATGATAATAGATTAATGATAATAGATTAATGATAATAGATTATTGATAATAGATTAATGATAATAGGTTATTGATAATAGATTAATGATAATAGGTTATTGATAATAGATTAATGATAATAGGTTATTGATAATAGATTAATGATAATAGATTAATGATAATAGGTTATTGATAATAGATTAATGATAATAGGTTATTGATAATAGATTAATGATAATAGATTAATGATAATAGGTTATTGATAATAGATTAATGATAATAGGTTATTGATAATAGATTAATGATAATAGATTAATGATAATAGGTTATTGATAATAGATTAATGATAATAGGTTATTGATAATAGATTAATGATAATAGATTAATGATAATAGGTTATTGATAATAGATTAATGATAATAGATTAATGATAATAGATTAATGATAATAGATTATTGATAATAGATTATGATAATAGATTAATGATAATAGGTTATTGATAATAGATTAATGTGGTAGTATAGTTGATAATAGATTATGATAATAGTTGTATAGATTATGTAATAGATTATTGATATAGTTTATGAGTTAATGTTAGGTTTTGTATAGTTGTTAGTTAATGATAATAGGTTATTAATCATAGATTATTGAGCATAGATTATTGAGCATAGATTATTGAGCATAGATTATTGAGCATAGATTATTGATAGATTTTCTTTGTTTTCAGAGATCAACACGTGCACCTCGAGAACTTGGGCTCACATGATATTGTGGACGGAAATCCGCGATTGACTTTGGGTCTCATTTGGACGATCATTTTGAGATTCCAGGTAACAATTAGAAATTCGAACCACTTCCCAGCTTTCATAATCGAAAAATCATCATGATTTTAGATCCAAGACATCACTTTCGAGGACGCGGACAATCACGAGACTCGTAGCGCTAAAGAAGCGCTCTTGTTGTGGTGTCAGATGAAAACAGCTGGCTATCCAAATGTCAATGTTCGCAACTTTACCACCAGGTGAGATTAACGAGAATGCATTAAACCCGAATTTTAGTTGGCGTGACGGTCTTGCTTTTAATGCTCTCATTCACAAACATCGAGCCGATCTTATCGAATATGATTCACTTCAAAAATCGAATGCTCTCTACAATTTGGCGAATGCTTTTGACACGGCCGAGCAACAGCTTGGACTCAACAAATTCCTCGATCCTGAAGGTTAGTTTTTTCATTTTTTTTTCACTGAAATTTCATTTTTTCAGATGTGAATGTTGATATGCCTGATGAGAAATCGATTATCACCTATGTTGTCACCTATTATCATTATTTCAACAAAATGAAACAAGAAACAATTCAAGGGAAACGAATTGGAAAGGTTTGATGCTAAAAAATACACAAAAAAAGCTAAATAAAAGTGTTTAGGTTGTGAATGAGTTGATGGAGAATGAGAAAATGATCAACAAATATGAAATGGACAGCTCGGATTTGTTGGAATGGATTACGAGAAAGATCTCCGAGTTGAATGATCGGTTGGTTTAAATGAAATACTTGTGTTGAGCATCAAATTTTAGTCGCTTTGAGAATTCGCTTGACGGAGTGCAACAGCAATTAACCGATTTCAACAACTATCGAACGACTGAGAAACCGCCAAAGTATACAATTTGAAGATTAAGATTAAGATTCCTAATTTGAAGATTTTCAAGAGACAAAATTTTCATTTTTTAGATTTGATCAAAAGGGTGAACTCGAAGTGTTAATGTTCGCTCTTCAATCAGCGATGAGAGCCAATAATCAACGAGCATTTCATCCAAGAGAAGGAAGAAAATTGCAAGATATCAATAAGGTAAAAGAATTCATTGATTGATTGAATATCTTTAGAAAAATTTGCATTGAAGAACTTGAGTGAATAAATTGCATTTTCTTCTCTTTCTTCCTTTCCTTCATTCCCGTACTTTCTCTCTCTTGTCATTTCTATTTCTTCTTGGGAAAATAAGGCGTCAATAGCTCAGTGGTAGAGCTCAGCAAGCAGAAACCTTCTGCTCGGTCGAGGCTTCGATACTTTAATATTTGCTTTACTTACTTCATTACTTACTTTACTTTAATTTCTAGGCATGGGAAGCTCTCGAAAAAGCCGAACACGAGAGGGAACTTGCTTTGAAAGAAGAGATCATTCGACAAGAGAAATTAGAGCAACTTGCACAACGGTTTGTTACGATTATTAACTCCTAAATTTAAATTAAATTCAAATAAGATTAAAAATCTAAATCAACTCCATTTTTATAAAACTATTCAGCTTCAACCGTAAAGCTGGAATGCGTGAAGCGTGGCTCACCGAGAATCAACGTCTTGTTTCGCAAGATAACTTTGGAACCGATTTGGCGAGTGTCGAGGTAAGAAAATAGCTAAACCTCAATGTTGAGTAAATAAATAAAATAATGATTATATAGAGTTACTAAAGCTTATATAAATAAACATATAAACAAGCTCTATATAAACACTTTTTAGGCAGCCACAAAGAAACACGAAGCAATCGAGACGGATATTTACGCCTACGAGGAAAGAGTGCAAGCTGTCATCGCTGTGGCTGGTTAGTTTCAGGAATCAGCTTGACTTTTAATTCATTTTATGATACTTTTCCTTTCAGGTGAACTCGAATCAGAGAACTATCATGGAATCACTGAGATCAATGAGAGAAAAGACACCGTTCTTCGTCTTTGGAACAAGCTTGTTCAGGTGAGGAATTGAGCCAATAGAATTCTGCTTATTATCAAGAGCTTTTTTTTTTTTGCTATATTCTATTCTTTCATTTCAGCTTCTTCTCGCTCGCCGTGTTCGTCTCGAATTATCGATGGCCATTCAAAAAGTTTTCCACAATATGTTACTCACTTTGGATCTGATGAACGATTGCAAGGTGAGAAATAGAGAATTTGGTATTTCTATCTTTTCCCCGTATTCTAATTTGCATCATCCGTATTTTCTCCCCGTCATTAACTTCAAAAATCTCCAAATACCAGCTTTATAATAATTTTCGGTCTATTTACTCTAATTATCAGGCACAGCTAGAACAGAAAACAAATCTAGCATTGTGAATTTTCTATTTGTAGAGTAATATTGCCACAGCAGTGGCAGGAAAACTGCAGACATGCAAATTAGCATTTATCTTTTCGACTGGTGGGGGAAAGATACGGAAGTATCGAAAAATTGAAAATTTAGCAATTCAGATTCTCAAAATAATTTTCAGAATCGTCTTCTCTCCGAAGATATTGGTGGACATTTGATGGGAGTCGAAGAGCTTTTACAGAAACATGAGCACACTGAGAGTGAATTGAAGACAATTGGAGAACGAGTACAGGTGTGGAACTGGGCAATGAGCTTAAAACTATAGCTAAAACTTTCTTTAGAATGCGATCGCTGCTGCAGAGAAATTCCGTGACCCAAGCGGAGCTGCCGGCTCGGGATACAAGCCGGTGGAATCAGAAGTGGTCGACGAGAGAATCACCATCCTACAAGATCGGTTCGTTTTCCCACAAAGCATTTTAATATCTACTACCAGCGGAAAACGCTTATTTCGTTCGCGTTTTTTGGCTGGGGAACCCATTCGGACCCCTTAGGGCCCTTTACACTCCTTCGGGACGGTTTCGGGGAATGCACATAGTTTAAAAGGCCTATATACAATAGAAAAAGAGAAGACAAAGTGAAAGGGAACGCAAAAAGAAACAGAGAACAAAATTGTTTTGATGGGGCGCACAAAACGACTTTTTAGCACAAAACTTTCTTTCAAATGACTAAAACTGCCGTAACCCATGTTAAGCGCGGCCCTTTTTTATAAATGGACCTAAAAGTCAGATTCCCAATAGCCAAAAACCCCGGAAGTAAAATATTGCATTCAAAAGCTGAATACTTTGCCTTTTACCCGATAGAGCAAACGTAATTCGCGAACGTAGAGTTTACGCACAGACAGACGGACAGACGTCCCTTCTGCTTTATATATAATTGATATATAAAAGAGCAGTGTTTGTCCGTCCGTCCGTCCGTCTGCACAAACATTTTCTCGGCCGTATTTTGACAAATAAAGCTAAAACTTTTTTAGAAAACCTTAGAAGATATTGTAGTTGTGCCATTTAAAACAAAAATTAAAGAAGTCAAAATTGAGTGACACTACGAGGGTCGAACCCGGGCTGTCTGGCCTGTAGACCAGCGCACTCTCGACTGCGCCACGGTGACTCGAAACACCCAACCAGAAAAACCCGTGATTAGGCGGGTTTTTCGGCTGGTTCCTCAATAACAACACTTTGCCAATAATTCCTTTCAGTTATCAAGAACTTCTTGATTTGGCGGCTCAACGCAAACACCGTCTCGAGGACAACAAAAAACTTTGCCAATTCTGGTGGGATTTGGCCGAATTGGAGCAGAACTTCAAAGAACAAGAACAAGTAGGGAAAATTTACAAAAACAAGAAATCAATATTTGATTCCAGGTCCTCGGCTCAACCGATACAGGAAGAGATATTGTCACCTCGTCTCATCTCTTGGCGAAACACAAAAATGCCGAGAATAATTTAGAAGATCTTGGAAAAACCCTCGACGAATTGGATGTTCAAGGAGGACAATTGCAGAGAGAAGAAATTCCTGGTAGAAGTTTATCAAAAAATTTTTACACTCAAATTTCAGGATCGGAAAATATTCCTCCCCGTCTTGCCGATGCTCGAGATTATTACAACAAATTGAGAGAATTGGCGTCTACGAGGAGACAACGATTGGCCGGTGGAGTCGATTATTATCAGGTAAATTAGAAAATATGACTAATTTTTAACACACATTTGTTTTAGTTCTTCACTGATGCCGATGATGTGGATGCTCATCTTTTGGATACACTTCGTGTTGTTTCTTCGGATGATGTTGGAAGAGATGAAAGCACGGCGAAACTCTTGCTACAGTAAGTGATTCTTTGGAAAAACCCTGTACAATATAGCAGCCAATATTGCAATATCAACATTTTTCAGAAAACATGACACTGTGGATCGAGATCTTGACAAATTCGATGAGCACATCAAACAACTACATGAAAAGGTTTGATTATTGCTTATGATTATGAAAACAATAGGGCTGAGTGCCTTTTAAATGAACAGTCAAGCTTTAAAGGTTTATAACTTTAAAAGAGAAGCATAAACTCAGCTCAAGAGTGTATAGCGAAAACTTTGATGCCAGAAATCTCGCGTTTGCGAGCTATTCAGCAGATTTTGATTACAGATTCGGATTCTCCGTTCGATTTTCTATCGGATGGGCTAGGTCTCGTTTCGAAAACGCACAGTGACCTAGTACTTTTCTCTAGTTAGAAATAATCTGTGCATTTACTTTTTATATTTTTCAAAAGAAAACATTTCAAGCTTTCTAATGAGACCAAAAAGAAATAAATCAGATGAATTAGTCTTAAGAAAATCAAAACCGAACCTGTGTTAGTTATTTGATTTCCTCAAGACCAATAGTTCCAATTGAAGTTTTTTTTTCTCAATAGAAAGCCTGAAATGTTTTCTTTTGAAAAATATATAAAGTTAATGCATATATGATTTCAAAGGAAATTTATAAACCATTGAAGCTTGACTGTCAATTCAAAAGCCTTTCACTTAAACTTTCAAAAGTCACCTAAACCATACGAGAGCCAAACAATGTCATGAGGAAAAATGACACGTATTTGAATTGAAAACAAAAGACTATTTTCAGGCTGAAGCTCTCCCAGTTGAGGCTCGAGAACATCCAGATATCAAAGAAAGATTGGACACGACTTTGAAGAGAAAAGCCGAATTGGAAGCATTGGCTCAATTGAGAAGACAAAGGTTGGAAATAGAAATGAATTCTAATACTCGAAGCCAATGATTTCAGATTGATTGATGCCCTTTCTCTCTACAAACTTTATGCCGACGCAGACGCGGTTGAGGCATGGATTGATGAGAAAGGGAAACTCTTGGCCACCTTGATCCCTAGTCAAGATCTCGAGGAAGTCGAAATCATGAAACATCGTTTCGATACACTCGAACATGATATGAAGAATCAAGAACAGAAGGTAAACAATGAATTACATCTTTAAATATGTACTTAACACATGGTATTTTGAGCGTACAATTGCGTAGTCTAACTTCTTTTTAGAAAACCATTTTTATCTCAGTTCCTAAATTTTTCCCAACTACACTTTTGGTATCAAAAAATACTATATTTCAAGGGCTATCATTTGACATCAAAGCGCACACCGTAGCTTAAAGCAGCGCGGAGCACGGAACGTTCAAAGTTAGACTACGCGACTGTACGCTCATCATTATGAGGATGGCGTTCTACATTCTGGATTAGAATGTTTACCGTAGTATAGTCATTCGATAGCCCTGAATCTCCTCTTGAAAACTAGTATAAAGTTATCCAAAATATCTGCGAAATAAATAACAAAATCCTTAAAAACTTGAGTTGACACCAAAAAAAATCCCAAAACAAATTTTCAAACCATTGGGACCGAACCCGTGACTAGTATTAAACCCACCCGACTGGGATACAAGACTTTTAACGACTCGGCCATGGCGGAATACTGGCCGAAGGCAAACAAATCTCCTTTTTTAGGTGGGAACTGTGAATGAGCTGGCTCGTCAACTTCTCCATGTTGAACATCCAAATTCCGATGAAATTCTCTTGAGACAAAATCGGTAAGAAAATAAAAAATAACTTTACAAAGTTTATTTTTCAGTTTAAACGCTCGTTGGGCCCAACTTCGTGATATGGTTGATCAAAAAAGAGCCGAATTAGAAAAAGCTCATCGATTGGAAACTTTCCGAATTGATTGTCAAGAAACGGTGACATGGATTGAGGATAAGGTTGGAAATCGATTTGGATTTGAACATAAAAAAATTTGTTTAGACTCGGATCCTCGAAGATTCCGATACGCTCACCAACGATCTTTCGGGAGTGATGAAATTGCAGAGAAGGTACGGGTAAAAAATGAAGAATTAAAGATTCAAATAGTTAAAAACTATTCGAATTTAGATTGTCATTGATGGAAAGAGATCTTGGAGCAATTCAAGCAAAACTTGATGCTCTTCACAAAGAAGCTGATGAAATACAGAAAGAGAAACCCGACGAGGCGACGGCTATCAGAGAAGATATCAAGAGAATCCATCAAGTGTGGGATCTTCTCAACAAAAAGGTTTCTTTCTGTTCCTTGATTTTTAACGAAAAGCCCATATTTAGGTCCGTGAACATGAGGCTAAATTGGATGAAGCCGGTGATCTTCAACGTTTCCTTCGCGATCTCGATCATTTCCAAGCATGGCTCACTGCCACACAAAGACAAGTTTGTTTTTTTAAGCTAATAAATGAAAAACTATTAGTTAAGCTAATAAATAATATATATTAGGCTGCCCAGAAAGTCTTTCTGAATAACCTAATAGCCTTGAAGCTTTCTCAAAATACTTTTGTAAATTAAAACTTACAGGTTGCCAGCGAAGATGAACCCCAATCACTTGTCGAAGCTGAAGAACTCCTTGAGCAACACGATGCAATCAAGAAGGAAATCGATGGCTATGCTGAGGATTACAAGAAAATGCGAGCAATGGGCGATCGTGTGACACAAGATCAAACTGATCCACAATATATGTTCTTGAGACAAAGATTGGCTGGCTTACAAGAAGGATGGGAGGAATTGCAACGAATGTGGGACAATCGATTCCTTCTTCTTTCACAAGGAATGGACTATCAAATGTTCCTCAAAGAAGCTAAACACGCTGAAGTGCTTCTCTCACAACAAGAAAACTTCTTGGCAAAAGATGAGGCGCCGACAAGCCTTGAACAAGCTGAGAATATGATTAGAAGACATCAAGATTTCATGACAACAATGACAGCAAATGATGAGAAATTGGATCCATTGATCTCTTTTGGAAATCAATTGGCGGGAAGTGGACATTATGCAGCGGATAAAATACATAAAAAGACATCAAATATTGGTGAAAGAAGAGAGGCGAATCGAGAAAAAGCAAAAGCAAGACTACAGAAATTGAATGATGCATTGGGATTGCAACAATTCTTGTCAGATTGTGAAGAGCTTCGAGAATGGATTGAGGAGAAGATGATTCGAGCACAAGATGAAACGTACAGGTGAGAGATTGGGAATAGGACACAACTATGACAAAAGGTCTATTATTTCTCTATAAAATTGCTTTTGAGAGAAAGCTCAAAGCTCTCCTCAACTTGGTAAAAACGCATTTTTATGTCAAATTTTCAATTACTGTTCTAAAGAAAATGGTTTGACGGATCGTTTTCAAATTTCACAGGCTTATTTAATCAAATAGGCTTTATCTTTTTTACTTTAGCACCAAAATAGGTTTGTATTGAATAAGCTTGGCATTGTAGCAGTTTTTGGTGCTCGCCTTTGAAAATCCACAAAAATAAATACTTTCAAGAATTTCTCAGAAGCCATTTTGCAGAGAAACAATTAACCTTTTTAATAGTTTAAATAGAAATTTTGTTGGTTTGCGGCATTACTTTTAAAGAACGTTTGGAAAAAAATTGTAAAGACATCAACCTAATCCATCTCTAATTCTGGGCAAACAAAAACAAAACCAAAAAAAACAAAAACATAATTTTCAAAATTAAAAAAAACATTTTCAGAGACGCCAAAACGATCACGAAGAAATACACTCGTCACAAAGCTTTCGAGTCGGAATTGGCGGCGAATAAAGAACGATTGGATAAACTTCGACATGCGGCAATCACTCTACAAGAGGATAAACCTGAGTAAGAATTTTATTGGAAAATTGTTGACGTTTCAGTTGATAAATGTTTTGGTTTTCAGATTTGTTGGCTCAATCGATCCACAAATTATGGACCTTTCCTCACAATGGCATCAACTCGAGAAAGCGACCGAAGAAAAGGGACAAAAACTCTTTGATGCGAACAAACAACAATTATATGTGCAGAGTATTGCTGACATGAAGGTGAGGAATTCAGTGGAATGTTGGATTTTTCGAAACAAATCAATCATTAACTCTTTAATCAAATAAATTCAGGAGTTCGCTGAGCAACTTGAGGCTGAAATGGTGAAACCAGAACAACATGGACCAGGAGATTTGACAACAGTGAATGTAGCCATGCAAAAACAACAATTGATCGAGAGTGAGGTGAGGAAAATGGAAAAAAAACTATTGTGAAATCAAGAAAAATCAAGCAAAATTTGTCGCAAAATGTAGAACAATGAATCATTGTTAAAAGAAGAGACAAAATATTGAGTTTTTGAAAAAATGTTCTTGTATAGCATGAATATTATGTGAATAAGTTTAGTTGGTCAAACGAGCCGCACAAATCGATCAATTGGCACAAATTGAGCCTGAATTGGAGGATATGATTCCAGATCAATTAGAGGATATCAAAGCTCATCGATTGGCCGTACAAGAACAATTGCAAAGGTGAGGAAAAGAAAGGACAAGTTTGTGATCGATCTTGATTAACATATCTTGATAGTTTTATTAATCTTGATTAACAAATTCATTTGTATATTTGAAACTTTTTAGACTGCAAGCTCCACTCGATGATCGTCGTCGTCAATTGGAGCGGAAGAAAGCCGCTTTCCAATTTGGACGCGATGTTGATGATGAGAAATTGTGGATTGCTGAAAGATTGCAACAGGTACAAAGATAAGATTTTATTTTATTTTGAGCGGATAAAGGCCAAAAGTTTTTGTAGCTTTAAAGTTTAAGAAAAAACAATTGAACAATTACAGGCTCGTGCCAAACAACTCGGTGAATCCCTTCCCGATTGTCATCGTCTTCAGAAGAAAGAACAACAATTGGAAAATGAGATCTCAAATCATGAACCATGGATTGATTCAATTTGCAAAAATGGTGAGTAGATAAAGAAAAGATGGAAACAAGGTGCTATGGGGGACAGTGTACATTCTATTAGAGAGTTTCTTGGTGTGCATTCTATTAGAGAGTTTCTTGGTGTACATTCATTTCGTACATTGAGCCAGAGTGCACGAATTTTTTTTCTGCTTCTAGAATTTCTAAGGGCTTAGCTTCTTAATTTAGTATTTATTTAAACGCTTTACTAACTGTTTTCTAGCTATTTCTAGCAGTTACTGACGTTCTAAGCCTCTTAATTCACCTCTAAACCCAGTGAAAAAACTCTTGATAGCTCGGAATTGTTTTTCTGGTATAAAACTGGTTCAAACTGGCATAAAAATTGATCAGAATAGTCTAGAAATGCTTTCAATGAATTCAGTGCAATTAATTACCCCAAAAAGAAGTTTTTAAAACGAGTGGCAAGTTGAAAAAAAACCGGTGCTTAAAAACTGCCCCCTAAACTACTAAAAACTGACCTACTAAATAATTACCTAAATAATTTTGATAATTACGTTTGTTTGTTTGTTTGTTTGTTTGTTATAACGTTTCCTAACAAATAAAATTTCAGGTCGTGATCTGATCGAAGCTGGACACGAGAATTCAGCTGCTTTCGAATTAAGAATTGCCGAACTGAGAGAAGCATGGCAAGAATTAAAGGTTTGAATGAAAACTGAAAAAAGAAGAGCTTTTAAAACAGAAATGAGTCTAATTATTGACTAATTATCTTAAAATTGAATTTTTTTTATTCTTTTTCTATTCTTTTTTTTTTCAGGATGCTCTCAAAGCTCGTAAAGATGAATTGGCGGAGAGTGAGAAAGCTCATCAATTCCTTCACGATTGTGGAGAAGCTGAGGCTTGGATGAGTGAACAAGAGCTTTATATGATGCAGGTACGAAATTAAGGACAAAGAAATTTTCGAATTATTTTGACTCTTTCAGGATGAACGTGGAAAAGACGAATTCTCGACGAGAAATCAGATTAAGAAACACGAGCGTTTGCAGGTAAATTTTCAAAAAGTGGCATTGTTGATAAAAAGGAAATTTTAGGGTGACATTGACAAATTCGCGGATACAATCAAAAATCTTGCCTCACAAGCACAGAAATTCGTCGATGAGAAGAGTCCATTGAGTGAACAAATCGCTGTACGACAGGCACAATTGGAGAAATTGTATGCTGGATTGCAAGTGAGTGTTTAAGCTATTCGTCTAGATGAAATTATAGGAAATTAGATTTGAAAATAGATTTGAGAATAGATTTGAGAATAGATTTGAAAATAGTTTGAAAAATAGATTTGAAAATAGATAGATGAATTTAGAATGAAATTTTCTTTTTAGGATTTATCGAAAGAGCGTCGTCGTCGTCTTGAGGAAACTCTTGAATTGTATGGATTACATCGAGAGATTGATGATCTTCTTCAATGGATTGCTGATAAAGAAGTGGTTGCGGGAAGTCAGGTAAATTTGAAAGAAATAAGATTCAATGATACTTGCAAATTTGTGGCTTCTTTGCATTAACTTGGCTTCTTTACATTAACTTGGCTTCTTTACATTAACTTGGCTTCTTTACATTAACCATCAGCTTGGCCAGAAAATCTTGCCCGCTTTTTTAAAGAAAAACTTTTTAAAATGAAAAAAGAATCAATCAATCTATGGTTTGTTTTGATCAGAAACTCCTATTATTTATTTACAAATACCTCTTTTAACTAGGGATTTTTTTAGCAAATTTGAGCTCAAATCCGCATTCTCCATATGTTTTTTCATCTAAAAAAGTATTTTTTGAAAAGATTTTGGCTTTTTGGGCGCACAGAGCTCTTCAAAAAAGGTCAAAAAAAGGTCAAAAATGACTAAAAAACGTCTAAAAACTCAAAAATTGTCCTTTTTTAAGATTCATTATTTTCAGGAAAACGGTCAAGACTACGAGCACGTTCAAATGCTGCAAGAGCGTTTCGCTCAATTTGCCCGTGACACCGAAAATATTGGAGCTGATCGAGTGGCGAATGCGAATGATGCTTGTGATGCGCTGATTGGTGAGTGATTTTCGAGTATTACAAGCCCCAAAAAATTTGTTTTTCAGCTTCGGGACACTCTGATGCGCCGACAATTGCTCTGTGGAAAGATTCGCTGAATGAAGCATGGGAAAATCTGTTGGAATTGATGGACACACGAGCGCAAATCCTTGAAGCAAGCAAGGCTCTACACAAATTCTTCCACGATTGCCGGTTTGTGGATTTGAAAATGCCATTACTTTTGAGGAAATGTAATGAAATGAAATAAAAAAAGCTAATCAAAATTGATTTAGTGATTGTCTTTCGCGAATCTTGGAGAAGACTCACGCTCTTCCAGAAGATCTTGGAAGAGATTCATCATCTGTTGGAGCTCTCTCAAGAAAACATTACAATTATCTCAAGGATATCGATGCAATTGGAGAACAGGTGCATCTTATTGAGAATTGATATCTTAACTAAAAAGTTCTTATCTTAAAATTCTTATCTTGTGCTTAGATCAAGTTTGCAAGCGGAAAAAAAACGAAAAAATTGAATATCTTTTAATTTTCAAAGAAAAAGTCAACAAATGGGGCAGCCACGTTTTCCGTCGCAGTGCGTAGCTGCCCCATTCGTTGGGTTTTGCTTTGAGAATCAAAAGATATTCAATTTTCCGCTTACAAGCCTCTTTTGCATCTTATAATACTAAATTCGGTTAAAAAACTAACCAATTCGGTCAATTTACCACATTATTTGTACTTTTATTTTAACCAAACGGGTTATTTCCACGAATGAGGCTAAAATGCGAAAGAATTCGAGTAAAATCGACCAAGATTTGTTTGAAACAGGATGAAAGCAACAATTTAATTGATTTAACTTGTGGCTAACACCAGTGAAGAAATGAACAAATTTAAACAATATATAATAAGATTTGAGGGGAAAAGGTATTCAGGCGAGACAAGAATTGAGCGAAATTAGTACTTTTCCGTAGTCGTTTCACGTTTGGTTACACTTTTGGGATAACTTTTCGATATAAATTTGTAATCTTGAATGTAATTCGCAGCGGCGATGCTAAAGATTTAGCACAATAGGGAAGCAAATATTCGATTATAGAATAAAGTAAGATTATTTGAAAGTAAAATACAAATTTGAAAGATTTTAGGTTGCTCAAATCGAGCGCGATGCGGGTGAGCTGAGAGATGCGTATGCTGGAGAGAAAGCGATCGAAATTGCCACAAAAGAAGGAGAAGTGAGTGTTTAGATGGTTTTATATATTGGTTTTTTGATATTTTAATTCCGATTTTGTTATTTGCAGGTGGTGAAAGCTTGGCGTCATCTCCGCGGTCTTTGTGATGCTCGTTCTTCGCGTCTCAATGATACATCGGATTTGTTCAAATTCATGAATATGGTTCGCGATTTGTTGCTCTGGATGGATGAGGTTTGTTTAAAAGTTTTTATTTCATTCAAATGCTCAAATTAAGCAAAAATTTTTCTTCAAATTTTCAATCATTTTAATGACTTTTGGAAAATTTGATCCTAAACTACGAAAATAGGCAATTGAAAGTATTGCGTTTCAAATCTTTTTTTGAGTAAAATCGAAAGAAATAGTCGTAATGATCAATTTGAAAAGCTAAATGTTCAAATTGATATTCGAAAGTGATTTTATTTATTAAAAAATGTTTTCTTTTTTGGATAAGGTTAACCGTACAACTAAGTTATTAGGCTGGAAAGTTATAAACGATCGTTTTTTGGTAATGTGTTTTCTAAAAAAAACGGCTTATCCAATCAAAAAACGGTTTGCTTGATTCAAAAGCCCTATCCTTAATCTACAAAATGGCTTTTTTGAATTTTTGAAAAATGTTTTATTTTAGAACCTTTTTCAGGCATTATTAACTCATGAATGCTAGAAACCAGGATTTTGAACTCTTACATTAAAATGCCTGAAAAAGGTTCTAAAATAAAACATTTTTCAAAAATTCAAAAAAGCCATTTTGTAGATTAAGGATAGGGCTTTTGAATCAAGCAAACCGTTTTTTGATTGGATAAGCCGTTTTTTTAGAAAACACATTACCAAAAAAACGATCGTTTATAACTTGCCAACCTAATAGTTAAAAGTGCATTTATTTAATTTCGTTTGCTTCATTTCAATCGCAAAGTTTATCATTTAGAGATAACACATTCGCAATGGCGGCATTTCGGGCGTACAGTCGCGTAGTCGTTAATTGTTTAACTGATAATTTGGTGAAACATTCAAAGATAAACTAAATTTTTATAGTCGTTCGAAAGCTGTGAATCTCCTCTTAAAAACTAGAACAAAGTTATCGAGAAATTTCTGCGAAATAAAGAACAAAATCCTTTAAAACTTTAGTTGACACTAAAAATAATCGTTATCAGTACGACACGTTGGTCATATCGTCATGAATGTGTTTGATCTTATTATCTATTTCTAGGTAAAACGCGAGATGACGATGCACGATCGTCCAAAGGATGTTTCTGGAGTGGAACTTTTGATGAACAATCATCAAAGTCTCAAGGTTTGAACAATTCCAATTGTATAGAACAAAAAAAAATCTTTAATAGAGTCTAAAATCTTTTTTGAAATCTTTAATAGAGTTCTAATGCAATTCCTTGTTTTCAGGCAGAGATCGATGCTCGCGAGGATAGCTTCAGTGCTTGCATTTCACTTGGAAGAGATCTTTTGGCAAGGTAGATTTGATTGGAAAAGATTGAAAAAAAAAGAAAACTTTTGCTAAAAGAGGTTTATTCAACAAATTTCAGAAAACACTACGCTTCGTCGGAAATCGAGAAGAAATTGGTGAAGCTGACAACGGAAAGAGCGGAAATGATGAGAAGATGGGAAGATCGATGGGAATATCTTCAACTCAGTGAGTAGTTTTTAAAAAGAATATGATTATAATAAAATTCACTGAATACCATTAAAAGTCTCGTCAATTTTTCAGTCCTCGAGGTCTATCAATTCGCTCGAGACGCGGCTGTGGCGGAAGCTTGGTTGAATGCACAAGAACCATATCTCATATCACAGGTTAAATCATATGTTTTATAGAAATGCATTTACATAAGATATCTTCAGGAATTTGGTAGAAATCTTGAAGAAACAATCAAATTGATCAAGAAACACGAGGCATTCGAGAAGAGCTCACAAGCACAAGATGATCGTTTCTTAGCTTTGGAGAAGTTGACCACGGTGAGTTTGTTTAAAAAAAAAGATAACTGGTACAGGTTTATTACCGTAAACACTCGTACAGTCTCGTACAGTCACGTCGCAAAACTTTTTTCGTTTTTCTTCTTTTTCAAAGCGCGCTTATTTTCAAAAAAAATCCGTCTTTAATATCAAAAAATAGCCCTGAATTTCAGCTATTTTTTTGATACCTAAATAGTATTGTAGCTTAAAATAGTATCGTGAAAAAAAGCGTTCAAAGCTAGACTACGCAATACTCCGCACCGTAATTACGAAAATGGGGTACTATTATAGTATTTACCTGTCTAGTAAATGTAAATCATTTTTCTAAATCGTCAAATTTTCTTTTTAGTTTGAATTGAAAGAAATGCAACGTCGTGACGATGAAACGCATAAACATCGTCAACCAGCACACAGTCGACAACCAGTTCACGATCCGCAACCAGGAAGATCCCAATCACATGATGAAGGTACGAAAAAGAACAAACATTTGAATTAGTTAAATAGAATTAAATTCATCACCTAAATTAGTTTTTTTTTTGTTCAACTTACCTAACTCTAATCTAACGGATTTTAACGGACAAAACTCTAATCTCTAACAGATATCTTTGTCCCTTAAACAAAGACTTTTACACCTTTGTTTTAACCACTTAAACATAATATTTTGAATTCTAGTAATCCAAAATTTATCTATCAGTTCTAATCACTTTAACAAAAAAAACCATTTTTTTTTGTTTTGAATGCCCTGCACGGTTCAGTTGTGAGAAATGAGTAAAAAGGAGGAAAATTGGAGGAAATTCAAAAATTTCAAGGAAATCAAACAGAGCATCAAATTCTTCATATTGAACATCAAATTCTTCATATTGAAAAAGCTTTTCAGCCAATTTCCTTGAAATTTCGGCTCTTGTCGGGTTTCGAATATTTTGAGTGAATCATCACGCTTTAAAGGCCCATATCTTTATCCAGAGATAATATTATTGCTAACTTTTTATATCATTCCATAGAGAACATTTCAAGCTTTGGAATGATACCAAATACAGTTTGATTTGATAATCCAGTCAAGGAAAATCAAAGCCAACTCTGAGCAAATGAGGCCAATTCAATCCTGGTTTGCATGAGAATGAAAAATGGAATGAAGTTCTTTTTGAAAACCCGCCAAGAGTCAAATTTCCTTTGTCAAAATTAAGGAAACAAAAAAAGGAGTTGTGTCACAAATGTCTTGATTTGAAAACTTTTTCGTTCACAAAAAGTTTTCTTTGTAAATTGAATGATCTTTGAAGAGTTCAACGCCACAATGTCATCAATGGACAGTCAACGAAAAGGTTCATCCACACAACAACATCATCCAACTTCATCACTTGGTCCGTCATTCACATAAAAACAATTTTATTTTCATAAAGCACAGGTTTTCGTAGATCGTTTTACTTTGTTGTGGTTTAGATGTGGTTTTTTTTGTCTCAATAATCTCTATAGATTTAGAGGAAACTAACTAAATTAAATAGAAATCCTTGCGTTAGATCTAACCAAATATTTACAAAAAGAGTGGACTTTGTACAAGTGTAAACACATCCCTTCTAGTGCACTCGATTCGTTGTTGTTTTTTTGCGCATTTACAGCGAAAAACGAATCATTGAGTGCATTGGAACGAGTGTAGTTCTACTTGAGCACAAAGTACGCTCAAATCTATCCATCTAACTTTGAGTTGAGTTCATCAGCTTCAGAAATTCAGTTGTTAGCATGTTATAAAATGTTTGATTAGTGATTTGTAGTGTTTTTTTTTGTTTGTAGATCGTACTCGTCTCTCATCGGCTGAGCCATCTGGATGGAGGATTTCCCTTTCAAGACAGCCACGATTCGACACGCATGATCCAAAGGGTTTGCAAGAGAGAGAGAAAAAAAAATGAATATCATTGAATCATATTCATCAACAACAGAAATAATTCATCTAAAAACTCCTAAAGCTTAAAAGCATGCTTTAGTATAAAATTGTAGTGATTTTTAGCCTCAAATTTTTGTTTGAATTTTGTAAATCTGTAAATTTGTTGTTTTTCTTGTAGTGATTTCAGATGTAGATTCGCTTTTTTTTGGCGCATGAAAACTAATTTCAGCCTTTTTTTAGCAGAATCGGAAGAAAAAGAGGAAAAATCTCTTCGTAAGTGATCCCCATTCACTGAATTCTTAATTGCTTTCGAAAGAAGAGTTTTGAAAAATGTAAACATCAAGGCGCACCAGACGCTAAATGTTTACGTTTTTAACAATTCAACTCAATTCATCGTCAGCAACTTTTTTCCCTTTTTTAAGATTGAATTAGCAATCCCTTACCATCGAAGAGACCTCCTGCTTGAATAAATATTGTTGATTTTTTTTAAATCTTTTATAGAAGAATGGAAATGAAATGAACTTGTTAAAATGCAAAGATTCTCATTTTCAAGAAAGCTCATCTCATTTTCCATTTAAATTCAAATAAAATGCGATTCATCAAAGCAACTTTCAGGTGCCCAACAAGGTGATGGATTCGAGGGAACGGTCATCCGAAAGCACACATACGAATCATTGGATAGGAAATCGTCGAATAGATCATGGGAGAAGTTGTTGGCTGTGGTGAGACAAGGAGAAATTGCTTTCTTCAAAGATTCGAGACATCGGTGAGGATTAGAAACGATTAGCAAAGGATTAGACGCTACAAGCTACAAGCCTACAGACTACAGACGCTTGTAGAAACGCGTAGAGATCATGGATTAGCCTGAGCTGGGCCCCACTCGAAACCCCAAAGTTGGCTCGATTTTTTGGTAAAAACTGTTTTTAAAAATAGCCATTCTACGCGTGTCTACAAGCGTTTGTAGTCTGATCTTGTAGTTTGTAGCCGCTAGAGATCTTGTAGCCACTAGAGATCTTGTAGCCGCTAGAGATCTTGTAGCCGCTAGAAAGGATATTCTTTGTGCAAAAACCGATAGAAGCTATCCAAAAGTTATATTCTTAAACACGAATCCCATTTCAGAGATGAGAATGCACCCGTGCATGGAGAAGGCCCAATATCGTTGTCTGGATCCACGGTAAAACGACTTTTTCAAGACAAAAACTTTTGAAAATCTTCAGGTAAATGTGGCGGCCGATTATCAGAAGAAAAAGCACGTTTTGTCGCTGAGAACGACTCAAGGAGCTGAATATCTATTACAATGTGCAAATGATGTAAGTTAGTGAAAAGAAAAAAAGATTCTTTGAAGCTTGAAGATTATTAATGAAGATTGAAGAGTGACGCGCTCGTGTAAGGCATAGTTTTATTTAAGCTATTGCAATACTACGACAATACCGAGCTTAAAGCAAAAAAGAAATCATTTACAGGATGACATGCAACGATGGCTATTCGAACTTCAAACAGCCACCGGTCAAAGTGGTCATCGTTCAGGGAGCGGAGAAGAAGAGTTGACAAGATCACAAACATTACCCGAAGGAGTACAAGCAAAGGCAAAAAAAGGAGGATTCTTTTCAAGAGGCAAAAAATAGATGTGAAGAAGAAGAAGAAGAAGAAAGGAACAGTAAAGTCTAGCCAATGTTTTTCTTTTTATGATCTTGCTTTTTAACACTGCCTTTCCCTTTCCCAATTAAATTACTATTTCCTTTCTGGCAAATAGGCGACGCGTGTTTGTTTTTTTTTCTGCAAAAACACTTGGGAATATTGTTAAAGTTTTTGAAAAATTAAATTGAAAATTGAAAGCTTTAAACTGAAAGCTTTAAAGTTTAAACTTTAAACTTTAAAACTATACCGTATTTTCTCTAATAGTAGTACAGCCAGAGCATCGTTCAGGGAGCGGAGTTGCTGCTCGAATTGCTTGCTCTTGCTCAAATTGCTCGAAATCTCGAGAACCGCTTATCCAGAACCTATCGATGTGGGATCGGGAAATGTAGCTGACGATGAGATCTTGTGCGGGGTTTGAGGATTGAACTTCTGGGAAAGCTTGGAAACCGTAAAATAGTCATTGACTCGGCTCGCCGGGGTGCACTACGATTAGGGAAAAGCCGGCGTTTTTGCTGATCATCAGAAATTTGCCAATCGGGCCCTAAGATCAGTTAGCCAGGTCAGAAGCCAGGCTCAAGACGAGAAAATACGGTATTAGTGAAATTACCAAAAACTAAAACTAAAACGAAAACCTTTCAGCAATATTTCCTTCAAATTCCCCCATACGGCTCTCCTTTTTTTTTGTTCCATTCTCTGACCCGATAGGCTTTATTTTTTTTTTGTTTTTTTATGGAAAAAGAAAATTTTGTGATTCAAGAGAAAATCTAGTAGTTTTTGCGGTAAGAAAAATTTTATTTATCTGGCTTAAATTGGCTTTTTTTGCTTTTTTGCTGATAGCTTTTTTCTGTTTTTCTTTTGCTATTTAGCTTCAATTTTCTTTTATTTACTGAATTTTTTTAGAATTTCCCTGTGGAAATGTTCCAATTTCTCGGCCTTCGGCAAGCCGTTTGTTTTTGGTGAATTTTCCATTTTCATCAAGTCGGATTTGGAATTGAGAGAGAATTTGAACTTTTGAATTCAGAGAGAATTTGAAAGACACTTGCAACTTTTGTTCAAAAAAAAAAAAACGCGAACAACATGTCCATTTTGTCCAACAACATGTCAACATGTCCAACAACGTGTCAACATGTCCAACAACATGTCAACATGTCCAACAACATGTCAACATGTCCAACAACATGTCAACATGTCCAACAACATGTCCAACAACATGTCAACATGCTCATTCGCGAACAACATTAACATGTCCATTTTACTAACCAAAAAAGCTTTCTTTTTGCGAATTTTTACTAAAATTGCAATTTTATCTTTAAGTTTATTTTATCTTTAAAGCTTTATTTGAGAAAAAACTGCCTATTTTTATCGATTCTTTGCCATTTGAGCCATTTTTGAGGCTTCTTTCGCTAAAGAAATCCTGCCAATATGAAATTTTTATGAAACAATTATCTGAAATTCAGCTAACCTTTTTTATTTCAAAAATCTAGGGTTTTGTGAGTTTGTGTCTCCTATTCTCCTAAGAATTTTTAGCAGAAAATTCGCTTTTCCTTTGGATTCCCCCCTTGCAACCCTCTTTTTTTACCCGACTTTTTCATTTGCCTTTGTTTTTGTTTTGTTTTTTTAAATTTAAATTTAAAAGAACATTTAGGCGATTGATGAACAAAACAGTTCAAGTGTTTCAGAGAAAATTTTTTTTCAATATGAATTCTTTTTTAGAAATCTCTGAATTTCCAATCCGACCACTTTTCCCCTTTTTATCCCCTCCCCACAAAAAGCAGCTTTTTCTTCCTTTCTTCCAAAAGAATTTCTTTTTTTCTATGAACCAATTCCCCTTTTTTATTTCTCTATTTTCATTTTTTTGGCAAGAAATAAAAGTTTGAGCGATCAAATGAGACAGAAAAACTCATCGAAATGTATTAATTGTATTAATAGTAAGAAAAGCTTTTTATTTGATCTTTTCTAAACAGCCGGTACCAATTTATGCGTTTGTGTGGCACGTGATCGACAATTTCTGAGCATCGAATGCCAATGTGAGTGATCGGTTGATGGAGAGCAAAATGAAACGGCGATACGGCCAATCTTTGAGACACTGAAAACTGAGAAATTATTTCTCAAAATCACTTGGAAAATGAGTTGTCTATTTCGCCTACTCTATTTCAAAGTATCAAAGGCTATGCAGAGAATTGTAGCGCTTAATCTTGGCTTGATTTTTCTAATAAAAACTTTCCATTCGGATTTATGCAACTCATTTAAAACGTTGACGACATTGTCACCTGATGCTGTCTGACACATATTCGTTCGCCTGGGACATTGTCACCTGATGTCAGGTGACAGTACCAAAATTGATTTTTTTTGTGCATATTTATGTTTGCTGATGATGGATATTAAATAAGCAAGTAGGGTAGTATCTATATTCGACTTGGTCCCGGAAAATGTCGATTTAACCGTTGATTATTAAAATTTTAATTTTTTAGGTGATAATTTCAGGTGACATTTTTTGTCGAAAAAAAACAACGTTGTCCCATGCGATTGTTTGTGCAAAAACGCCATTGTCGTCAACGTGTTAACAAGTCCTTGAATGAGCACAACAAGTCGATCCCTATCCGCTGCCATTTTTGACGATTTTCTATATAAAAATTTCTATCTAAAAAGCGCTTTATCCAGTGAATTTTGTTTAAAAAATGATTTCCAAAAATTTCAGCTAATATAACAAGACATTCATGTGAGCTAAATATCGAAAAATGATCTTCTAGTCTAGTTCTAGTCACCAGCTAGTCATCAGCTTGATTTTGGCTATAACAGATTAGCCAAAACAGTTGAAAGTTATCTTTAATATTATTAATGTTTTTAAATGATATTTTTGCATAAAATAAATATTGACAAAAAAGTTTTCGAACAATTTTTATATAGAAAATCGTCAAAAATGGTAGCGGATAGGGGTCGACTAGTGCTCATTGTTAAACGAGTTGCATAAATCTGATTGGAAAGTTTTTATTAGATAAATGTAGCCAAGATTAAGGGCTACAATTCTCCGCATACTTTCCCTTGATACTTTGAAATAAATTACCGTAAATACTGTAATAGTACCCCACCCGCACAATTACGGTGCGGAGTGTTGCGTAGTCTAGTTTTGAGCGAGTTTTTCTCGACACTGGTTTATGTTACAATGCTCGCTTAGATATCAAAAAATAGCCCTGAATTTCAGCTATTTTTTGATACCAAAGACGCATCTTTTGAAAGTACGGGCGCTTTGAAAAAAAGAAATACTAAATAACTTTTGCGACTACGCGACTGTACGAGGGCGGTGGGGTACTATTACAGTATTTACGGTAGGTGTGCGAGAACTATTTTTCCAAAAAGTTGTCCGGAGTGATTTTGAGGCATTCTGTGCATTGAATGACACACTCACGACAACAGCATTTTGAGCGTACACTCGTGTCGTTACTAAAGTTAAGTTTATTTTAGAGATTTTTTTTGAACAGATCGCTTTGTTAGAAGATTTTTTACACGGTGATGGACGACTAATGCATGCATTAATCCTGTAATCCTTCTAACATTCATGTAAACCATCTAACAAAGCGATCTGTTCAAAAAATGTCTAAAATAAACTTAACTTTAGTTCTAGATGTCGAATTGATGAAAAAAAACACATAAAATAATGGTGAGAAATCGAAAGAAAACGGGGGTGGGACAAATGCGACCTTTTTTTGCGCACCTGGACATTTGCGCACCTTTTTTTTGCTGGAAAAGGCCTTAGGAAAGGTCGTAGAGCTTCAAAAATGTTTTCATAGAAGGGAATCGTATGCGTAGATTCCGAATTTCGACAAATCACACGCCAAATTTGGGCTAAAAGGCAAAAACTGCGGAAAAGCGTTAAGTTGCGTAGTTTTTGCATTTTAGCTCAAATTTAACGTGTCAGCGAGGTCTGATTTGCTTTGATTTGTCGAAATTCGGAATCTACGCATACGATTCCCTTCTATGAAAACATTTTTGAAGCTCTACGACCTTTCCTAAGGCCTTTTCCAGCAAAAAAAGGTGCGCAAATGTCCAGGTGCGCAAAAAATGTCGCATTTGTCCCACCCCCAAGAAAACAAAAAATAATGGTAAGAAATCGAAAAAAAAACATAAAATAATGGTGAGAAACCGAAAAAAACAAAGAAATCGGCGAAATTACCAAAAAAGACAAATTGGAGGGTTACGGTGCTTTAGTGCATTTTAGTGTGGTGAGCAAAAAACATTTTCTTCGAAAAAGCCTTAAAGTGGCCGTATTTTCGTGAAAGGGTTAAATATTTCCTCCCAATTTGCTACAAACTTTTCTTTTACATCCATTTCAAAGAGAGAAATCACGAGGATCGCATCGTAAACATCTTTTCGATGAAGATCGAAGATCAATTTTGTTGTCCATTCTTGCTCGAAATCGGCATCTCGACGCTGGAAATTTTTTTTCGATATTTAACTTCTCCTTTTCCTCAATAAAACAACAAATTTAAAGCTTGAAAGCTTAAATTGACTTCAGTTCGATGTCTTTCCTTGATTTTTCCTCTCACATACAGTGCAGCTTCAATGAAAATCACTAAAGCTTTTGTTAATGAGAATTTGAGTGCATTCGCTGAGACAATACCGCAAGAATCCTCTCTGATTTGAAGATTTGTACCAATACAATTTGTGAAAATCACTCTTTGAGCAGATAGGAGATAGTTGAGTCCAAATTCGAGTTCGCCCAAGTCCTGAAAGGTTGAATGGTTTAGCTGAGTTTAGCTCAGTTTCAGGTTTAGCTGAGGTTTAGCTGAGCTGAGGTTTGGCTGAGCTGTGGTTTAGCTGAGCTGTGGTTTAGCTGAGCTGAGGTTTAGCTGAGCTGTGGTTTAGCTGAGTTTCACAAGGAAGCCTTTCTTTTGCTTCTTACCGGATTCGCGAGTTGCATCGGGATCTCAAATTCGACAAATTGTAAAACAGGAGAGTCGATCCAGAAATCTGTCTCTGCGACAACTACCTGAATTTTCTAAATCTGGAAATCTATTGAATCTAATGCCTTTTATTTTTCTGTGATGTGATTTAAAGTTTTTTTAATTTTGATCCGGAAGAAAATGGAGATTTCTGAATGAGTTAAACTCTTGAAATTAAAGCAACTTCTTGAAATTAAATTAAACTCTTGAATTAATATATTAGAAAGTCAAAAAGATAACAAAACAAGTAGGTAACTAGGGAAATCGTCGTGAAGAAAAAGGGAAAAAGAGATAGTCTTTGCGAAGTGTGAAATGAATCGATTCAAAAGGAAAGGGTTTTTTTTTGGAGATGAAGTGGGCATTATAGTGAGCAATTCATCATTTGAAATCTCTTCTTGTTGTAGAGAGTGAAATTTCTTTCCAAAAAAAGAAACAAGCTACAGAGTTGGCCTTCAATTAACGGAATATGAACAAAAATGAAAGTGAAAGAGAAAGAAAAAGGAAGAAAAAGGACGAAAAAGGAAGAAAAAAGGGAAATGAATCGATTCAAAGGGATTTCCGAGATGAAAATGAGAAAAAAGAACCACTCAAAATACACGAATAGATGTAAAAAAGAATGGAAAGAGAAATGGAGACATTTGTGGAGATCGCTTCTTGAAGAAGAGAGGAAAAAACACTCAGAAATCAGCTCACTAATGAGTTAATTTGTGGAAAATAGAGTTTAAGATCTAAAAAATCGAATAAAATCGAATAAAATCTGTATTGAATCTAAAATCAAAGATCTTCATCGTATTTGCAAGGCTTGCAAGTGTTGAACTCACACAATTCTCCTCCTCATTCTTCGTATCAACATCACAAAGTTGTATTCGAAGGAGTGTTCGATGAAACATTGAATTCTCGATTTCGCACGAGAAAAACTCATTGAAAATTGTGGTATCACAGCGTGAAACCGTTAATGTTTTCCAGATAATTGGCTTTAAGGCAAGAATTTCCTGAAAAAGTGAAGATTTATTTGATTCGAATAGATTAAATAGATCAAATTATGATCCAATACCGTATTTCTTCGAATAGAAGACCGGGTAAAGAGTATGATCGCGTACTCCTGCGTAGCAGCCCTTTTTAAAATTTCTTTTCTGCATAAAAGCTTTCAATCAAGTGCTATAGAGCTGCAAAATGGCCCAAAAATCTGTTAGCTCATGTGGTATTTTTGAGCCATTTTCCAGCTCTATAGCACTTGATTGAAAGCTTTTATGCAGAAAAGAAATTTTAAAAAGGGCTGCTACGCAGGAGTACGCGATCATACTCTTTACCCGGTCTTCTATTCAAAGAAATACGGTATCTAAATGAATAGAATTTTGTACCTGTTCAGTGATCACTCGATTTCTCCCCATCCAACTCCGACGAACGACTCCTGAAATCAAATAAAAAGAATCAAAAAAATCAAAAAACTCAAAAATGCGTTTTCTTTCCTAAAGTTTTCTCTTTTATATTATTTTTTCTACCTTTTACGACAAAGATTTTTGCTCTCGAAACGATTTCATTCGAGTAAATGACTAGAGGAGCATCGGATACCTGAAATTGAACTCGAAAAAGTCAATAGCTTTCTTGCTGAATACAGATTAGAAAAATTTGTAAATAGCTTTCTTTCTCAAACCTTTTTAATGTAAAAATTGAGCTGTGAATCTTTCTCAACATATTCCATAGCAATCCATGCACGAGGAAGACGATTCTGTGCGTGATATTCATTGATAAATGATGGAAATCCGAAAACCCAATTACAACCACTAACATAAGTCATTTTATTCGAGTTAATAAGGAGTTGTTTGGATTTTTAACTAGAACACGAACAAAATCGAAAATCGATGCGAGAAAATTATGCGCGTAGCGTTCGGAATTTTAATGTTGCATAGAAATTTTAGAGTTTTAATTTAAAAGAAAAAAAAATGTGGAGTGCGAAAATGATTTTGTTGCAACTTTACCTCTATTGCTTCTTCCATTTAAAGAATTTAGTTTAAACTCGAATTGTTAGCTTTCATAAATTTTCGAATGAATCCGAGCCAAATCGATTTTTCGAGTGGAAGAAAAATCCGAATAAAACGAAAGAGCTCATTTTTGGAGAGAGGGTTTTATTTGAAAAGAGCACACAAATGAAAGAGAAAAATGATCATGGGAAAACAAAAAAAAATAAAGAAAGAAAAACTAAAGAAAGAAAAATAAAAAGAAATAAAAAATACAGGGGAGTGGGACAAATGCTACCTTTTTTTGCGCACCCGGACGTTCGTGCACCTTTTTTTTGCGCACCTTGCCCATTAGCGCACCTTTTTTCGCGTTTTAAAAAAGCTCTAAAAAGCTAATATTAACCAATTTCTATTCCAAATGTTGTTTTTCTAGGTAATTTTAGGGCATAGAATCGAAATTTTGACATATCAGAGCTTGTGGAACCAATTGAAAGACATTGAAATTGAAAGACAAAACGGCTAGATCAAATTACAGAAAATTGTCGATCTTTCTCTTTGTATAACTCCGTCCGTTCGCTTCCACAAGCTCTGATATGTCAAAATTTCGATTCTACGCCCTAAAATTACCTAGAAAAACAACATTTGGAATAGAAATTGGTTAATATTAGCTTTTTAGAGCTTTTTTAAAACGCGAAAAAAGGTGCGCATAAAAAAGGTGCGCAAACGTCCGGGTGCGCAAAAAAAGGTCGCATTTGTCCCACTCCCAAAATATAGATGAAAATGGCACGGATACAGTAAGTCAATCGAGACAGACAGACAGACATCGAGGAATTTACATACTTCGATTTACATTGAAAACAGTGAATTAACATCTAACTCTCCACCTATTTAAGCCAATCTTTTTTTCATTTTCTTCATTTCGAATCTTCTCTCCTTTCGATCCACTCAACTCATCGCAAATGGGACTCTGGGTTTGATTTTCTTTTGTTTCTTTTTTTCTTTTGCTAATTTGTTATTTGTTATTTGTTATTTAGTTGTTGGATCATTTCCTAAAATTACCCTTTCTTTCTACATATCCTCTTTAGGAGAACTATGATTCTCCTGGCACGATATTCTTCAGTCTTCTCTTCTTTTTGGCTCTTTTGGCAACGTCTGGCGCAATTTTGCTCATGGTGAAGCTAAGGTTGGAGGCGCTTATTGCTATTACTCAATTTTAACTTTTAGGAGTGAAAACGAACAACTCAAGAAGGAGAACCAAAAGCTTAACCAAGTTTTGGATGAGGCATCTCGAATGCAAGTCGAGCCAAGACAGAAAAAACGGTAAAGTTGATATTTTAATAGCTATTTCACTCGCTTTACCTATTTTTAGACGACCAACGACTCCTTGTAGTGATTTGACGGCAAGCGAACGAGCATCTCGACGAAAGCAACGATCAAAATCAAGCAGAAGTAGCCAATTATCGGAAAAAAAGCCAGTCGTTACGTTTACGGTTGATGAAAATGTCGGTTTTTATATTTATCAAAGCAACTCATTTCTTCTTTAGGCCATTCAAAAGAGATCTGCCGGTGCTTCACATTTATTCACTGGTTTATTTTTGTTACTAGCTATTGATTTATGGATTTAGGTACAACGCCATTGAACAGCTCGGAGGTTGCTCCCAATCCTGGATCATCGACTAAACGATCAGTAGCAGAAGTTGGTTTTTGTTATTCTGTTGCTTGAATGGTTGGTGATTGATTGGATGTTTAGCGTGTTGCTTGCCCGTTTACGCCAGCCGAATTCGCTGAAGCGATGCGACAAACCGTTAGCTTTATCAACCACTACACTGAGCATCCGGATGAGTATCCTGTCACCACAAGTGAGTATTATTTATTTAGATGTTTTTCTAAATGATTTGCCTTCAGAACTATTTGTTTGTTTTTAGAACTTAAACCATGGTCTCTGGTGGCTGCTCTTCCAAAAACTCCTCCACAATATCCAGAAGAATACGCGGACGTGCTTATCGATTTGAAGAAACTTGTCTTGCCAATGGTTATTTTAATGTTGATAAACTTAGTTTGCTTATTTTTAGTTCACTCACTGGCAACATCCGCGTTTCATGGCTTACTTTCCACACGGAAGGTTTGGAATTACCTAGATCGTTTGAAACACATCAATTTTTTTCTTTAGAAATCATGCTGATATTTTGTCAATGGCACTCGAGGCGGCGTTCTCTGTGGTTGGATTTAGTTATGTGAGTTGTTCTTATCTGTACATCATGTCTACTTTATTGTTTCAGGATTCTTGTCCGGCAATCACTGAACTTGAAGTGGTTACGGTGAATTGGCTTGCTGATTGTTTTGGACTTCCGAAAGGATTCAGATGGAACACTGATGATATACAAGTGAGGTTTTGGTGTGTATTACATTGTTGATGAAGCTTTTCTAGGGTTCCCCAGGCGGTGGTTTCTTCCTTCCATCAGCTTCCGATGGTGTTTTTGCTTCAGTGATGGCAGCTCGAGATTGGAAATTTGAAAGAGTTTGGGATTTTGGAAACACGACATATTTTCTATTTGTAGATTCTCAAAAAGTTTCACGAGGGAAAATTGGACAAGCGAGTGAATTTGGATCATTACCGAAGCAACGTTCGAAATGTTTTTAAAAAACTTGAATTGTTTACGTTTTAGAAACATGATCTTCGTCATGAAATTTGTCAACGAATGGTGGTTTATGCGAGCAAAGATGTGAGTACTTTGATTTAGCATCGCTTAGGCTCGAAAGCTTTATTTAGGCACACTCATGTCTTGAGCTAGCATGTAAAATGGCAATGGTTCGATGTCATCCAATTCAAGCAACTGCCGATAACGATTGGGGTATTACGGGTGCTCAATTAGAAGAGGCTATCGCACAGGTCCTTATAATTTCTTTTGGTTCTTCTAAAGTTTACAAGGTTTTCGAGGTCTTTCTTGTTATTTCTTTAAATTTTACTTTATTTTTATATACAAGTTGATATTTTTAAAGGAATAATTATGATTAATAGAAAAATGAATAGACCCTGAATAATCCACAATAGCAATTTTTTTTCGAATTTCCTGAAGCCCATGCATCATAAGCTTTTGTGGATTCAGGATCTGTTCATTTTTCTATTGAGCATAATTATTCCTGTAAAAAATATCAACTTGTATATAAAAATCAAGTAGAATTTAAGAAAATAACAAGAAAGACCTCAAAAACCTTGTAAACTTTACAAGGACCACTTTTTTAAATTTTGAGACAATAGTTTAGAAGTTTTAGTATACTTCCAAACTTTGCAAGTATCTGGTTGCTTTTAGGATCTAGCTGTTGGTTTGGTGCCGTTCCACGTCCATGTCACCCTTGGTACTACATCGACGGCTTCGTGTGATCACCTAAAGTCAATATGGCCTGTCGCTAGAAAGTTGGTTTAGCCACTTAGACAAGCACATTAAAATTCTATTTAGGTATAAGCTATGGCTTCACGTCGATGCGGCATATGCTGGGGGTGCTTGGGTCGATCCGAAATATCGAATGCACACTGAGGGCCTTGCACACGCAACAACAATCAATATCAATTGCAACAAGTTCTTCATGCATGTATCACCGGGGGCCATTCTCTGGACACAAGTATTTCTTGAATTTTTTTTAAAACAACGTTTATTCTTTTTAAGGACAAGGACACTTTCAAGAAGGGTTTTTCGTTGACACCACCATATCTGAAGGCGTCGAAAGGTAGCTAACCATTTTTCGCCTTACAAAGTTTGAACTTTTAGATGATACAGTAGATCTTCGCGATTTTGGTGTCCAGTTGACGCGTACATTCCGCTCATTGCGAACCTGGATATTGATGCGAACGACGGGTGTTGAAGGACTTCGATATTACATAAACAAGGTTATAGACAAAGACCGATTTAAATATTAATGCTTTAGATGATTGATTTGAGCGCCTACTGTGAGCATCTTATCAAACAGCATCCTAATGTTCGTCCATTTTGCAAGCGAAATTATGGTCTCTTCTGTTTCTACTACTATGTGAGTTTGCTTTTGAAAATATCACTATTATACCTAAGTTTTTCGACTTTTCTTTGTTAAGGAGCCGAACATGTCTTTCGATGAATGCAATGCAGCCACACGAACTCTCTCGGGATACATCAACGACACACATGAGTTGTTCATCACACGATCAAACGTATCTTTAATCTTGGTTCTTTAAAAAACTAGATATTTTAGGTTGGTGGCCAGGAAATCATTCGACTCACAGTAAACTACATCAATTCGACCGCACAAACTGTTGAGAAAAATATGGAACTACTTAAGAAGATCATTGACGATTTCCGGGATGATTGGGGTTTGTTTTTCACTTCTAAAATTCTAAAAGTTACTAGTATATATTTCAATTGGGTAATCTATTGCTTTTTTAGCACTTTCCAAACACAGCGTCTCGTCGGCACCCAATCCACTCGAGGGTCGCAATGCTCGCCCCGGACCGGCTCTTTACGATATTGACCTCAAAGGAACACCGTTACCTGATGTGGATCCTGCTCTGGTAGTTATTTGTGCTTTTTTTTATTTAATATTTGATTATTATAGGTTGAGCATTGGGCTGAAACTCCAAACCCGATTACTCGACAGGAATCAATCAGGGAAACGTACCGTCTCCCCCGGTCTACTTCGATCTCTGTTTCGAGTGAAGCATTAGTCACGGCAACTGACACAACCCAGGTGAAAATAATGTTTGGCAAATCAGCGTCAACATTAATTTTAGGTTGAACCAAGTGGCACGTCTATCTCCACAGCTTCTCTGGCGCCTCCATCATCGAATCTTCAAACGGCGACTGGCACAACACAGGTTGGTCTTTGTGGTTATTAATTTTTGAGGTATTGAAAAGCTCAGTAAGCAATTGTATTAGCACTCAGAAACCGACTACTTTATTTTTATTGGTGTTCGTTTAATTAAATTATAAATAACTTTTTTAGTTTGGGCTGAGCATCGTGTCAGGCCGAGAACAGACGAAACTCCGTATGGCTACAGGTATAGCACAGGTTGGCCGATTAACTTATTAGCTTGTAGTTGGATGAAGTAAAAGTAAAAACTATTAGTGAGAAATTTGGGATTTATCAAAAATTATTGGAAAATGTTTTGTTTAGTTTGAGCAAAGCAGTGTTCCCGTTTCGACAGCACATCAACAGACGAGTCTTCAGACGGCGATCCCAAATGGTGCACCTTCTACTCAACTGCCAATGAAAACTCTCAACCAGCCGTCTTCTTCCGTGCCCGAAGCGACAATGAAACAAGGATAAGATTTGTACTTTTCTTTCCACATTTACTATGTTCATCCTTGTTTTCTAGCTTCATTTACTTGTTTCGTCTGTGATCTGTGCAGCTCAAATTGTGCCGATTTTCCTGGCCTTCTCTTTTTCCTGGGTCTCTTTAGCTCTTTGATGCTTTCCCATTCATTGCTCGTTCGGGTTTGTAAGTAATTCGGTCTTGTGAAATAAACCGTACTGGGGATTGTAGCCATGAATTGGGCAATATTTATCAAAAGTGATCGAGAAAAAAATCACAATGAGTTCATTCGATGATATACCTCATTTTGTGGTGCAGAAAAGAAGTCGATTGTCTAAATTTGCTTTTAACTTACGGAGTCTTGGTTGCTTTGAGTTTTACCTCGAAAAATTGTTGCATATCCTCGGCTCGAACTATTCCATCATGATCTGTGTCGAGTTCCTGAAAAAAAAAGATGTGTTGATGTGTTGATTTCGTTTTAAACATTGTACTTGTTTTCTTAAAAATAGGGGGGTGGAATAAATGCGACCTTTTTTTTGCTGGAAAAGGCCTTAGGCAAGGCCGTAGAGCTTCGAAAATATTTCCATAGAAGGGAATCGTATACGTAGATTCCGAATTTCGACAAATCAGACCTCGCTGACACGTCAAATTTGGGCTAAAAGGCAAAAGCTGCGGAAAAGCGTTAAGTTGCGTAGTTTTTGCCTTTTAGCTCAAATTTGACGTGTCAGCGAGGTCTGATTTTTCGAAATTCGGAATCTACGCATACGATTCCCTTCTATGAAAACATTTTTGAAGCTCTACGACCTTTCCTAAGGCCTTTTCCAGCAAAACAAAAGGTCGCATTTGTCCCACCCCCAAAAATAGCAATGCTCTTTCAGCTGTATTTAACTTACCTTAAATACAGCTCTTGCTCTTTGTTCAACAGTTTCTCGATCACCTCTTCCATCAATCACTTGAATTTTACCTTCTTGTAAAGCAAAAATTGTTTGCGTAAATTGATGAAATTCCTAGAAATTTTTTTTCGATAGTAAATGTTTTTTTTCTTCTCTTGAATTACCGCAAAATTAAAGAATTGCTTATCAGCATCTCCAGTTATAATTCGAATTGTCCATTCAGCGTTTACTTGTGATGTTTGTGGTGAAAGAAATGAGAGAGATTTTAGGAGACTCTGAAATTTATTGAATTATTGAATTTATTGAATTATGAACTCTTGGGAAATATCGAAATTCTTTTATTTTGTACTTACATTAAAAGTAATCATGTTGTTGTCATCGGTACCGCTTGAAAAGGCTCTAAAGAAAAAAAGAAAGCCGTTTATTTTGGGTACAAAAGACTTTTATAATAGGTTTTAAACATAAAACGAACTTAAAGAGTCTTCCCAAATATTGATCTGAAGCTTTTTCTGGGGCAACAATACACGAAAAGATCTTCTTGAATTCTGATTCTTTCATTCGTCCTGTTGGGCATTCCTGAAATGAAAACGATCTGTAAAAAGCAAAACAAAAAGCAAAACAAAATTCAAGATGAGAAATTCAAGATTTGACTAACGTTTTTGAATCGTCCATACATGTACTTAATCCATCGACGATCGAATCCTGAAGATCTTGGTTAAAAGAGATCTTGGTTAAAAGAGAACCCAAATAAAAACATTTATGCTTAATTTTGATTCTACTCAGCAATAGCTTTCACTTTAATATATATACACGTGACTCAATAGCTGAGTCACGCTTGGTTACCCGTTCGGACGACGTAACTCAATAGCTGAGCCACGCTTGGCTACCCGTTCGGACCACATAACTCAATGGTTGAGTCACGTCTGGCTACCCGTTCGGACGACGTAACTCAATAGCTAAGTTACGGCTGTTTCTCGTGGACTAAATGAGCTCAAAATTTCCAAGAGCATGTAATTTTGGGTCCTCTTTCCGAACCCGACGTTAGTTTTATTAGGGAATTGTGTGATTTTTTGTGAAAAGCGGAAAACGGATTCGATGGCCGAGTAATCTAAGGCGCGCACCAATCTGAGGATCCAGTAAGGGGTTTTTGGTTCGACTCCTCCAAAGAACGTTTTGCAAAAAGTATTTTCTAATAGTTTCAGATTTTGGCGTTCTTTTTGTGTCACTCGTAGGGAAAAACGGCGTCTGGCACCCGGATATGAAGTCGGAACTTGGGTAATTAAACCGGTGTCAAAAAAAAACCGAGTTTTTCTAAGGTAACCAATAATTTTTGAAGGCTTAAAACAAGTTTAAAGAAAATTCTGATCCGGGAACGTTTAGCATGCATTTATCGAGAAGTTAACAACTAAATAAAAGCATTTAAAATAATTACAACTGTGAAAATAAACTCTATGGAGTTTGTTGGCGTAAATTTAAAATCGGATTCGATTTCTAGAGTCCGATTTCTAGAGTTGTATGCCCAAATTTTTCAGCTTTAGTTATTCATTTTGATTTCTGTTCGAAATCGGCCTTTCCGGAAAAGATACGCGGTCGTCAATGTGTTAAAAAAACCTGTGGTTTGTGTGAGAACATCAAGTGATAATGGATGGACACCGACTTCCCATCGCATATCCGAAAGATCCTCTCCGGCCAGCTCCGTCACTGTAAAATATTTTTTCAAATATGAATATGAAGCCAAAGCCAAATGAACTGCTTTATTTATCAATCTTGAGCTGCTGTTTAGCTGCTGTTCTTGAGCTGCTGTTTAGCTGCTGTTTAGCTACTGTTTAGCTGCTGTTTAGCTGCTGCTCTTGAGTTGCTGTGTAGCTGCTGCTCTTGAGCTGCCCACCTTCGTCTTTGTAGAGACAGTGAAATTGTAGTGAGCGGATCGACCAATAAAGACGCAAAAGAAGACGATTTACTGAAATATTCATTTCAAAACAATGAAATTTCTTTCAAAATACCAGTGGGATTTCTGGATAAAACCCCGGGATCTCCGTAAAATCGATGAAGTGCTCTCTCGATCTGGAACTGAAAATTTGAGAAGTGATTTGATATAAAAAATGGTGTTAATTTAAAGAATTTAGTCTTTCGACTTTAGACTTTAGTTAATTTAAAGACTCTACTGTACTTTAAAAGACTGTACTGACTTTAAAAGACTGTACTTTAAGACCGAAATGAATAAGAATAGAATGTTTAACTTTTAAGGGAACAATTTGAAGGAAAAGTAGAGAACGAAAGTTTCAACTGAATTGAAGTTTCAACTGAAGTGAAGTTTCAACTCAACTGAAGCTTCAACTCAACTCAACTGAAGTTTCAACTGAAGTGAAATAAAGTTTTAACTTAAAATTTCAACTAAAGAAAAGGAAAGTTTCAATTTAAAGTTTCCGTTTTAAAGTTTAAAGTTTTAAAGTCTTTAAAGTTCCAACTATTATAAGAAGTAGAATTGTTTTTTTAGAAAATCAAAGTGAGAAAGAGACTTCAATTTAGGCCTTCGTTCTCGCGATTTATCAAAGAGAGGATTGAAGGATGGGAAAGAAAAGAGAAGAGAAGAGAAGAGAAGAGAAGAGAAGAGAAGAGAAGAGAAGAGAAGAGAAGAGAAGAGAAGAGAAGAGAAGAGAAGAGAAGAGAAGAGAAGAGAAGAGAAGAGAAGAGAATAGAAGAGAAGAGAAGAGAAGAGAAGAGAAGAGAAGGGGAAAAATGGGCACTTCGTTTGTGCGATCGAAAGTGAAAATCGAGAGGGGACGCATCGGAAAGAAGAGAGGATTTCGTCAAAAATGGAAAAAAGGATGCCGGATTTGAATTTCACGTCTCTATCACCATTTCGAAAAGCTTTTTAACACACATGAATTCGTTCTAGTTGAATGTAACTCATAACTTTGTCCTTCATTGGGTTCGCTTCTTTTGTTGGCAAAAAGAATTTCATTTGTTGAAATTGAATCGCAAGACAAAACGTCAGATTGAATTGAGAACTTTTACTGAAAAGTAAGAGCTTTTACTGAACTGAAAAGACTCTAATTTTTAAAATTTAGCCATCTAGCCATCTAGGGGAATTTGTCAACGCAAAGAGAGCCTTGATGAGAAAATTTGAATGATTCGATGCACAATTTGCTCAATAATTTATCGAGTTTTTTTTTTTTGAAAAGTGAATAGATGAAAGGACGAGAGAGAAAGAGGGAATGAAAGCCTCATTTTGAATTAAAAGTATTTTTAGCCTTGCCCATTTGTATCAATATAACACCCGAGTCTTCTTCATCTCTTTATTTTCAACATTTACCCGGGGTAGCACAACGTCAGTGTGACCCTCTCTCGAATTTGGAATTAGGACTCGGGTTCGATCCCGCCTTCCGGCGGAAATCTATCCAGGAAATCTATTCGCCTTCTCTTCACTGCCAGAAGCTATCTTCATTTATTAGGTTGGTGCAAAAGAAATTTCGGTCGATATAAAATGTTCTTATTTTTTTAATCTGAAGAGCTTATTTGATGTTCTTTTGTGCATTTGTACTCTTGGATATTTACTTTATTTTCGCATTTTTTCAAAGTCAGAGCTTTCACTTTTTAATTGATTTTTGCTTTAGATCATGGTGGATCAAAAGTATGTTCTGCGCACGTGTCTTCTCTATGACTTCAAAATGGGCAAAAACGCTGCTGATTCACATCGTGATCTCTGTTCCGCCTTTAGAGAACAGGTTATCACCGAAAGATCATGCCAGCTCTGGTTTGCCCAATTCCGAGATGGTAATGAATCCCTTGAAGACGAATCGCATGGACATCGTGCCACAGCCATCGACAACAATGAATTGGAACAATTAATTGAAGCTGATCCAATGCAAACAACACGAGAACTTGCCAAACATCTCCAATGTGATCATTCAACAATTGTACGCCATTTGGAAATAATTGGAAAGACAAATCGTAATGGATAATGGGTTCCACATCAATTGAGTGTTGAGAATCTGGGAGCACGCGTTTCGATCAGCCATATCTTGCTCCAGAAGTCGAAAAGAAGCCATTTTTTTGAGAATATCTTGACGATGGATGAGAAGTGGATTCACTTTGATAATACTTCTCGAAAAAGACAATGGCTGAGCAAAGGTCAAGCGCCAATTCCAACTCCAAAGCCGGATTATCATGGGCGCAAAGTGATGTTGTCTTGCTGGTGGAATATCAATGAACTTGTTCATTTTGAATTATTAGAGCCCGGAAAAACAGTCAATTCATCTTATTTTATTCAACAACTCAAGAAGGTTGACGAAATTTTGCGTGAAAAAGGCCTAAATCCCTGAACTATCAACTTTCTCCGTGATAATGCTCCAGCTCACACGGCAAAAACCTCTCGTAAGGAACTAGAGAAGCTAGGATGGAAGGTCTTACCACATGCGCCGTATAGTCCAGACTTAGCACCCTCCGATTTTCACCTTTTCAGATCGATGCAACATTCCCTTGAGAATTGCCAGTTTAAGAATGCAAAAGAAGTCGAAAATTGGGTGACCAACTACTTTGCATCACAGAATCAAGCGTTCTTTGAGAAGGGGATCCGCAATCTGAAGCAACGTTGGAGGGATGTCATAGATAATAATGGTGCTTATTGTTTTAAATAAATTGTTATCAAAAAAAATTTTGGATGACTTTAATGTTTGTAAAAAAACGAAATTTCATTTGCACCAACCTAGTATTACTATCTATCGGGGAGGTCACGGGTTCGTTTCTAACGGCTAGAAAATTTGACTTTTACATGGGTTTTTTTTACAACAGTTAGCGCCTACGCGACTGCCATCCAGCCATCTCCAGGAATTAGAGGCCCGGATTCGATCCCTTTCATGGCCCAGGTGCTTAATGCAAGAAGCCTATCCAGCCATCTTTGCTTTCTCTTCGCCGCCAGAACAAGCTATCGCCCAATAAGAGTAGGGATTTAAGAGAATGTAGGCGTGGGTTAAGTCAAGATATAGCTTAGTATTGTGTGTTGAATTGTGCCGAATAAACCGATGTATATCTGACTTTGCATCGTCTACCAACCTGACTCTGCCGTCTTCGCCCTTTCTCCGATCCAACCGTTATAATGGCATTCTTTCCAGCGAACATACTGTCTTGTCGGCCTCGACCTGAAGCAAAGAAAATGATTGAAAATCTCATAAGAAAATGCTTATCTAAAATACCTTTGGAATTCTCTTTTATCAAAATTGAAGATTTTAAAAACATGGTCTGAGGGGGAAAAACTGTTGATCTCCACTAAAGATCCAAAAAATAAATTTCAACCTGGCTTTTCCAAAAGAAAATAGTGTTCCATAGCGTCGCTTGTATGGGGGAAAGAAGTTAGAAAAAAGAAAGAAAGCCAGAAAAAAATCTGGAGTAAATTTTGTTGATGAAAAAAGAGGAAGAGGGGAAGTCAATCTCGATGTGTGAAAAGGGACAAGATCAGACAAGAATGGGGAAGAAATTGAAAAATAAAAGAAAAGAAAGAAAGAAAAGAAAACATCTGTGTCTCTTTGAGTGAAGGATGAATTCCAAAAAAAAACGATTTTCGTTTGAAAATGGCGTTTGGAGGACCAATTTTGGGGGAAATAAGGGCTTATGCTTGAAATCTTTGAGACAAGAATTCTCTTTTGATTTACATAAGCTTTCAATATAGGAAAAGGAACATTTAAGGAAAGGAAAATTTAAGGAAAGGAAAATCTAAGTTCAATAGCTGCATTTTTGTATTTTGTCTCAAATTTGAACAATTAAAAACAAACCTTTTTCATGAATTATTTCAGTAGAGACTTTTGAATGAGAATGAATTTGAAAGATTGATTTTCTTTTAAGATAAAGCTACCGTAAATACTGTAATAGTACCCCACCCGCATAATTACGGTGCGGAGTGTTGCGTAGGCTAGTTTTGAGCGAGTTTTTCTCGACACTGGTTTATGCTACAATGCTCGCTTAGGTATCAAAAAATAGCCCCGAATTTCAGCTATTTTTTGATACCAAAGACGCATTTTTTGAAAGTACGGGTGCTTTGCATGGTGTTTTTTAGTAATGAAATACTAAAAAACTTTTGCGACTACGCGACTGTACGAGGGCAGTGGGGGACTATTACAGTATTTACGGTAAGCTCTCAATATAGGAAAAGGAAAATCTAAGTTCAATAGCTGCATTTTTCTACTTTGTCTCAAATTTGGACAATTAAAAACAAACCTTTTTCATGAATTATTTCAGTAGAGACTAGAGAATTATTTCAGTAGAGAATGGATTTGAAAGATCGATTTTCTTTTAAGATAAAGCTATGTAAGTGTTATAGAGAAAGTGAATATCCCCACAAGAATTTTCTCAACTTTTTAGGGCCAAAAATTTTTACGAATAACGGCGAGAAATTTGATTCGTTTTCATATAAAAAGTGATACATAGATAAACGAATTTGTTGGCGGAGATTTGAAAAGAGAAAAATGTATTCAACAAATACGTAAATAGGAAAACGAATATGGCTCAACGTATCAAAGTTTCAAAGCTTCAAAGCTTTCAATCTTAAGAAGCGTTTCAGCCTTAAGAAGCCTTTCAGTCTTAGGAAAAACATTCTTTAATCCCTCATTCTCATCTCTTTAATGCTCTCGATCATTCATTGTCAGTCCATTATCTTCAAGTATTCAAAAAGGATCCATTTCAGTCTCTTTTTTTTATTTTTTCGGAAAAAAAAAACCCGATATTTGCATTTTCTTTCGAAAATAGACTTAAAAGGATGAACGAGAGAAATGAAAGAAATTGAAATAGAATGAAAGAAAAAGAGATGATCATCTTTCAAATTTCATTCGATTCAACCACTTGTCTATTAGTCGCATTTTTTGCAAAATTTAAAGTTAAACTTGAAACTCATGAAAAGTACAAGAGAATCTTTTAGTTTATCAAATTTAAGAATTTAACTCAAACATACCATTTCCTCCATAGTAATCGAAATTTGAGCATTGATAAGACAACGGCATTTTTCCGAAACTCCAAATGTTTTCGGGTTACTCTTTTTTTTGTTGTTTCCCATCAACTTTCCTTCACCCAAATTAGTGACCCATCTTTCCCCAACCAATTTCTTCTTTTTCTACTCATCTAACCATAATTAGTTTGACGTCTTCGTTGAAAAAATTGACAATTTCAGTACAGAATTTTTTATTTCTATCTAAAGGTAAGAAACGATCACGGAATTTATTGATTCAAATGCCTCTAATAAAGCTCAAATTTCGCGTTTCTCCCATCTCTCACACTGGCTTCTTGACGCTCTCCGTCTAAAAGTGAAAATAAAACAAATATATCTTACCAACAGCTTTAGTTCAATAAAAGCGTTGATACTAAGGCACTTAAACTAAGGCGCAATTTTCTCAAATGTAGTTTTTCTAGGGTAATTGATGGCAATGATTACGAAAAAAACATTTTTATAAGTAACGCAATATATAAGTTATGTTTTCAATTAAAAAACTTATATATTGCCGTTATATTGAGTAGTTTATAGCCCTTAAGAAAGCCGTTGGGCTGGGGGTTTATATTGTGAGAAGAGAATTACTCGCCAGGGTACAACTGACGCACTTGGTACTTTTTAAGTGGTAAAAGGAAACGTTCTTTTTAAATTCCTGAAGCCAAAGAAACTCGTTCAGTTGTAATCAGTGTATCTGTCATTGGAATGGACATTTATTCGCCGTTTGATTATCTTTCTAAAGCGATACCATTGGATTCAACATTTTGCGTGCGGGAACCTGTCTTCGGATCAAAAAAAAACAAAAAAAGTTACTTCAATACATGTTTTTTAATTGAAAACATAACTCAAAAATGCCTTTTTCGTGATCAGCTGGTATCAGCTTAAAAAGGACCAAGTGCATCAGTTGTACCCTTGCGAGTAATTCTCTTCTCACAATATAAACCCCCAACCCAACGGCTTTCTTAAGGGCTATAAACTACTCAATATAACGGCAATATATGTTTTTTAATTGAAAACATAACTCAAAAATGCCTTTTTCGTGATCAGCGCCATCAATTACCCTAGAGAAACTACATTTAAGAAAATTTTAAATGCCCCGAACTGCCTTAGTATCAAAACGTTTACTACCTCAATGTACTTGATGAGATCAGCGCGTTCATTGGCTTTCCTCAATCCAGCAAAGATCATTTTTGTGCCCGGAATGTATTTCTTTGGATCCAAGAGATAATCGAACAACGTCTGACGGTCCCACGTCACACCCTAAAAATAGAAAAGGTGTTGTTTAATAAAAAAAAGTGAACGAATATCATAAAACGTTTACCTTGTTCTTGTTTGCTGGCGAGTAATCGAAGCCGGTCACCGATCCACTCTTTCGTCCAATCACTCCATTAAGGGTTGGACCCGTCATTGTCTGCGTCGAATCAATCACATGACATTGGGCACAACGCGATTTGAACAACTAAAAAAAGAATAGATTATGAATGCTGAGACATTGTAATATTTTAAAGCTTGAAGAAGAAAAAAATCGAAGTTAGATTATTTTGTTTAAAAAAAAGATGAAAAATGAACCTTTTTGCCCTTTTCGTAGTCTCCTTCAGGAATTGCTCCACTCTCTTCACTTTTTGACGATTCCTAAAGATGAATAAGAGTGAAAGTATAAACAATTAAATAAAACAGCAAAAAAAAGTTATAAAGAGTGCTAAACGAGCATACTGGCTTTTGGCGGTACTAATAAAGTTCGAGGGGCACGATTTTTTTTCTTCAAAACCACTTTTTCTAAGGTAGTTTTATGCGTAGATTCCGAAAAACACAACGAGAATTTGGGAAAAGGCGTTTTAAGCCAAGTTTCGGGGCTCCAAAGTGCACGCTTCTATAGTGTACATATAGATGTGCATATAGATGTACACTATATGGAGTCGAAGCTACCGACTATTGAAGCACTTTTCAAGGTCAAAACTAGAGCCAAAACCATTTTCAACCACAATATTAATTTTCTAACTTAAATTGATTGATAGAGGCAAAAACAAATTGAAAATATATTTTTTGAGATTTTGACTCATGTGGGGGACCACATGATCGAAATTTGGAAATTTTTTTTTTATTTTGCTCCAACTTGATCAGAAACGTAATCAGTAGGTTAAATTATGCCAGAAGAAGTGTTTTTGGCTTCAAAAAAATGTTTTGTGAGACCATTTTTAGCCCTCTTCCTTTTGTGTATCCCTCTCATCACACTGTATGAGCGCGCACTTTGGAGCTCCGAAATTGGCCTTGAAACGCCTTTTCCGATGCGCTCGTTGTGTTTTTCGGAATCTACGCATAAAACTACCTTAGAAAAAGTGGTTTTGAAGAAAAAAAAAATCGTGCCCCTCCCCTAACTTTATTAGCACTCTTTTGGCTAATTTATTGTAATTAAAAACTAATCAACTTCACAAGAGAAATAAAAAAAAAACAAATATATAACAAATAATAAATCTTAAAAAATAAAAGAACCTTTTTTGGAACCATTCAGTCGAGATCAGATTCGAAAATGAAAAAGCGAACCATTTGAAACTCTTTTGATTTGGCGTTTAAATGCAAATTTGCCAGACAGACAGATAGACAGACAGACACTGTTCTTTTATACACATTAGATAACAACAACAACAAAAACAAGGCAAAGCCATTTACCTTATTATCTCTAATAGTAGTGCACTCTCTAATAGTATTGCGGTCCGAGAGGGGGTTGAAAAAATAGTAGTGCACCCACGAAAATTTGAATTTCGGGCGCTTCTTTTTCATCTAAACCTTTTTGACTTTATGTTTGTGTGACATTCAGCTATTCAAAGCTGAATAATAAAGCTATGAATAAAGCTATTCAAGCAAGCAAAAGTCAAGCTTTTTTTATTCATTTATTAACTATTCTTCACATGAAAAAGTTAGCAAAAAATCTAAAATTGTTGTGCAAAAAGATCTTTTTGTTGTTTGTGTTTGTCAAGACACAAATTGTCAACTCGCTGGCCCACAACTGTATGTCAAAAGGAGCCAAAGGAGTACGTGAAAGAATTGCAAGAATTTTTGGAACAAATCTTAAATCTGTCTTACTTTGGTAAAGGGATAAAACTCTTTAATAGTAGTGCACTCTCTAATAGTATTGCGGTCCAGGAGGGGGTTAAAAAAATAGTAGTGCGCACTACTATTAGAGAGAATACGGTAAACGGTTTCGTACAAATTTCGTAACACGTTTTGTCTCCAAGGTTGACCTTCTAATAACCATGCAAACCAAAAAAACCTCGGTCAACAACAAGGAAATCTTTGTTTATTTTTTCTGAACCAATTACTGTAGAAAAGAGAACGATTTGCGAAAGAAAAGAGCAGAAATTTACATTCAACGCCTTGCAAAGAGAAGCAAAAAGCTTCTCGAGAATTGGGAGAATTCCCCTCAAGTACTCCCATCTCTCCATTGCCGCCTTTGGGTGAAAATAACAGTTCTTTTTTTTCTCCTTTTTAACCTTTTCTTCTACCCGATCACTTCAATCGCCTATTTTTTGCATCCGAGAAATATAAGGGAAGAAATGGGGGTGAGATGCCCAGTCTTTCTTTGTTCATTTTGATCTATTTCGAGAACTTTGAGATTGAGCTTTGATTTTCAACTGGATTTCAACTGAATAAATGACTAGAAATGAGCCGTGGATCTTTGCGATTATCGTTGTTTTAAGGTGAGTTTGATTGCAGATAAACTTTTGTGCAAATTCTTGAAGAAACTCTTTTCAGTCACTCGTCATTTAAAGGGAATTCCCGAGAATGGACTCAATTTGTCCCATCCGGTACCCCATCTCCGCCAATCGCTTTCTATTTTAAGGTCGTAATTCATTCCATTTTTGATTTTTTTCCATTCCAGTAAAATTGCTATCAAAAGCTTGGCTAGTTACAGCCTTGTAAAACGAGTTTTCAATGAAAATACAAGCTTTTCTATTCAGGGTTATCCAGTTTATCCAACGCCGTCTCATTACAATACATTCAGCTTTTCTATTTAGGGTTATCCAGTTTATCCAACGCCATCTCATTACGATACACCAAAATCTCTATCAGTGCATAAATACGATGAAATAGGTGAAAATTCGGCAATCTATTTGTTGAGTATATTAAAAAAAACGAACTAATAAATAAAATCGAAATTTCAGATGATCCTTATGGTGGAGCCTCGTCGCCTACTGTTCGTCCAATTGTTCAGCATCCGGTCTTTTCTTTTTTTTCTTTTTTTTGACTCAAAAACCTCAATGTGACCATCGAATTTCAGAAAGCCGTCCTCCAAAAGCAACGTCTTGGCGGAATCACGCAGAAATTCGCCTCGGCCAAGACGAAAATCAATCCAAAGAAATTCTCGCGTCCAATTCAACCAAAAATTCATCGACACTCAGTGGAAAGGACGAATTCAACTTCACCAATCCAAAGATTTGTGACTTCCAAATCCAAATCGCACAACGAAACATTCGCCGAAATGAAATCTCAAGTCGATCATTTGGGATTTCTTCCGCCAAAAATCAACAAATCACTGCCAGTTCACGAATTCAAAAAAGTCGTGAAGAATTCTCGAAAAACGACTCCAATTCCAATTCCAATTCCAATCAATTCAAATGCAATTGATTCAATTGTGGATTTACCGACAAGACTTCAAAGTTGGAAAGATAAAAACATTCACTCAAATAAGACTATGAAAAGACCAATTGATACAAATAGAAAGATTCCAATTGATCCAAAGGAAAGGAACATTACGTAAGTTTTTTAAAAACATTTGAAAAGAAAACTCTTTTCTAATTCACAGCTGAAAACAAATTCCAATTTCCAGTGTTTCTCGAGGTTTTGGCTCAGTGGAGGGATCGATCAGCGAGGGAAGCACTGATGAAATATCTTCTGATCGTTTGTTTTTGTATTTCCAAAGTTCCTTCTAAGAAACCAAGATTTTATATTTCACAATTTTCAATTTAGAAACCAAGAATCAACCAGAAAATGATCAAAAAGCTTCAGACTCGACGGAGTTCTTCCAAAATAATCACAAGTATTTAAGCCTAAGCTTAAGCTTAAAGCTTAAAGCTTAAGCTTAAAGCTTAAAGCTTAAAGCTTAAGCTTAAGCTTAAGCTTAAAGCTTAAAAGTTTTTTAAAGTTTCCATTATCAAATGCATTTCAGTTTATTTGCTGATTCAATTCCTTCAGAAAATACAACATCAGTAGGTTTCGAAAAAGAATGAAATCTGTGTCATTGTTTAGTCAAATCGTGAGATAAATCGGCCATCGGACAGGCATCTCTTGAAAACAAATGGTAAAAACTGATCTACTATATCAAAGAGCTCTGTCTGTCTGTGCACACTACTCCTCGACGCTCAGTGAATCGTTTCCTCACAATCGTTTCAAATAACTTCTACTTAGTTTGGCTTAGAATTCTATCTAGTTATGCAAAATGTTTTTAAATTTTAAAAAACCAAAAGGGCTGACGCGGGCGGGAGTCGAACCCGGGTCGTGTGGGCTAGGAACAAATACACTCGCACTGTGCTATCCACCATCCGTAGTTCGCTATCCACTGGCCGTATTTAAAAGACCGAGTGTTTAACGACCGAGTGTTTTTCTCTCAAACGAACCGGAGAGAGAGGTCGCGGGTTCGACTCCTCTGACCACCAATTCTTTTGCTTTTTGTTCCAATTTTGCTGCGAAGCTGCTGGTTATGAGATAAAAGAATGTTTTCTGATTTTTTGAATTCAAACATGCTATATTATCTAATTTAATTTAGCTGATGGACCTGTTCTTTCTCCTCCTCCACCTCCATCACTATCCATTCCAGCTCCCGCTTTACCCAGATTTGATGAACAATGAAAGTAAAAACCTATTTGTTTTATTCTAAAAACCTATTATATTTGTACAAAATCTGAATTATTCGATATTCTATAAACCTTTCTTTTCTCTGTGTTGAGAAATACAGATCAAGAACAAATAAATCAGATTTGTTAATCAATGAAGGTATTGGGTTGTCCAGTTATGAATGCGCGTTTTTACTATTTTGTAAATTTCTCAAGATATCGAACAGATTTATATGAGTGTTATATATCATTCGAGAGATGAAGATCTCCTCTACATTTTGGAATAAAAATTTTTTTGAATTCATCCAACTTTTTGGGAAATTGACTGCACAAAGGGAGAGGTCGTTTTCGAAAAAACCCATCTCCAGCTTAGCTATTCCTCAAGTTTTATCGTGTAAAATAACCGCCCAGAAAAGAACAAAAAAGCAAAGATGCTCTGAAATTGTTATATTTAAAAAATGTTGTATTGTTATATCTATTGGTCAAACATCAAACGGTTAACTCAATTTGAGCAGAGCCAAAACTTGATCCAAAGGCACCCTTCCATTTTTTGGCCACCTCTTCTTCTGTGCAGCCAATTTGCCCAAAAGTTGAACAAATTCAAAAACTTTTTATATCAAAATATAGAGGAGATCTTCAGCTTTCGAATAATACTCATATATATCTTTTTCTTGATTTCGGTATCTTGAGAAATTAACAAAATAGTAAAAAACGCGCATTCATAACTAGACAACCCAATAAAAACCTCATCTATTTATACAAAAGTATTCTATAAATCTATCTTTTCTCTGTATTGAAAATAAAAATCAAGAAAAAACATAGAATAACTTCTTAACTTAACTTGAAATGATTCTTTTTAACCAAAGAAAAATCTCTCTCTCTTGTTCATTGAACTATCGAAAGTTTAAAAGGGAATTTGTGGGGAATAATTGGAATGTTTGAATGAATGAAATGGATGAGAAGAGATGAGAAAAGATGTGGTCATTTGGCAGATGACACGAAAAGAAAATGAAAAGAACCGGTCAATCTCTTTTTCTTTTCTTTTCTTTTTTTCACCTACTATAGCCTGGAGAGATTTTTGAGTATTCCCAGTCCTTTTTCTCTTATTTCTATAAGTACTTGGATCGAGTTGTGAAAAGAAAAAAAGAAGAAGAAGAAGACTGTGGAAGTTGAGGCATTTTCATGAGAAATCGGCTTCTTTTTAGTTCAGCTTAGTTCTTAGATGTAACTTTAGATGTACCTTTAGATGTAATTCAAATTCAAATTTCAAATAAAAGCTTGTCAATTTTTCTTTGTTTCATTAAAAAAACAGTATTAGTATTATTTTCGTCACAAAAACACTTCACAATTCATTGAAAGAACTCTTCAATCTCGTTTTTGATTGAGTTTTCAATTGTATTGGGTTGATGGAAAAGTCCTTTCCGATTTTTTGGGAGAGTACCTTAAATTTGTCCAATTTTGACGTTTTATAGCTCATCCTAAAGGGCGGCAGAGCCAAAAAATGGCTGTTTTCACGTTTCGTTAGTTTTTCGTGCAGAAATCTAGGCTAAAAACATGTGTTTCGTGATCAGCAAAATAACCCCTAGACACGCATTTTCAGAATCTTAGCAAAAAATTTTTGAAAAATATTGTCACCGGTGGAAGTCGAACCAGCGACCCTCAGATCAATAGCCTTTCCGCCGCTTTTCGCGATTTTCCTTCGTTTTTCCTCGTTTTTTTTGTTTTATCATTTTTTTGATGTTGTTAGAAGGCTTTTTTCAGGAATGTCGTGTCAAGAAGTCAAGAATCGGAGGAGCACCAGCGACACCTGTTTTTCGTTTGTCGAGGATCCTTATCAACCAAATCAGCAAGCTTGTCTTCGTCGATTTCCGATGGTCTTCCTGTTCTTGCACTATCGAGAAGTGGGAAATTTCCTTCACGAAATCGTTGAAACCAATTCTGGATGGTTCGTTCGGTCACGAAATCGGGTCCATAAACGTCAGTAATCTCTCGATGAGCCTGTGCGGCATTAAGTTTTCGGTTGAATGCATACAAAAACAGGTGTCGCTGGTGCTCCTCCGATTCAACTTGACACGACATTCTTGAAAAAAGCCTTCTAACAACATCAAAAAAATGATAAAAGCGAAAAGCGGCGGAAAGGCTATTGATCTGAGGGTCGCTGGTTCGACTTCCACCGGTGACAATATTTTTCAAAAATTTTTTGCTAAGATTCTGAAAATGCGTGTCTAGGGGTTATTTTTGACGCTGATCACGAAACACATGTTTTTGGCCTAGGTTTCTGCACGGAAAACTAACGAAACGTGAAAACAGCCATTTTTTGGCTCTGCCGCCCTTTACTAAAATAGCTGTAAAAGCTTTTAGAAAAGAGATATCTCAAAACGGTTTTTACCAATCGATCCGTCTTGAATTCAGCTTTAGGATGAGCTATAAAACGTCTAAATTGGACAAATTTAAGGTACTCTCCCAAAAAATCGGAAAGGACTTTTCCATCAACCCAATAAATGAAGATTTTCTCACAAAAATCCTTTCATGACTCATTGAAATCAAAAATTTGTTCTTACATTTAAAGATTTCCCTAATAAATTCTCCCCATTTATCCCATTTTGTTCATTTTTTACTTACCATGACACTTGCATAAACTTTAATACCCAATTCACCTTGAATTGTGCTTTTTTTTTTAAACCATTTTTCTTGTTTTTTAAACCATCCACTTTTCTTGAGTCAAAAACTCGTTGAGAATGAAATTTTCACCATTTTTATGCAAATGACACTTTTGCAATGGATATTTAAATCTTCTCTTCTAGATTTCAATCGCAAACAAATTCAATGAGACTCCCTTTTGCCAAATATGAAATTTATATGCAAGTAAGTTTGAGAAAAAGGAAAAAAGAAAACAATTTTCCTTACTTTTACACTCTTTTTACCCAAATTTCCCCCTTTTTTTAGCGCTTATTCTATAAACTTGGTTACTTGATCGGATTAAAGCCTTGGTGCTTTGTTTATTCACTTATTTCTCTAACAATCATCTCTTCATTGGGATTCCTCAGATTTAAACAGGTAACATTAAGGACAAGAAATAAACCAAAGCAATGAACACAGTTTATTTTCATTTTTAGATCAATAATGCCCGAGTGACATTCACTGATTCCGAGGCTCCATCCCGGTATGAGGGACGAGTTGTGGAAGAATTTCTCCAACAGAACGGAACACTTTATATGATTGAAGTAAGAGATCACTCTGATAACCTGAGTAAGAGATCACTCTGATAACCTGAGTAAGAGATCACTTTGATAACCTGAGTAAGAGATCACTCTGATAACCTGAGTAAGAGATCACTTTGATAACCTGAGTAAGAGTCACTCTGATAACCTGAGTAAGAGATCACTCTGATACCTGAGTAAGAGATCCTTTGATACCTGAGTAAGAGTCACTCTGTAACCTGAGTAAGAGATCACTCTGATAACCTGGTAAGAGTCCTTTGATAACCTGAGTAAGAGATCCTCTGATAACCTGAGTAAGAGTCCTCTGTAACCTGGTAAGGTCCTTTGTAACCTGGTGGTCACTCTGATAACCTCCAATATCAAATACTGTACCTACTAATCAAATACTGACCTTTTCACAAACTTAATATATCCATTTCAGCTTTTGATCTCTGCCGCCGACAATGGAAGCCTTTTGCGTCCCCAACATTTCTTTCAGCTTTCTCAATTTGCTGATGAAGTCACAAATCGACTTAAAATTTAGTAAGAATTTAAAGAAAAAAAAATCATATTTCATCTCGGATTTCAGTGATGAAAATTCAAAGAATTTTTTGGGTTTTCGAAATTTCTGTCATCCTTATTGTCAAAAGAATGATCCGTTCTTTGCAGTAATGAAAATGTTTGAGCAAAATGTCACGAGTGTTGAGGTGAATTTGAATTCAAAATCAAAATCTCAACTTTGTTTTTTTCAAACCAAAAAAAAAAAACATTTAGCTAACCTATCCAATGATGGAGATTTTTGGGGAAAAAGTTTTCATTGGGAATAATTTCTATCGAATCACTCTTGATCCTTTCTCGAAAAGATTAATGGTAAGTAAAAGATCAGAAGCTTTGCTCTAAATAATTTTCCGACAGAATTTTCGAACAGTCTTATTGCATTTTTTTCTCGTTTACACCGATTCTCAAATGATGGGAAAATGGGAAAATGAGGTTTGAGTGAGAGGAAATATTTTGAAAATGATTTCGTACATTATAAATTGTTATAAATGAGGGAAAATGAGGCTTGCGTGAAAGGAAATATTGTAAAAATGATTTAGTACATTATAAATTGTCATAAATGAGAGAAAATGAGGTTTGAGTGAGAGAAAATATTATAAAAATGATTTCGTACATTGTAAATTGTCATAAAAATTGTCAATTCGTGCAATTGTCATAAAAAATTTGCTAATGCATAGATTTCAGTTAGTTCAATTGTGTTATGAGTCGGGAAGATTCGATTTGTTGAGGCCTTTAGTTGGATCCGATAATCTCGTGGCCAAGGAAGTCAAGGTGAGAAGAAGGGAAAAGATCACGAATTGACCTAGAATTAGAATAGAAACAAATAGAATAGAACTGTTAGATTAGAAATAGCAAAAAGTGGTTTCTTTTCAGAAATTGGGCACCTCGACAGCTCCACTCCTTGCTGTCGCTTTAGTTGCGTTGATGTTTTTCCTCTTTATTTGCTCATTTCGGTATACCACTTCCCTAAAAACCCAAAAAACATAAATCCAACCGTTTTAGCTCAACGTTCAACGAATCCAAGCCAACTGAAGCAATTCTTGGCGGACTGATTCCAATATTGGCGTCAGGTTTGATTGTAGAGGCTGACCGCAAATTATAGGGTCTAGCTTTTGAGGGTCTAGCTCAGAAATTCTATGAGATGTTTAATTTTATTTTTGATCTGTTTGATCTGTTTGATCATTTTTTGTCATTTGTTTTGATCATATTCATTAAATAACTTCAAAAACGTCTCTCAAAAACCTTAAATTAGGTTTTTCGTCAGGTGTACCACGACTCTCAACTTTGCATGGTTATATAAAGATTCGAGAAGCACCAATCAGTTAGAAAATGGGCTTGGCTACAGGAGAGTTACTCAAAAAACACCTCCAAAAATTTTATGCAGATTCCTTGAGTTCTCGCTGAGCTAGACCCTCAGTGGTGAGTCGCTATAATTCGCGGTCACCCCTTGTATTGTCAATTTGCCCCTTGTTCAATATTTGTCAGTTCAAAGAGAGTCACTCGTTTACAGTAACCACGGTGGGTCTTGTTTCAGCGGGTGGTCTTCCATTTCAAAGTATTGTCGTCAGTACTCTGTTTTTATTGTTAGCGATCGGTTTGTTTGAAAATATTTGGAAATCTTCGGAAATCTTTTCTTTATAGGAATCGACGATGTTTTTATTATGCTGGCCGCTTGGCATCGAAGTGATAAAGAGCAGAAAATTCCACAAAGAATAGCTCAAGTTGTTCAAGTGAGGGTTTTTTTTAAAAAACATTACAAATACAAAACAATTTATTCCTTACCAGCAAAAACATCAAGAAAAAAGAAAAAAAATTGGGGCGCAAAAATCTAGTCGCGCTCTTTTGCGCGTTTTTGCATTGACGCTCTTTTGAATGGCGCTCTTTTGATATAGTCCCAGCCTATTGCTATCCTTAAATCTTTAATCTATCTTGGATTCTAAATTATTAGATTTTTAAATATATAATATAATATAACCAGCGGAAAACGCTCACAAAAAGGTTTGTGTTTTCCACGCAACCGCAAGCCCCGCCCCATTTTTGCCGTAATTACGGAGCGTCGCGTTTGCGCACAGAAAGACAGACAGACAGACGTCTCTTCTGCTTTATATGTAGTAGATAAACATACCGTAAATACTGTAATAGTACCCCCACCCCCCATGATGACGGTGCGGAGCGCTGCGTAGGCTAGCTTTGAACGTGTTTTTCTCGACACTGGTTTAAGCTACAATGTTCGCTTAAATATCAAAAAATAGCCCTGAATTTCAGCAATTTTTTGATACCAAAGACGCATTTTTTGAAAGTACGAGCGCTTTGAAAAACAAGAAATACGAAAAAACTTTTTCGACTACGCGACTGTACGAGGGCGGTGGGGTACTATTACAGTATTTACGGTAGGTTGTTCGGATCTAAACAAGCGTTGCTAAGCTTATTGTTGTGAGAGAAGCTTTTAAAACACTTGACGCTTGACGTCAAGTATCCCACCCCCATAATGACGGTGCGAAGCGCTGCGTAGTCTAGCTTTGGACGAGTTTTTCTCGACACTGGTTTAAGCTACAATGCGCGCTTGGGTATCAAAAAATAGCCCTGAATTTCAGCTATTTTTTGATACCAAACACGCATTTTTTGAAAGTACGGGCGCTTTGAAAAACAAGAAATACGAAAAAACTTTTTCGACTACGCGACTGTACGAGGGCGGTGGGGTACTATTTACGTATTTACAGTACGTACGTACAGTATTTACGGTATCTCTTATTTGAATTACAGGAAGCAGGTTGTTCAATGATGATCACAACTGTCACCAATGTGATTTCGTTCGGGAATGGAGTACTATCAACGACACCCGTTTTGCAGGTAAAACTATCGAAAAACTATCGAAAAACTGTCTAAAAACTGTCTAAAAACTATCAAAAATTTGAATATTTTTAGACATTTGCCATCTATTCAACAGTTGCTTCAATAATTTGTTTCATTTTTCAATTATTACTTTTCCCTGCAATTCTCGCGATCAATGAACAGCGACGAGGAGACAACGAAAAAGGAATATGGTTAAAAGATTTGACAAAGTTTTTACATTTATTCAACTTTAGCTTCAATTCTCTACCAAAAAGGATTGAGTTTATAAATCAATTATCAAAATTTCATGATTGGTTTTTTCGAGTTCTCATTGAATTCGTGTGTTCATGGTGGATGAAAGTTATTGTGTTTTTGGTAAGTTGCATAATTTTAGCAAGATTAACAGGCTTTCATTAAACTTTTAAACTTTCTGTGAATACTACAGGGTGCGTCATAATTATTGCAACAAGATACTCAAGGCATTGCACACCAAGAAGTTTCACTGGAAGAAGATTTTTAAACAGAAATAGCTTTATTTAACAGTAACAAATAAGGAAACAAGAGATCATTCGATATGACCGCCTTTTGCCTTGATAACAGCCCTTAATCGGTTCGGATATGCCTCCACTGCGGCCCGAATGTCATCTTGAGGAGTCGCCTTCCATCCTTTGGTCAAAGACTTCTTCAAGGTCAAAGAGCAGACATTAGCCTCTAAGATTGCCCAAATGGAAAAGTCCATCACATTGAGATCCGGTGAGTTTGGAGGCCATTCATCCTTGGTGATCACTGAGGGAAAGTTGGCCACACACCAGTCCTGAACCGTCTTCTTCGTGTGAGCGGGAGGCAATTAGGCAAGAATAAAGAAGATAGAACGCAACACAACAAAAAAGGGGGCCAAAAAAATAAGAAAGCTGTTTGGAAAACGGTCTTTGAACTCTTGTTGCAATAATTATGACGCACTCTGTAGAAGAATCATCGCTTTTATTTAAAGACTTTAAAGACTAAAAGTATTATAACTTTTAGTTTATTTCTAACATAGTTCATTGTTTATTCTGGAAAATGGAATGGTGAAGAGTGGAAACGCCTTCCCTTTTTGTTCTTTGTTCTTTTCTTTCTGTTCTTTCTTTTCTTTCTTTTCTTTCTCTTCTTTCTCTTCTTTCTTTTCTTTCTTTCCTTTTTCTCAAAAAAATTCTTATTAATTGCAGTTTTTGATGTTTTATTGGACCTTATCACTTGATGGAGTCTTCAAGGCAAAAAGTGAGCTTGGAATTCAACACATTGCCCCATCAAATAGCAAAATTTCTCTATTCAAAAGAGAATATGAACTGGTTGTAAAGGTAAAAAAAAAGAAAGAAAAGAAATCAAAAGCACATAAAAAAGAAACTAAGAAACATTTTTAGAAAATGCAACCCTTGGCAATCGTCATTCAGACTCCCGGTGATTTGAGAAATGCGACAATTTTTAGGCGACTCAAAGAGCTCATTCAGTGAGTCACAAATCTATCAGTCTAACATCTAATCTAACAAATCTATCAGTTAGATCAAACAAATGATTGCTTTACTTGTAAACTTTTATAAACTTTTAGATCTTTTGAAAGTGAACAATTCTCTTATGGTCGAAATTCGACTTTCTGTTGGTTATTCGGTTATGAGGAATATTTGAGATTTTATGATTCGGAATTTGAAGAAGTAAAGAAAAAACGAATTCAAAAATGATTTTTCTTTAGTTTTCGTACATTTATCTACCAGATTTTCTTGATTCTTCCACAAATGAACACTTTAAAGGAACGATTAAGGTACGGTTAAGGTACGGTTAACATCTGCATAGACAATCACAGCTCTTTAGCTAAACGAAAGAGCTTGTCGAGAGGATTCCCCACAATGTGTGCAATCATTTTTGCTTACAACTGGCTTTACAAATGTCTCCTAGTATGGCTAAAATAAAATCAAATAAAATCGTCTAATCAAAGTGTTTAGCTACAATGAAATGTATCCAGTTATTGAAAAGTGGAGAGCGATTGCACAAAGATTTCCCGAATTCAGTGTCATTTCATACACGGAAAGACACAATTACGCTGATCAGGTAAAAAACGATAAATAGTGTAAACTATCTATGCTAAAAAATAAAAGAATGAAAAAATTCAGTCAGCTAATCTCCCCGATGTGATCTGGCAAACACTTTGGTCAGAAGTTATCTGTATGGGAATCTCTTTTGTAATTTTCATTCTCGATACTCTATCGATTTGTGCCGGCCTTTTTGCCTTAATCTCCGTCAATTTGGGTAGAAATTTTTCTGAAAACTGATATAAAAAGCCTTTCTTTGAGTCTTTGATAAGAATAAGACTTTAGCTGACACACAAAAATAGTAGAACAGACCTATAATCTACTTCTAAATAGCAAACAAAATAGTTTATCCAACAAATTTCAGGTGTTTTCGGCTTTTTAACCCTTTGGGGTGTACAAATCAATCCAATCAGTATGGCGGCTCTCCTTATGTAAAAACGATACTTTATTCGAAATCCTAAAAATTTTTAGGTCAATCGGTTTTTCTGTTGATATTTCCGCTCATATAAGTTATCATTACTATGAAACGAAAGCTAAGGTTTAAAAAAAACATAAAAACCCATTTACTCAATCAAAAATAGACATCAAAAGAGCGGCTGGAGATAACTTTTCTGCATATTGGATGGCCAACTATTCAGGTTTACAAAAACAACTGACAAAACAAGACAAAACAAGATAAAACTAGACAAAACAAGACAAAACAAAACTTTTAGGGAGCTATGTCTACTTTATTAGCAATGGTTTTTATTTTGTTGAAGCCTAGCTATTTGGGGATCGTTTTTCTAAAAGTAAAACTCGCAAATGATACTCAAAAAACCCCCAATCAACACTATTTAGACAGTGTTTCTTGTGGTTCTTTTCGGACTTTTACATGGCCTTGTCGTGCTTCCCGTATTTTTATCTCTATTTGCCTCATTCCAGAAGTCATCACGGTAATAAATGCTCCCAAAAATGCAAAGAAAGCCTAGCAAATTTAGTTTCGAAAATAAAACTCTAACACGATTGGATGTTGATCACTTGAACAGAATAGAACAACCAAAAAAGTTTTGATTTTCACTGGTTCTTTACGGTTTCGATTAATAAAACATTGTTTTAATGTCATTAAATACGTCTATACAAAAGAAAACAAACAACGACGATTTTCAGCCGATACATTGAATACTTTTTACTTAATTTTTTTGTTTTGCCAGTATTTAAGTCACAAAAAAGAAAAATCCTCATTTTTTTTCCTCACTTCTACGGCTGGCAGGTTTTTTTTGTTTTATTTTAGCATTTCCCCACGCGCGTTTTGATTGAAATTTGAAATAAATACAAAAAATATAGATACTTTGGTGGTTGGGAGGGGCATCCCAACTACCAAAGTATCAAAGATATACTTTATTCATGAAATAAAGTGGCCTAATGAATGAAACAGTATAATAATGAAATTTAAGAAATCATACAGGACAGTAAATGATAATAATGATAATAAAAATGCAGAAAGCAAGAAAAAAGACTTTCAGGAAAATATATAGACTTTTTGTCTAAGACTTTTTTGTATTTTATCAACGTATTAGTTAGGTAGTTAGATTGGAAGGTGACAATTTGCGGGCTGTTACCGAGTTTGCGAGCAACGTTTTTGTCAATTCAAGATTTCATTCATGGATTCGTTTTGCATTCGATGTGTGTCCTCCACATCTTTTCGTTCACCCCCTTGGAGCGCGTGTTGACCCTCCTTTATGGTGGGGTTGCTGCCCCCTCGATGGCCTTTCGCATTTCCATTCGCCTTTTTTTGTGCCCCTTCACCCCTCTTCTTGTTGTGTCATCGGTGCGAATCCCCCTCTCCGATACCCGTCTCTCTCCGGTTTTTCGCGCCAAATCACTCCTTTTTCGAAAAAACAACATTGCCTTGCCGTGATTTTTTACCCAATAACTAAAGTTTTTTGACAATTAACTTTAGTGTCGAACTGCATATGGGATTGTCATCTTTTTCTTTGTTTTCATCAACTTGTTTTTTCAAAAAACTGCAATTTTATCTTGTCGATATTTTTGTATTGTAAAAATTTAGAAGGATCATAAAGTATTTGAGTTGCTGAGTCAGCGGCTTAACAAGGTTAGAAAATTTCTGCCTTTTATTTACTGATTAGACGTTGTAAAAGAGGCGATCGACTTGCGGAGTGTCCGGAGACTGTCCTTGGCTGATAGCGGCCAATTTTCCTTTTCTGGCCACCCTTCTATGGGTTTGAATCGATTGATGCTTGCTTGTACAAATCGGTTTGCTAATAGACTCGTCTTTTAGTTTTTTTCCACCACTTGTCAGGATCTATCATTTCGACAAAGAGGCTTTGCATCACAATTCTTCTCGATTGCTTTTCGAATTGAATTCGTCCTTTTTCGACGCCGGTTTTTTATGCATTTGGAGGACATGAGTCATTTTTTTCAATCCTCGCGTCGCTAAAGGATTATCGGTGACTTTGGTGCAAGCAATCTTTTTATTTGACTATCTTTTTAGCAAGTTTTTATTTCAAAATGATATCATTAGCCGATAAAAAAATGACTATACTTGATTAAAAACACTTCCCTTCATATTCTTTCTTATTTTTCTCGGTCCATTAGCATATGTAGCCAGGAGAGCAACGGGCCTACGATAGTGGGGAGAAATCTCATATGGATGATCGGTTGTGGCGCTGCCTTGACCTTTACGTCTTTTGCTGTCTTTCGCGATTTCTCTAAGTCTATCTAACGCCTGATCCGTTCGGTCAGCCCCCTTGGGCGCGCAGCACGCGCGCAACACATTCGCGGAGAGGGAAAAGAAGAGGAAAGGAGAGCCCCTACATTCTTTCATTCATTCCTTTCCTTTCACGAACGAAGGGCCGACCAACAGTACAAACAGGCGAAAGCATTTGGACCGGCTTCATGAACTTCTGACAGCTAGCTGAAACTTATTTTCTTTGCTGATTTCTCTATCTTGTAAATGTCCTACTCTTATTCGGCTTCTATCTACGCTCCCGGGCATCAAACGGGCAAAAATGGTTAGTTGCTGATGTTGGTAAATAATTTTCTTCAAAATGGCTTCGCATATTGGTACCTAACTATATGTAAGTTGTGGTAAGATTACCTACAGTCAGCTTGATGTTAGTAATGATTAAGAAAGCTTTAGGGGTTAATTGATTGGAATCCCTTTTATCTCTGGAAAAATTCTTTCGACTTAGCTTTGCATTTTTAGGTGTGCTTTTCTCCTTTGTCTCCATCGCTATAAAGTTTTTCTTATCTCAAAAAGCTAGTCATCACCTGAAAAAGGGGTTTCTTTGATACTTTTTTTATTTTTCTACTATCTTTGATTGAAATGAATGTTAGTATACAAATCATACATCTTTAGAACGAACGATTGTCAACGATAGACAACATCAGGACAAATCGGATCAAACAACTAGTAGGAATTTTTTTGCATACTCTAACTATGACTACTTTACCAAGCTCGTTACTTGAAACTTTTTTAAGGAGATCAAATGAGCAATCGGCGTCACTACGACATTCCGGTGCGTATTCCAAGACCGGGAGGAGCTCCTACAAATGGTGGAAATCTTGGAGCCGTACCTTCCCCAAGGACTTTTGAAGAGGTATAATTTTTTGTTTTGTTGTTGTAAGTTTACAACAAGCATTTGTAATTGATTTAGACCGGCTTAAATATTTTGGATGATCCCGATTTTTTTGATGAGGTTGTTGGGACATGAAACTTTAATACCCAATCTCTTTGCATGTGCTAAGACTTTCTTCTGTGACAAATAACAAAGTTCTTATTGATATTTTTGCAAATGAGTGATCTAATTGGGATTAACTATCATCAAAAATCATTTTCACATTTTATATATTAACTTCTTTAGGAGGATTTCACGAACGAAACTCTGTACTTTGAGCGAAACCGTATCAAGCAGCTTCAAGATGAACGGGTGCATATCCAAAAGAAGACTTTCACGAAATGGTGCAACTCCTTTCTTAATCGGGTAAGTTATCTAAGGGGGGCCTATTAAGGCTTCATTATTATTATGAAGGGTTCAAGAGGGTGAGAAAAAGATTCCTGTTGCAGTCCCCCCCCCCCTCTTCCCGCTCGCCCTCATTTTGACATTTATTTGGTTAAGGCGGAAGTTTATGAACGCCTCCAAAAGATTGCCCATAGAAAGTAAATAATGCGCAAAATTATTGATACTCTGGGCAAGTAAGAGGTTAAAGCGTTATTTAATTAAAACTTCTTTAAACAATATGAAACTGTTGCTATAATGCAATTGTTAAACAGCTGCACAAAAACAAATTTCAATGCTAACTTTTGTTTATAGCTGAAAGAACACCTAAATGACTGTTTCCTCTCCACCACTTCAAACAAGGCCGAAAACAGCCCTTTTTTTACCTCGCCTCCTCTCATTCCCCATCTTAGAAGGACTGAACGAGGCTGCGCCCTTTGTCGGCTGGTCAATATCGGGACTGACCCTCTCAACATTCACAGCTAGAAAGCACCTTTTGGATCTTGAAAGGAAAAAAAATCGACTTTTTGGAAAAAAAAACAAATTTTGCATGCGTTCACGCCATAGTCCAAGAATGGATGGGCGGGTTTAATAAGAGCGAGCGAGACAAGCGATTCATTACAGTGTAATGATCATTGTTTGTTTAGGCAAGATTGGAGATCAATGATCTTTTCGTGGATGTATGTGATGGCGTGATGCTGATGAAACTGCTTGAAATCATCTCAGGCGAAAAGGTTTTTGTTTTGGGGTAGCCTAAGCAGTTGTTTATTTAGCTTGGAAAACCGAACAAGGGAAGGATGCGTGTTCAGAAGATTGAAAACCTAAACAAAGTGTTGGATTTTCTCAAAAAGAAAAAGATTCAAGTAAGTAATTCCTTTATTTAAAAATGTATTGTTGGTTTAGTTGGAAAACATCGGAGCTGAAGACATTCTTGACCGGAACGAGCGCTTAATCCTAGGACTTATCTGGACGATCATTTTGCGCTTCCAAATTGATACAATTGTGATTGAGGTAGAGTTTAATTACGTTCATAACATGTTAAACTTTTTTAGGATGAACAGGAAACTGGTGAACGCAAACACGCTAAGGATGCACTGCTTCTGTGGTGCCAAAGAAAGACAGCGGGCTATCGTAATGTCAAGGCAAGTAGTTGTTGAGTTGTTCTGCCAAATTCTTGATTAAGGTCGAAAATTTTACCAGCTCTTGGAGAAGCGGTCTTGCTTTCAACGCTCTTATTCATGCGCATCGTCCCGACTTGCTCAATTACGACGGACTCAATCCAAACGATCACATGGGAAACTTGAATAACGCTTTTGATATTGCTGAGAAAAAGCTCGACATTGCCCGGTAACTATTACGAACATCATAAATACTTTCCATTTAGCCTTTTGGATGCTGAAGACATCGATGTGGCTCGTCCGGATGAAAAATCTATCATCACTTACGTCTCGCTCTATTATCATTACTTTGCCAAGCAAAAGTCTGAGATGACTGGAGCTAAACGAGTTGCAAACGTGAGTCAAAATCGATGCTAGAAAACACTAACCATTTTTAGATTGTCGGAAAGTTGATGTCGCAGGAACAGATGGAAGATGACTACGAGGCAATTGTGAGCGATTTGCTCGAGTGGATCAAGGTTTTGCACTTATTTTGGGATCTTAATCAAAACATACTTTAGCAAACTATTGTGATGTTGAACAATAGGAAATTTCCCAATTCATTGAAAGGAATTCAAGAGGAAATGGTTCGCTTCAATCACTTCCGGAATGTTGAGAAGCCTCCAAAGTAATATATTCAAGTTTCTTCATGATGTGCGTTTTCAGATACAAGGAAAAGGGCGAACTCGAAGCGCTGTTCTTCAATATTCAGACCAAAAGAAAAGCCATGGGTCGTGGTACATTTGTTCCCCACCAAGGTATTCTAAATCGCTTCTATTTTATCTTTATATCGAATTCAGGCCTATTTATGAAAGATGTGGAAAGCTCCTGGGAACGACTTGATCGAGCTGAAAACGATCGCCAGACTGCAATCATCAATGAAATGCTACGCCAACAAAAACTTGAACAATTAGCTGCTAAATTCCTTCGAAAAGCTGAACTCAGAGAACATTGGTTGAATGATATGAGTACGTTTTTTGTTAACACTCAAAAATAAAAAAGTCAAGGTCGTCATCTTGATGAGCTAGAGTTGGGACGAACAGCTAGCGATGTCGAGGCTGCTTTGAAAAAGCATCAAGCAATCAGCGCCGATATTTTACCACGCGAAGAACGCTTCAAGATTTTGTCTAAGATGTGCGCCGAACTTACAACTGAAAATTACCATGAAGCGGATCGTATCCGGGCTCGGTTGGTCTTCTTATTGTTAGTTAAATAACGTTGTCTTTCTTTAGTGAACGTGAAATCTTGGAAAAATGGGCTCATCTGCTCTCGGTATTGGAAACAAAGCGTAAGCAAATAATGGGCTTGAATGAATTGATGGGTCTTCTTCGAGACATCGACACCCTAGGCAGCGAGCTGAAACACCTCGAGGTAAATATGAGTGTGTCTTTGAAAAAAACACAACTTTTTAGCCTGTGGTTCGCAACCGAGATGTAGGAAAACATATTCTTGGAGTCGACGACTTGATTGGAAGGCATGAACTGGTTGAAGGACAAGTGAGGCATCAATCAACGGACTTATTTTCTATGTCTTTTAGGTTAACGCTCACGGTGCTTGGTTGGGAAATGTCACTCGTCATGCTCAAACTTACATTCGTGGAAAAGGAGAGCAATATGAAATACTGCAGCGCAAGCTCGAAGATGTCAGCGCACAATACGACAACTTGGTGTCTCTCTGTCAGCAGCGTCGAGCCGCTTTGTACAAAGCCAGAGAACTTTTCCAGTTTATTCAAGTACGCATTTTCTGTGTTTTACTAAGTACACCTTTTTTAGGATCATGAAGAGGAAATGACTTGGCTAGCCGAAAAAGAAGCTCTTTGCCAGAATGCTATTCAAAAAGGAGACGTTGCAAACGTGGTCAACATTGGTCGATTGCATAAAGTGCCGTTTTTCTTTTTTTTTTGCAGCAACAGCATATTTAGACGGTCGAGTCGGAAATGAAATCACACTGGACCCGCTCGAAAGAAATTATGGCTGCAGGCGAACGAACATTGTACTCGGAAACGGTAATAGTATATCTTTGTATCTGTACGCCATCAAAGCGTGGTTTATAGTAATTTTTTTTGCTATCTGATAAAGTTCTTTAGCCCGCTCTTCCTTCTTCTTTTATGAATGGACAAAATCGAGAAGACGTGCAGAAAAGAATCCAGCAAATCCAAGCAAAATGGGAGGCTTTACGCCGTGTGGTTGACAAATTGGCGCAATGGTTGCAAGAGGCGGAGCGCGCTCAGCAATACTTCCAGGTATACGAAGTTGGAACGTAAACTAAAATTAAGCTGATCTAGGATGCTAATGAGGCAGAGTCTTGGATTCGGGAGAAGATGCCGCTTGTAAAATCTGATGATTATGGAAAAGACGAAGGGCAAGCTGAAAGCCTTTTAAATCGCCACAATCGACTTGCAGAGGAAATCAATGCATTCCGGTATGGTATTCTTAGCAAGTTTTTACAGGCTTGTTTCTAGTTCCGACATTGTTCGATTGGAAGAATCGGCTTCGCAACTTGGTAGCTCTTCATTGTTCACAAATGGAAACTCTCTAGCAAATGATAGTGAAGAATTGCTTGTTCCACAGGTTAATTGTTTTTTTATTATTAAAAATTTTGATTGTTTAGGTGGAAATGCTGTACAAGTATGAAGGCAATGGAATGAAAGTAAAGAAAGAGGAAGTCTGTTTGCAAATTTGACGAAAAAACTACGGTATTTAGGTTGTCGCGTTGCTTGACAAAACGAATTCTGACTGGTGGTGTGTCCTGAAACAAGATGGCAGTGAGGGATATGTTCCAGCCAACTATTGCAGGTGGGTATCATTCTTTAAAGAGAAGGAACAGTAATTTGTTTAGAATTGTTCCGGGAGAAAGTGTGACTATCGCCCAAAGTGCTGCAAGTGGTTCGAAGGCTGCTCGTCATGAAGGAGATGGAAAGAAAGAAATCCAAGAGCGTCAACAGATGATTAGCCAAGACTATCGGTAAACTATTTGTTGTAAAATTTACTGTGGCGTTTAGGAAGCTGAACAAGATGGCGGAAATTCGTCGTCGATTGCTTAGCGACAATATCAAGCTAATGCGTTTCTTCCGTGAATGCGATGAATTTGAGGTAAAATTTAAATCAAAGTCATTTAAAAGATTACTTTAGAATTGGGCTCAAGACACAATCACCGCGCTTTCCGATGAACCATCTGTAGAACATGTGGAAGCTTTTCGCAAGAAGCTTGACAAGGTATGATTGCCGAGATTTCTTAGATCAATTTGATTTAGCTGGAGCACGATATTGCTGCGAACGGTGGCACACAACTCAAACGAATCAACACGATGGCCGATGAGCTTTCAGGAGAAGGGCATAGGTAAGGGTTTGCTATTGCCAAACGCTAAATTTAATTTAGCCAATCGCATCAAATCACAGCAAGGCAAGAAGCGATGAACAAAATTTGGGCTGAAATCGAGAAACTATTCCGTGCCAAAGCTCACCGCCTTTCCACACTCGAACAGCTGGCTGATTTTAATGCCAACTGCGCTGATGTCGAGAGCTGGATGAAGGTCGCTAGGGTTTGGACGTCTTTAATTTATGATTGTTTAGGGCAAGTTCGATATTCTCGATCGCAAACCGCAGGACCTGAAATCGCTTCAGAATTTGGAAAGGGATTTGAAGCCATTAGAGGAAAAGATTCGAGTTACGACTTTAACTTTGCACTTTAACTTCAATCTATTAAGGCTCTCGAAAATTTGGCGGACCATGTGAAAGCTTCAAATCCTGAAATGGCGGCTCTCATTCAAAAACGTATCAACGAGTTGAAGGCAATCCATTCCGACCTCTTGAATCGAGCCCGGCAAAAAATTATGACAGCAGAAGAAACTCAAGGTACAGAACTCTTCGACTTCATAAAAACGATCAAATCATTTAGGCCAAGAGATGTTTGACAATGCTCTACTCGAAATGCATAAGTGGATCGAAAAGACTAAAAAGGAGCTTAACGATATGATGCGCCCGATCGATGTTCAAACGGCAGAAGATATGCTCAAGAAACACTCGGAGCTTGGAGAACAAATTAAGGTAAGCTTCCAGAAATAATTGTTTTAAAATTCATCGCTTTAGGACAAAAAGTATGAAGTGGAGTACGTACATGAATTGGGGAAGCGACTTCTCGATAAGAATCCACGCCTAAACGTTGTTCGAGAAAAGCTTGGAAACTTGCAGCATGCTATGGAAGAAATTCGAGGGATCTGGAGTGCTAAGGTAATCCGATATCAATTAATGGGATAATGGGAAATTGCGTAGCAACCTCTATTTTTAGAATGCATACTTGAAGCAACAGCTTGATCTCCAACTTTTCAACCGCGAAGCAGAAAGAATTGACGCTGTAACGAAAGGACATGAGGCTTTTCTCGATTTCAAAGTATGCTCTCTCTTTATGCTAGCGCTGAACTTGCGCTTTTAGGACCTGGGAGATTCAGTTGAGTCAGTCGAGAATCTGCTCAAAAGGCATCGTGATCTCGAAGCCAAATTGGACGCTCAGCGACCTCGTCTTGATGCTTTTAATAAGAACGCCGATGAACTGATCAGAGTCAAGCATCCCGATGAAGGATACGTTCACAAGGTGCATTATTTTCAGTCTATTAACACTTTAATATTTAGCGACGTGATGAAGTTCTTGCTAGACGTGAGGCCGTGCGCCGTGCGGCCGCTCAAAGAAGGGCATTGCTGGAGGCATCGATGGAATATCAAAGCCTTCGCCGAGATGGTGATGAGATGCTTGGATGGATTGCGGATAAGAAGAAAGTGAGATTGCTTTTTTGAAAGGTTGAGTAAACTCATTTAGATTGCGACGGACGATGCTCATCTTGATTTGCACTCAATTGAAATCAAACTCCTAAAGCACGAGGCATTTGAAGCCGAGATTAAAGCCAATACATCTCGAATCGAGCACATCAACAAGGTTTTTAGTGTTGCAAATTTGAGTTGATTAATTTTTTTAGGATGGAGCAATGCTGATCTCGCGTCGACACTATGAAACACCAAACATCGAACGATTGGTCGATAGGGTGAACACCGCCTGGGCTGGTTTGAAAGATGCTTCTGCAAGAAAGGGAGAGAAACTGCGACAAGCGGCTGACCAAAAGGTACTTTTTTTGTCTGCGATTTAAAATGTATTTGGATTAGAATACAAGCAGTTGGCTCTAGCAACTTTTTTCAATTCAAAACCTTGAATTAATAAGTAAAATTAAAAGTTTAGAGCTTGAATGATATCCTTGACGATGCAAATGCCAAACTTGACGAACTCGACGCAGCCTTGCAAAACAAAGATGTCGGAAATGATCTACGCGGTGTCAAGGATTTGATTCAGAGACATACAACGATTGAGCAAGAGCTACGTGTTTATGAAGACAAGGTTTTGATAGATAAACTAGTTAAAAAAGTAATTATGTTTTAGCTACAAGAAATCTCCAGTAAAGGATCGCATATGGCCGAGCAAGGGCATTTCGATTCGGAAAGAATTACCAAAACCGTTAAAAATTTACTGAATAGGTAAAATTGTGGTGCCTTCAATGCTCAATAATCATTCAGATTTGAAAAGCTGACTGACCCTTGTGCGGCAAGACGTGCGGCTCTTGAGGAATCTCTGAAATGGCATCAATTAGCTTTTGATGTTGATTGTGAACTTCAATGGATTGCCGAAAAGGTACAAAAAAAGGTCCAATAACTTCAACAGTTGACTTAAGGTTCCAATTGCCGCATCTGAAGAAACTGGTCGAACTCTCACTGAAGCCTTGAACATGGCAAGAAAACAAGAACAGCTGGAGGCTGAAGTCAACCAACATGCTCCTCACATTGAAGAAACTGTGCATCGTGGCGAAGAGCTCATCAAAAGAAAACACACAGCCCAAAAAGAAATCAAAGGCAAATGCGAGCAGGTATTTTGCTATCAAGATAGCGAAACCGAATGCAAATTTGCTAATATCATTTGCTTTAGCTTGCCGGTGCTTGGACTCATCTTCAACAGCTTGTGAAACGCCGGAAATGGATTGTGGAATGGGGAGTGAAGGAGCAACAATATCTATTTGATGCTACGGAGGTAAACATTTTGAACGTTTTGTTTTAAGCTTTGTTTTAGGTTGAATCATGGATGGCTGAAAAACGAATTCTAATCGAGTCTCAAGATCACGGGCAAGATGAAGATGCAGCACAAAAACTTCTTGCGAAACACAAGGCTTTGCAGAATGACATGAGCACTTACAGGTAGTTTGATACAAAAAGAACAAAATATTTTGGCCTTAGGCAATGGGTGGAACGATTGGCGGTGAAGTGCAATGAGCTAGTGTCGTCAAAACGGCCAAACGTCGAGCGATTCACCAACAAGCAAAGGTTGATTAAGTCGTCAGCATTACCAAGATATGTGGTTTAGGGAACTCGAAGAGGAATTTGAACGTCTTGCGGAGCTAGCTGAAAAACGCCGACATCTACTTGAAGATACACTCTGCCTTCACGCTTATCTCCGGTTTTAAATTTTTTGTTTTCAGCTAATGTATGAGTTTTTAGGGAAAGTGCTGATCTCGAACAGTGGATCAATGAGCAGTTGCAAACGGCAATGAGTGAAGAATATGGTGATGACTATGAACATCTCAAGGTTGGACTTCAGATTAGATTTGACTAAACTAACAATTTAGGAATTGCAAGCAAGATTTGCCGAGTTTCGTCAATCAGTGAAGACGGGAAGCGAACGATTTGTGTCCTGCGAACTTGCTGCTAACTCAATTCTTAAGCGTAACACTCCCTTCGCTCGAGAAGTTTTGAAACGCCAAGAAAGACTTCGATCGGTAGACCTAAACTTTTCAATGCTGACAATGAGTTACTTCATTTTAGGTTTGGACACTTCTCGTAGAGTACATGGAGTCAAGAGAACAAAAACTTAAAGCGGCCGAAGAGTTGCACCGATTTAATAGAGATGTGGCGGAGCATGAGCAAAGTGTTGCCGAACGACTTAATGGAATGCCAAATGATCTTGGAAGGTAAAACTAAACTTATTTTTTATTTATAGTGCTTAAATTTAAAATAAACAGTAATTTCGTTGTGTTTAGGGATGTCAAACAAGTGCAATCTCTGCGGCAATCTCACGAGACTTTCGAAAAGCAGCTGACTGAAATGCGAACACAGCTTGATAAACTCCTACAAGAAAGTGCTCGGCTCAAAGAAGTTTGTTTCGTGGGTATAAGTAATAAACGGGCGGGCTTTAGGCTTACCCTGGCGGAAACGCAGAACACATTTCCCAGCAGCAAGTTGCAATGACCGAAGGCTGGGAAGAACTTGAACAAGCAACCCTAAACCGAAAGTACAAGCTTCGCGCTGCTTACGATTTCCATCGATTTATGGGCGAGGTATTTGAAGAATTGCATGGGTACATTTATTATTTTTTTAGGTTCGGGATCTTCTCAGTTGGTGTGATTTGATTGTTTCTGAAATGCAAACCGAACAACACCTACATGATCTGCAAGGAGCTCAGTGGTTAAAAGAAGAACATGCTCGACTTCAGTCAGAAATCGGTAATAGTTTCATATTAATATCAATGAACAAAATTTATGTTGTTTAAGAAACACGAAAGCCTGCTTTTGCAAAAATTGATGCTACTGGAAGAGAAATGATTGCGGCAGAGCATTATGCAAGTGACGAAATCAGGGCTCGTCTTCACCAGGTTAGAATTGAATGCTGGGTTTTAAAATCTGATCTTTTAGGTTGATAGTGCTCTGAAACGTCTTCATTCTGAATGGTCGCTTCGAGAATCTTACTTAGCACAAGTATTAGCTTAACTTTTTATTAGGTATCAGCTTACATTTAGGTCGTTCAATGGCACTCCTTGCAACGCGAAGCAAAACAAATTCTTTCGGCAATTCAAAGCAAGAGGAATACTTTAAAACAGTTGGCCGTCGGTGGAAATGTGCAAGAGGTATTTTACTTTCGTACGATAGATTGTATTTTGCTTTCGCACTTACAAATCGGATTTAGGTCGAAGCCCAGAAGAAAAGACTCGAAACCTTTGCAAAAGCCCTCGTTTCTTTGGATGACAGAGTACAAACGCTCGATAAGACCGCACGGGGTTTGATTGAAGGCCGTCATTTTGAATCGAAAAACATCGAAGCCTGGAGAACCAAGGTATTTCTAGGGTCAGACCGTAAATATTGGGTAATTTTTAGGTTCACGAGTCGCTTGTTGCTCTCAAGAATGAAATTGCCATTCGTAGAAAAGAACTTGATGCTGCTTTGGATGAAGCGAAGTAAATAATCAAACACTATTGCATGGAGCCATGTATTTAGGTTTGGCGGAGATGTTCGTGACATGGAGACGTGGATCACTGAAAAAATACAAGCAATCAGAGTGGAAGCTGAGCGGTCTGATGCTTTTGGGCTTCTATAACTGTAAATATTTTCAGACAAGGGCAATGCACAACTATTGAAGATAAAATGAAGAGACTCCAGCGTCATCAAGCATTTGAAGCTGAACTTGACGCCAACAGAGATCGAGTGAAGGCGATTTTGGATCATGGCCAATCTCTGCAGCGTGGACCCAATGGGCGAATGGTGACTGAACAATGTGCTCGTTTGTCTCAACATTGGAAAGATCTGGAGGCTCTATGCATTGATCAATCGCGTGCTCTTGAGGAAGCTCGAGATTTGCTTAGGTAATTTCTGTAATTGTTTTCTGATGAGTTTTATTAAAATTTAGATTCAAACAACTGGTTGACCGTGTATTTGAATGGATTCGAGACAAGGAAAGCATGCTTCATGCAGCGGATATGGGCAACGATATGGAACATTGCAATATTTTGATTGATCAGTGAGGGATTTACATATCATTGATTGCAAACTTGTTTAGACTTGATGGAACAACAGCCGACAATTCTGTTGATGAGCACACGCTCAAAGAACTCAATGAGCTTGGTGATAAACTTGTTCAGCAAGGTCGAAGTAGTCAGAAAGAAGTGAGTTCCTACGTTTCGTAAATGAGTAAACATTGCGTTTAGGTTCATGAGCAAAAAACAAAGATTAATCGTTCTTGGCAAACGCTTCAATCGGATATTCGAGCGTACAGACAACAGCTCAAGGCCGCTTTGGAGGTAAGAAAAGGGTCAAGTGTTCTCCAAGGACTAGTTACATAATAGAACTTTTATATTGGCCTACTTTAGGTTCACAAATTCAATCGTGACGTTGATGATAGCAATGAACGCATCCATGAAAAGACGTTGGCTATGAAGAGCGAGGATTTTGGCCGGTATAACTGTTTTATATTTATACTTGGCAAATAATTTTTTGAGTGACTTCGCCACCGTTGATCAATTGATGAGAAAGCAAGTGGCACTGGAACGAGACATGGAAGTGATTCACTCAAAGTTGGCTGCTCACGATGCTGACGCCCAGAAACTACTAGCCACCAATCCTCCTTTGAAAGTATGTTTCATAAAATATAGTAATTCACTATCTAAACTTAAGGACACAATCCTTACTTCACTCAAACGTCTCGAGGCAAGTTGGGGAGTGTTGTCTGAGACTGCTGAACAGCGACACAGCCGGCTTGAGCGTGCCCATCAACTCTACCGATACATCGACTCAGTGAAGAAGGCAGAACAATGGGCGGCAAATCTGCGCGTTAAAATGACATCACATAAACCTCCAAAGACAACTTCCGAAGCTCGACTACTCATCCAACAGCACCATGAAAGGTATGAAGTTTAGATTTTGCTCGTATTGTAAAATAAAATAGAAAAGCCGAAATCGATGGACGGCAAGAAGAACTCCGCCGACTTCACGATGATGGACAACGGCTCGGCGCTGAACAACCCGAGCATAAGGTTTATATCTACTTGATACTTTGGTTTCTACTAACCGATAAAATTAAGGGAGAAGTGCAACGAGCCCACAAGCGAGTGCAAAATAGTGAACATCAACTCCGACAAACATGGGAACAAGAAAAGGTTTTTGTTTGTGTTATTCTCTATTGAAAGTGTACTTCAGGCTTCGCTAACACGCGCTTTGGATTGGTTACTTTTTTCTGACCAATGTGCGCTTGTTGAGTCCTGGTTGGCTAGCAAAGAAGCAGCGTTGAAAGATCATGATATTGGCGATAACCTGGAGGCCGTGCAGGTAGACATTATTATGGGGTTTGCACTGTATTGGATGTTTTAGATGTTGATCAAAAAACACGAAGCCTTTGAAGAAACTTTAAAGACTCAATCGGAAAAAGTGGAAAATGTAAAAAAAGACTCGGCAGCCTTGATCAGCAACGGCAACGACTTTGCCGTTCAAATTGAAGAAAGGTATATCGAATCTATATAAATATATTAGCAGAAAATTGAAGGCGCGATGAGGTTCTCAATCGCTATGCAAACTTGCTGCAGCAAACCGCTCATCGTCGTGCAATTTTATTAGACAATCAACGATTTCTGGATTTTGTCAGGTAATTTTAAAATATGTGCTTTTCTAGCTAAAACTCTAGGTCATGTGGAGAACTCATCACCTGGATCAACGCCAAACTTCAATTGGCTTATGATGAATCTTACCTGGACCCTGCAAATCTGAGGTTTTTTGAAGGCATAACTTTACGTTGAATTACTTTAAGATCGAAACTACAAAAACATCTTGCGTTTGACAGCGAACTGAGCGAAAACGAGAAACGCCTCAATGCAGTTGTTGATGAAGGGCATCGTCTAATCAAGGATAATCATTTTTCAAAGAAGGAGGTAATAATAAGTATAACACTACTTATACGAAATCTGATCCAGGTTGAAGAACAATTGGCTGAATTGAAAGGTGGTTGGGATGAGCTTCGTCAGAAAAGCGCTTTGAAAACTCAACGATTGCGCGAGGCTTATGATGCATTCACTCTCACTCGCAAAATTGATGATGTGGAGAAGTAAAATTCACTTGTGAGTAGGATTTCAGATTTGATTTAGGTGGCTTGATCGTATTGAAGGAGAATTGTCTTCCGAAGATCATGGCAAAGATGTTATCTCTGTAGACACGCTAGTCAAGAAACTCGAAACTCTTCAAGCTGAAGTTGCTGGACGTGGAGAGCACATTGCTGAAGTGATGAGCAAGGCCAAAGAACTTAAAGCAAAAACAGGACCAAATAATGACAAACTTTTGACTTCGGCTGAAGAGATCTCGCTGCGTTATGCCCAACTCGATGAACCAATCAAAGTATCCGTTTTTATCAAACGTCTGAGATTTTTCTTCAGATCCGTCGTGAAAATCTGAATGATGCCAAAAAGCTCTTTGAATGGGAGGCCGAAGCAAATGAAGAATATGAATGGTTGAATGACAGGTATAAGTTTTAGGTTGTGATTATCCAGTGATTTGCTTTAGGTTACTATTGGCCCGGAGCACAGAGTTTGGTGACACAATGCAGGCAGCTGAGAACTTAAGCAAGAAACACGCTCTTCTGGAAAAGGTGTTATTGGGAAGAAATTATAAAATGCTCGTTGTTTTAGGATCTTGAAACTCGGCAAACATCGCTAGATGAAGTGGAGAAAAAAGGAGTAGCGATGATTCGTTCCAAGCACTTTGCTTCGTCTGAAATTCAACGGCGCATGGATGAGCTCATGAGCCTGATGCTACAGATGAAAGTAGTCTATTTTTTTGTCTATTTTTATTGACGGTTATTTAGGAAGCTTGTGCCACACGACGCAATCGTCTAGAAGCTGCGGTTGTTGCACAAAGGTACTTCACCGAAGTTGCCGAAGCGGAACAATGGATTAGAGATCGTCTTCCACTTGCCATTAGCCACGAAACAAGCAAAGATCAGGTTTTAATAATTCTGAAATAAAAAATTAGTGTCTTCGTTAAGGCTGGTGCTGAATCACAGCTTCGTCGTTTGGGCATTTTGGAGAAGGATGCCATCAAGTTCAACGATGAGGTCAAGAAAATGAAAAAATTAGCGGAGAGGCTTGTTCAACAAGACTATCAGGATTCAACTCAGGTGAGCTTTTACTAACGTAAATAAATATTTTTTCATGTTTAGATCGATTCACGCCAGCATAAACTTGAAGCTGCTTATTCTCAGCTGTTGAATGAAATTTCGAAACGGATGACACAGCTTGGAGATGCGAGCCGGTATTATGGTTTGGATCCTCTAATTCGACTACTTTTAGATACCATGCCTATGTTCGTCAGGCAGATGATCTCATGGATTGGCTGCATGAGAAAGAACGCGCTGCTGCGGCTGAAGAATACGGACGTGATTTAGAAGAATGCCAGAGGCTAATTGAGGAGTTAGTTTGAATGTTTAGTAAAAAAAATTTTCAATATTAGGTTTGACATCGTCGTACGCGAATTGTCTGCTACTGGAGAACGCGTCGCCAATGTGAGGAACTTCCAAGAAGAACTTCTTCGCGCTGGTTTGCAATATTATTAGCATTTCTATGCAAACTGATTTGTAGGACATCCGTTTGCTGCATCGATTCGTGCTAAAGGAGAAGATCTTTCAAGACTTTGGCAATCTGTTAATGAAATGTATGCTTTGCATAGTTCTTAACCATTAACCTAAATTTAAATTTAGCGCCAACGAACGGCAACAGGCTTTGGCTGGCGCAAAACAAGTTCATCGTTTTGATCAAGAAGCGGACGAGACAATCAATTGGCTACAAGTTTATACAATTTTAAAATGTTATCGTATTAAATTTTAGGAGAAAGAAGCTGACGGTGTCGCTCTTGAAAATGTGGAGCTTGCGGGCGCGGATCTCAATACTTTAACAAGTGAACGGCAACGTTTGGAAGAGTTCATTCACGGATTGAAAGCTGTTGAGAAACAGGTAAATTTTGAGGTTTTAATTTCAACTTTAAATCTTAGGTTACTGAATTGTGTCGCGAGGCTGATCGATTGGAAGCACTGTTCCCATACACCAAACAACACCTTGAAGGACGCAAAATGGAGATGACGATGCTGTTGAATGACATCATGGAGAGTGCCAACAAACACCAAGAACGCCTCAAATATACAGAGCAACTCCAATCCTACTTCCAAGTAATATTTGCTGTGCTAAATTTGTATATTTGATTTAGGAGCATCGCGAACTGATTTCTTGGGTGAAACGTCTCTTTACGACAATCACTGCCGAAAGTCTCCCTAAAGACGTTGGGGGGTCTGAAGCACTTGCTACAAGGTTTCTCTTAATTTTATAAAGAAAACAAATACATTAAGGCATAACGAGTACTACTCTGAAATGATGGGACGAAGAGGCAATATTGATAGTTTCTGTACCCGCGGTCGGAATCATATGCAACAAGTAAAAGAAAAGTTTATGGTTGTGCTATTAACCCAATAAATTTCAGGGACATGTTCTTTCGTCCGAAATCGAAAGGAGAGTCGACCAATTGGAACGAGCATACAGTGGAATTCAACACGTATGCTTTTCGGAACTAACTACAATTAATTACATTACCCTAGGTATGGAAAGAGCGCCACGAGCTTTACTTGGAGAACATGGATGTTCAACAATGGAAAGCAAACGCAAACGCGTTGGAACAATGGATGGTTGAGCGAGAAAATTTGCTTGGTAGAGTTAATGTTTCTTTTGTGTGATGCAAGCTAAAAATTTAGGGGATGATTGGCGTCACATTGACTCTGTTGCAACCGCTGACGAGAAACTCCGAGATTTCGATGACTTCCTTGTGACAGTTAATGCCCAAGGTGAACGATGTGAAGGAGTGAGGAGAATGACTCTTCTTGAGAAAAATTTCTCTAAACAACTGCAGCGAGAGGTTGGAATATTGTTTAAGTTTTGTAATATTTGGGATTTCTAGGCTGAACGCGTTCGTGTGGACCAAGAAGAGAGCACGCGAAGACGCGACACCATTAAAGTTGTTGAAAAGGGCAACCTGCTGGCTAATCGTCGACAAGAGCGTGAACGTAGAAAGACCCAGGTACTATCAATTTGATTGCGAATACTTGCGTGTTATGTGTTTTCTTTGTTTGATTTAATGCATTATTTATCTGAGAAAATAAAATGTCTGTTTCTGTTTTGTCTTCTGGGAGCGATGAAGAAGAGGAATGTTTGGCAATTACATCATGGCTGGGCAATGAACTATATTCTAGCGAAACTTCTACCTTCTGGGAGCGATGAAGGATGTTTGGCGATTAAAGCACTGTCTAAAGCATTCTTGTATTGACAATCAGCTGTCTACAACTATTCCGTTCGAATGAAAAAACTAGTTGCACTACAAAAACCCTAAGCAACAAGAAGTTTCGAAAACGAGATATTGGCTATCGACGATGATATTGGTTTTATAGGATGATCCTATAAAATCAAATTTTTGGATAATCAATCACTTCACTCTGTATATTCTATTCCTGCGATCGTATCCATTTGAATATAACGTACATACCATCAATTCCTACTTGTCTCCTGTCGTTTGTATGGTACCTGATTGTTTGAGCTTTCGAAATCTTAAGTTATTTTAAACCCGCTATTTGACTTGATCTGATGTTTGTGTTTCATTGCTAGCAACCAATGTGAATCGAAAGGTAAAAATTAGAGTTGAAGATTGAAGATTGACTGTTTGAGTTAGTAATGCTCATGTGTATAAGAGCCTACCAAATTGAGAGATATCCCCAGATTCGACAAGTTCGATGAAAAAGTTTTCAGTACACTAATCAGAAATGTATTTGTAGGAAATCAGTCTCATGAAACCATCTGGATCTGGTGAAGACTTCTCCTCGCAAACATTGCCCCGAAAATTGGATGGACAGTCGTCTCAACGACGAGAGCGCAGCAAAACGACAGCTTTAGGTATGACGATTTTGAATTTTGGTGATTGAATAAAAAACTCAAAAATTTTTTTAGGTGAACCTGTTGTTTCGGTCTCCGGACCGTCAACACTTCCAATCTTGGCACCTGGACAAATTGGAGGTGGTGTGTTGATCCCACAAGAGGAAATGCCGCAAACATCGATTCAAACTGTGACACCTGGATTCAGGTGAAGACTCTTGAAAAAAATCCCTTTTAACACAATCAATTACAGTACTCGACGAGCAGCATCCGTGCGTCGCTCAAGCAGTCATCGCTGGGCCGATGATATGTCACAAATTGATATGACTGGCTATGTTGATCGAAAACAAGAGCTTCAATCTGGTGGAAAACGAGCGACTCTTCGATCTTGGAAGAATTACTACACGATTCTTTGCGGACAATTGATTTGCTTCTTCAAGGTTTCTTTTTAGATTTCATCAATAATTATATAAAGCTTTCTTTGTTTTTCAGGATGAGGATGCTTTTACGAACAACATAGCCGCTTCTCCGCCTGTTTACATTCACAATGCTGAATGCCAACAATATCCTGAATATGCGAAGAGAAAACATGCATTCAAGTAAATTTCACGTCAAAAAAAATGAACTATAAACTTATGTAGATGATTATAATTTAGTCTCATGCGAAGAGCGCACATCATTAGGTATTTGAAGGGGTATTGGAGAAGAAAATACTTGGTTATCCTTTCTTGTAATCGAAAATTTAAGTTCAAAAAGGGATTACCTACATTGAAATCGTTAATCATCTATTTCTTATTAACAACTGCATGAAAGGGAAACTCTTTAACGTGGAAATCAACCCAATATTTCTAGACTCATCACTCAAGATGGAGCCGAATATCTCTTTGCTTGCAACGAGGAACGTCAAATGCTTGAATGGGTTGCCAAGGTAATTAAAAGGTGACATTATTTGTAAATAGTGAGTTTTTTAGATCAAATTCCACGCTACTCTGCCGCCATCTGCACAACTGACTGCATTCTCGCGTGAGACAAGTGCTCATGAGACAACATCTCAATACAGTGGAAGCACCGCGCCGATTCCTGCTCCTCGTTCGTCATCATATTCGGTAGAAAAACGGAAAAACAAGTTTTGATCATTGTTTTAGAATCGAAGCGGAGATATCTTGCGTCGTCAGCATGAAATGGGCGCATCGCAATCAACGGATTCTGATGTCGATCCATCCAGACGAGCCAGTCAACTTAGCAATGATTTTGGTGATTCTCAACGTAAGTTTTCTAAAGAATTCTTCAAGAAAAACCTTTCTTTAGTTGCTTGCTTGGCTTTTCCCTTTAGAATTGCATTTTTAGTTTGCTTTTGGGTTTAATCTTGATTTCAACTAATAGGTTGTGCTACTTTGCCTCGTCGTAGTACGACACTTAACAATTCATCGGAGATTATCGATTCTTCAATTTCTACATACGCTTCTCTTCCACGTCGTGGTCGACAATCAAATGCGATCATTGGTGGACCTGTTCTTGTGGTTGCTCGATGTAAACAAATCTCTCGTCGACCCAGCTCTCGGACTTCCCGAAGCAGTATTTATGAGAGTGTTTATGGGGAAATTCAAATCACTGACCCTAAAGAAGAAGATGAAATCGAGGGAATGAATGATGAGCTTAAAAATAATGAAGGCAAGCCGCGGGTGAATGCGTCATTTTGGTGGAGGGGATTTTACTGTTGCATGCTTTTTTGGGCTTATTTGGGTGAATGAAAAGCTTTGTGTTTTTTTTGTGTTTAAGTGTCATTATCATCAAAATAGCTTTATTGTAGGATCGGAAATGTATCGTGATCAAGCATCCACTCAACAATCGCATACAAGCAACAATGGACATGAACAACAAGAGAGAGCACGTTATGAAAGAATTGAAGCAACGCAGAAAGGTTTCGTCGAGATCAACTCTTTTGAAATATTGAGAAAACAGCTGCTAGGCGGTTTTTTGTCGCTAAATGCTTAGGCTGCTTTATGTCGCCGTGGCGCAGTCAGAAGCGCGCTTGTCTACAGCCCACACGAGCCGGGTTCGACTCCCCGTAGTGTCACTCAATCTTGACTTTTCAGTATTTTGATTTTAAATACCACAACTGCAATATATTCTAAAGTTTTAGCTTTATTGGTCAAAATACGATCGAGAAAATGATAGACAGACATACTGATAGACATATAGGCTTTTCTATATAGTCGATTCAGGAAGTGAAGGCACTGAGTTCATTTCATGGGTCGAACAGCAGAATGCTTCTCATCAAAGCTCATCATCTGGTCCACACAATGGAGGACATTCGGAAACTGATGATGAATCGGTGAAAGGAACGAGTAAGTGAACGGGAATCGAAAGGCTAAGCACTCAGTAAAACAGAGCATACTTTATCGTTGAGCTTTCACCAAATTATCAATAAAACAGTAACAACTACGCGGCTGTACACTCAAAAGATTGTCGTGAATGTGTTAAAATGAATTAACAATGAAATCTCTCAAATATTCTCAAAATTTTCAATTTAATTTCCAGAGCGTCGTGGTTTTTCTTCGCTTTTCTCGAGGTCTTCGAAGAAATCTAATAAATAAAAACTAGGTTTATCGTTTTTCTAAAAGCTCAAAGAAAGTTTTGTCACACAGATTTTATTGTTCTTACCTTTTTTCTGCCATATGAACTCTTTTTTTTTTTTTTTATGATTGAATATTCTATTCTATTCTATTCTCTTATATTCCTAATCACTTATCTGACACTCACTTAAATGACCTTTCTCATTGTGATATAAACGTTGTTGTTTTTTTCTTTTAATTTTCTTTGAGATATCTCTTGAATAATTGATCTTCTTTTTTTCAATACTAGACTGTATGTATTGCCCGATCGTATAGTCTAAGTATCTTTTTTTTTTCATTGACACAAAAAAAAAGAGTTCTTCATTTCAAGAGTATTCTCTATTTGTAATTGCCCAAAAAAAAAGCTTTTCCCCTTAAAATAGCACACCTTTTTTTTTAGTTATTGATGAATAACGATAAATTTTGAGGTTATTTGTTTTTTTTTTTTGAAATGTTAAAGGACAAAAGAAAAGGACATTCATTGGATTAGGGTATTGATTAGACTCGCTTAAAGAGAAAGATCAAAAAATTTAGAATATTTAGAAATACGGTAAAGATAAGGGAGTTACAGACGCGCGAAAGTGACGATCGTTTTTCAAATATCATATTTCGTTGTACAGTGGTGTAGGTCGCTCAACTCCAAGCCTTTGATCTAGCCTTCAGAGTATCGAATTCCAATGAACTTTTTTCTTATTTATAAGGCAAGATTTTCAGCTATCTAAAGATACCGATCACTTATGGCTTTCTTTTAAAAACGTCCGTTAAAAATCTTATCAAGATTTAACGAGACAATTCCTCGTTATCTCGTGAATTCAGGGACAGGATTTTTGGCTCATTTTTTCAAAAGAAAAGCATACCGTAAATACTGTGTAATTGGACCCACCGCCCTCGTACAGTCGCGTAGTCGGAAAAGTTTTTTCGTATTTCTTGTTTTTCAAAGCGCTCGTACTTTCAAAAAATACGTCTTTGGTATCAAAAAATAGCCCTGAATCTCAGCTATTTTTTGATACCTAAGCGCGCATTGTAGCATCAAACAGTGTCGAGAAAAACTCGTTCAAAGCTAGACTACGCAGCGCTTCGCACCGTCATTATGGGGGTGGGGTACTATTACAGTATTTACGGTAATTGATCGGTATCATTAGATAGCTTCAAATCTTGACTTTTAAATAAGAAAAAAGTCGATTGGAATTCGATACACTGGAGACTAGATCAAGGGCTTGGAGTTGCGCGATCCATTTGTTTCGTTTATTCTCGTTAAGCATAATATTGATTATGGTAGCTAAAGGTGGATAAAAATATAATTTCCTCCAATTTCCTGACTTCAACGGCTTGTTTTCTTCCTCTTTTTTTTTCATTCGGTGTCTTCTCCCGTCCCAAATTGAACCCAAATTGGGTTTCCGAACTCGAAAATGGACTCCGAAAAGTTACTTTTGAAATATTCGTAGAGTTATGGTAGCTAAAGGTTTTTGGCGAAAATTTCTTGGTGATCATCATCATTATCGTCATGGTAAAAAGCAATTTCTCTCAATTCAATCATGTTTTCTGATCGATGCCGATAACATATTTAATCAAAAGATTACAAGTTTTCTAAAAGTTCGGAGTTTTTCCATCCTTCCATCTCATTTCAACCGCTTTTTTTTCCTCTACAACAAGAAGGGAAACGCTTGACCCAAAAAGCAAACAATTCTTTGCTTTTTCCCTTTTTCCTATAGCTTCATCGAAGTGCCTCTCCACTCGTTCAGAAAAGAAAAAATTCTCAGGCAGAAAACGAGAAACACTCTCATCATCAACAGCTACTTATCTTTTCTCACTTTTTTTTTCTCGATCTTGGCTCTTCGCCCTCTTCATTTTAAATCATTGATGCTTTTTTTGAAATTATATTCAATTTAACATCAATTTATCAACAATTTAGCATCAAATTATCATCAATTTATCCATATAGTTCCATTGAATTTTGCTATTCAAAGAAATCCAGAAATCTAAAGAAATCTAGTCACTTTCGTATCTAAAAAGACTAAAAGATAAATGCTAATTTGCATGAACAGTCCCCCCACCACTGCCGTCGCAATATCACTCTACTAATAGTAAAATTCATGCCAAATATTAGATGCCTTTTTTTTTCCTCAACTTCATCTCTTGCTAGAGCTGTTTTCTGTTCGTCTAGCTGTACCTGATAATTACAATAAGTATCATTATAAAGCTAGTATTTGGAGATTTTTTGATAGAAGATGCGCTTCATGCAAATTAGAATACGGGAAAAAAGACAGAAGTACCAGAAACCTAAAGAAAACGAACTCCTCAATGAGGTGAAGATTGGCTAAACTTTGTCCATGCGATTGCCATCTTTGCCATCTTTTTCTCATCTTTCCAATTGCCGACAACTCTTTCTAATGAAGAGAAGCCACGCCACTCACCATTCTCTTATTCATTTCGATCATTTATTCATTTAAACAAAATTTTTCTACATTTTACGAAGTTTTTTCAATTCGTCCCCTTTTTCCCTCTTGTTTTTTTGAAATGTTTACTTTTCTGTATTGTTTTTCACCTCAAATTTTAGCACTTTGAGATGAAAAATTTTAGTTTTTTTTCTTTAGAAACTATCATTTTTTCATTTCTTTTTGCCAGCTCTTCTAGCTTTTTGCGATTTCATTATTAGCCGTCGTAGTCGAGTAGCCGTCGTAGTCGAGTAGCCGTCGTAGTCGAGTAGCCGTCGTAGCCGAGTAGCCGTCGTAGCCGAGTAGCCGTCGTAGCCGAGTAGCCGTCGTAGCCGAGTAGCCGTCGTAGCCGAGTAGCCGTCGTAGTCGAGTAGCCGTCGTAGCCGAGTAGCCGTCGTAGTCGAGTAGCCGTCGTAGCCGACCGGATAGGAGTCTTGTCTCCTAGTCGGGGGGTCAAAGGTTCTATCCTGGCGGCTAGAAAGATTGGTTCTTTTTGCCATTATTATGGGTTTTTCTTAGCGACATTTGAGTAATAGGGGTAACTAAGGGTAAAAATTTCCTCCGTTGTGTTGTAATTCATTATTCGTGTCGAATAAATACTTTAATTATCCATTTAAACAAATATTTCTACATTTTCCAATTCCAAGTTTTTCCAATTCATCCCCTTTTTTCCCCTCGTGTTTTTTTTGAAATGTTTACTTTTCTGTATTGTTTTTCACCTCAAATTTTAACACTTTAAGATGAAAAATTTGACTTTTTTTCTTCAGAAACTATCATTTTTTCATTTCTTTTTATCAGTTCTTTTAGCTTTTTGCAATTTTCAAATTTTACCCAAAGAAAATTACGTTTTTGAAAATCCATTCATGTTGACTTGAAGATGAAGAAAAAAAAAAGTGAGAAGGGACCGTAAGTCATAAACAGAATGACCTTGTAAAGGGGGAAAGTTGAAGGATGAAGAGACAAGAGTGACGGACAAATTACCTGTGAATCTCTTCTCTTTTACTCTTTATTCCATTTCTTTTCTCTTTCTTTTCCCTTTCCCCCTTCCAAAAGATTCCCTTATTTCATTCGTCCCGTTGTGTGTAAAAGAGAATTGAATTCTTTTCTATTTGTCTCTTTTCTTTCTTTTTCTTTAACAATCTTTCGAAATCCCTTCAAGAATTGCTCACTTAGCGTTCTTCAATTCACGAGAATTCACGAGAACTCACGAGATAGCCTCATTTTTGCGATTCTTTGAAGATTTTTGGAAACTCTAAGGATTCTTTGAGCTGTTGTTGTTGTTGATGAAACTGTATTTCGAAACTTATTCTTTTCAAGTTGTTGATGAAACTGTATTTCGACTTCCGGCGATCGGAACGACTTATGGTTGATTTTAAAAGAATCCTCATCAAATTTGGCCTAAGAAAAGTGGAATTTGTTTGGTACACTCATCTGTAAGAACATAGAGAAAAATTGGATTAAAGTTGACCTGCTTACCTAAAGAAGCCGATCAACTTTGACGCCGTTTCTCTCTATCTTCTTACAGGTGAGTGTCCAAAAAAGAATTCTGCTTTTTTATAGCCAAATTTCATAAGGTTTCTTTTAACACTAATCATAAATCGATCCGATTTTGCGCCATTTCAAAAGATATTGAAAAGTTTCTAATTGAACATCTCTCTTGTCAAATTCTGATTTTTTTTTGCAGGAATATGAGTTAAAATTTTATCTAATCCATTAAGTCCAATAAAATTTGATGATTTTTGCATCAAAATGTTCGTAAGAGTCTCTAGAATAAAACTTATCCCTTCGTTTTTGGTTCTAGATCCTCGTTGTCGAGTTACTAATCCATTAAGTCCAATAAACTAGACTTCGGAAAACAAAACTTAACCAAAACCAAAACTACCAAAACCAAAACTAACCAAAACTCGCCAATATCTCGCGACTGGGAGGAGCTAGCGAAAATCTGTTTGCAGATTTGAAATCAGCATCCAAAAATCTATCCCATAGGCTATTTTTTGTTTCGAAATTTCGAGGTCGTGTTTTGGTCCTTTTTTCGGCCGCGAGATTTTGGGGAGTGAGAAAAAGTGAAAGGCAAATTTGCATTTTACATTAAAATTTGCATTTTACAATTTTAAATTTAGATGTTAATTTATATGCAAATTGAGTTTTGGTTTTTTGGTTTTGGTCTGTTTTGGTCTGTTTTGGTTTTGGTCTTTTTTGGTTTTGGTTTTGGTTTTGTTTGCCGAACTCTACAATAAACCAAGAGAATGCGACTTCTTTAGCACATTCGCACGGTATTTTATTAAGCGTACACTCGCGTTTTTAATGATAATTTTGTTGTTGAGAATTTAATTGTTAATTGATAGCTGTTTTTACTGATAATTTGGTGAAACATTAAACTAAACTATTAGAGTCATTTGATAGCTCTGAATCTCCTCTTGAAAAGTGGTATAAAGTTATCAAGAACTTTCTGCGAAATGAATCATGAAAAAACATTGAAAACTTTACACCAAAAATAATCGCCATTAAGAAAAGTTAAAAGTTAGTTAAAAAAAGAAAGAAAAGAAAAGTTAAAAAAAATCAAAAATCAAAATTAAATAAAATTTTCCTTAATCACAAATTTTCACAATAAGTACTTGATTTTAGGTTTTGAATGAAACCCATTGCCTATTCATTAACCCATAAAAGACTTGGCTAAAGGTTTGCCACTCAAAAAGTGTCCAAGTCATTTCAGCTGAAGAAATCTCTTATTTTGCTTGACGCTCACTCTGATTTTTTTTGGTCAAAAACTTTTTGCAAGTCAAGTTTATCAAAAAAATCTCGGAAGAATTGATGGTTTGGTTTTTGAGAAATCACCGTGGAAACGTTTTTTCGAAAACTTTCTTTCCAACCAAATACATCAATTTCAAAGAGAAATTTCACGAGAAATTTCATCGTAAATATCTTTTTGATGGACTAAAGATGGGAGTGGGACAAATGCGACCTTTTTTTTTTGCGCACCCGGCACATCGAATCCGCTACTATGGGAAAACACTTTTGACTTAAAATCAAAAATCCGAATTCGGACAATTCTTAGTTGTTGTCCAGACAAGAAAAATCCAAAGTTTGAAAAAATCCCTCTACTCACAAGAAAGTTATTACGGCTTAAAGTTTTACGAACAAAATGTTAAGGAATTCGTCAAAATTTCGATTTTTCTGATTTTTCTCATATTCACTCCAAAAGAACGTGCCAAACGATGTATTACAAAGTTGTAGCCCTGGTTTTACTCTTTCTAACGATACCCTTGCCATTTCTCTGCATTTTGTTTACGATGAGTTCTGAGGTTTTTCCCGGCGTCACTTTTAGACAAATATAGGGAAGAGTGCCAATTTCAGGACCGCAGAAGCAAAATTGAGTTCCTAGGTGTTTTTATTCTGAATCTATATTAAAAACATATTGCTTTTTTCCTAAAATAGTTTTTTATACAGACAATTCCGTGAGAGAATTTACATAGATCTGCCAGATAAGAGTCGAGAGCGCGTCATGAATAGGGTGTGTTCCTCAAGAAATAGTGCAAAATAGGAAACGAGTGCATTTAAAATAAACTGAATATCTTACAAATTGTCATGAATGTCAGAAGAAACACAATTTATTGTATGCCTGCATTTATTTATTGTATTTATTGTATTTATTGTATATTCATATATTATAAAACCTTATTATGAAACAATTTTCAGATGGCTCGACCAACAAAGAAGGTGCTTTCAAGGAGACGTAATATAGAAGGTGGTCATCTCGCAAACCTCAAGATACCGAGCTCCAGTCAATGGCGGAACTCAAAAGCTGTTCAAGCCGAGTCTGTGAAGAAAGTCTTGAAGAAACGCCCTGATGTAAGCCAGCCCTATGATCAAGTACAGCATTTGGAGAATGCTCGCCAACGACGAGCAGAGAAAGCTGACGAAAAGAAATCACAGGAGAAAGCGAGACAAAACGCTGTCTTAGTGACACAACTGAAGAAACAAGTGACCAATTCGCAAAGCAGTCAGTCCGTACCAGCAACATCAGCTTCTCCCGAAAAGGCGTTAGCACTCAAAAGAAAAGCAGGGGTCTCAGACCGCGGATTTTCTAGAATCAACACGTTTGTGCGGAAGGCTTGTGGTTACCTCATTGGATCTAGCAGACAGTTGCGGTCATGTCGGAAAAAGCTTGAAGAAATTGTGGAATACGTAATTCACGACGATAATGAAGACCAAGACGACGAAAGCGAACCCAAAAAAAGCATACGCCTCTTGAACGTGGGGAGGGTGCTGGTGGAACGGGAAAAGCGCTTGAAGTTGGACCCAGATCAAAAGAAAATCGTGGTGTTATCTCTTGATAAAGGCCATAATCGAGTCAGGGCTACGGTCTCATATCCAAACAGCAAAAAGCCGTGCTCGGTTTTTAACTTTCTCCCATTGATCGTATGGGAAGGCCCGGATAATTACTCAGAATTGCAAGAAAGAAATGTGGCTGACTATTATGAGCAATTGACGAAGATGGGCCACGAAGTCTTACTTGGTGGAGACTTATTATTTTTGACAACAAATGCTGGCCTTGGAAATGGGATGCGATTCAGCTGTCTTTGGTGTTCGAAAGAGTTCGACAAAGGCAAAAACAAAGACAATGATTCGATCGATTTCGTGAAGCACCCGCCACGAAGCAAGGCTTTGGAGGATATGATTGCAACTTTGAAGCTGGTCCCCAAAAAAGAGGATGTCATCCCGGTGCCAACAAACATGGTTATTCCACCGATCCTTCACACCAAGATCAAGGTGGGCAACTATTTGTTTGAAAAAAATGCTAGCTTTGGAAGGATCATCAAAGGCGTTCAAGCAAGTTGTAAAAAAAAAAAACGACATTTGACTGTGAATAGGAAAGAGGAAGGAGTCATATACCACAGATTTCATGGTAACGATATCAAACGCTTATGTGTGGCACTTCCTGTATTTCAAGCACCACATTGGGTCGGGTCCTCAATCTCCACGTCAACTGAGTACTCCAAGGTGATCGAGGCTATGGAAGCTTTCAATGACTGGGCACAGCTAGTCTCGTCGACGAAAACGGGCCTAGATTTGATGAAAATTGCCGAAATTGCGTGCAAAAACCAGCACACAGCTGAGAAAGATTGTTGTCAAACGGCAATTCTTTGTGCTGCACCACTCGAAAAAGTCGGCGGGCTTGGATCTAGCGTCCTTATTCACTGTATTGTCTCGCATTTGGGTTCGTTTCTGGCACAACATCGGATGATCGGAGCCGTGGCCGAGGAGGGCATTGAAGCTATCCACAGTAAGCTGGAAACGGAGATCAAGCGCCACAAGAAGAGCAAAATCGAACGACTTCTTCAGGCTGTGAAGTGGTTAGGCATCCAAGTCCTTCTAAATGATGCCGAGGAAGAAGTTAAGGAAGAAACTTTCGTAAATTAGTTTGTCTTATCTATCACTTTTATCATATTATTACTACAAATATATACAAATAAATATTCTTTTATGAAATATACTGGAATACACATCTTCTGGAGTGTTTTTTAATATAGATTCAGAATAAAAACACCTAGGAACTCAATTTTGCTTCTGCGGTCCTGAAATGGGCACTCTTCCCTATATTTGTCTAAAAGTGACGCCGGGAAAAACCTCAGAACTCATCGTAAACAAAATGCAGAGAAATGGCAAGGGTATCGTTAGAAAGAGTAAAACCAGGGCCACAACTTTGTAATACATCGTTTGGCACGTTCTTTTGGAGTGAATATGAGAAAAATCGGAAAAATCGAAATTTTGACGAATTTCTTAACATTTTGTTCGTAAAACTTTAAGCCGTAATAACTTTCTTGTGAGTAGAGGGATTTTTCTCAAACTTTGGATTTTTCTTGTCTGGACAACAACTAAGAATTGTCCGAATTCGGATTTTTGATTCCAAGGCATTTTTTTTTGGACGCGTTGTGCCCGGACATTCGCGCACCTTTTTTTCGCGTTTTAAAAAGCTCTAGAAAGCTAATATTAACCAATTTCTATTCCAAATGCTGTTTTTCTAGGTAATTTTAGGGCGTAGAATCGAAATTTTGACATATCAGAGCGTGTGAAACCAATTGAAAGACAAAACGGCTAGATCAAATTACAGAAAATTGTCGATCTTTCTCTTTGTATAACTCCGTCCGTTCGCTTCCACAAGCTCTGATATGTCAAAATTAGAATTCGACACCCTCAAATTACCTAGAAAAACAACTTTTGGAATAGAAATTGGTTAATATTAGCTTTTAGAGCTTTTTTAAAACGCGAAAAAAGGTGCGCTAATGGGCAAGGTGCGCAAAAAAAGGTGCGCAAATGTCCGGGTGCGCAAAAAAAGGTAGCATTTGTCCCACTCCCCTAAAGATCAATTTCCTTCTCGTCTTCTTACAAAACTAAAGCTCCGTTTCTAACAGTTTTGATTCTTTTCCTGAAGTTTTAAATGTTTTATCTTGCCTTAAAAAAACACAAAACATTGAAATCTTTTATCTCAATGCATTTGTCTAAACATTTTTCCTTCAGAAAACTCCGAATCTTGTCTTGAGCAATATCTTTTGAGAAGAAACGATGTTTTCGTTAAATTCCCTTCTTTTCTATCATCTTTTCTTCATAATAAACGCGGCAATCTTCGGATCGATAAGCACAGCGAATTGTGAGTCGAATAAAAAATGGGGAGCTGATCAAAATAGCGCCCTGTACAAACAGCGACATAATAGCCCCTCAGTTGTAAATATAAGTATTATAATAGCCCTCATAATAGCCCCCCTACGCAATGCTCCTCAGCGGAGCATTGCGTAGTCTAGCTTTGGACGCGTTTTTCTCGACACTCGTTTATGCTACAATGCGCGCTTAGGTATCAAAAAATAGCTGAAATTCAGGGCTATTTTTTAATACCAAAGCGCGCATTGTAGCATAAACCAGTGTCGAGAAAAATTCGTTCAAAGCTAGACTACGCAACCCTCCGCACCGTCATTATGGGGGTGGGTACTATTACAGTATTTACGGTAATTGTTTTTGAAAATAATCCAATGAAAATAGGAAACACAAAGAAACTGAATCGTAAACGAATTATTTTGGCTGTTTGTACCCGGCGTTGTTTTGGCTAGCTTCACAGAAAAACGGTAAATCCAAATTAAAACAATAAAAAAAATAGCTGATCGATGTCATTGTTCAAATAAAATCATCATGTTGTTTGCTGAGGACGATTACCGGGTGATCAATACGCCCGATTATCCAAGGTAATTTGAGAATCGATTAGGCTTTGGCTTTCAGCGAAAGCGCAACAAGTCCATTCCAAACTCAACAAATTTTATCTCAACAAATTTGGTTCCCTATCTCAACAAACAAACAAATTTGGTTCCTTATCTCAACAAATTGAAACATTTCAAACATTTCAAACATTCCAAACATTCCAAACATTTCAAATCGTTTTCCAGACCATATTGCCCAAAATTGGATTGTTTGTGGCGAATCGTGGCACCGACAAATGAGTCTCGCATCTATTTCTTTACCGATAATTTGGGTTTGTTTAGTCGAATGATTTGATTTGAACATTAGCATAATTTTTCGCATAATGATTCGCATAATGATTTCATTTTAAATCTTTAAAAAAAAGAGAGTGTTGGGCGTCTTAAAAACATTCAAAATAGCAAAAATCAAGAATACGAGTAAGCAAAAAAGAAAAGAGAAAAACTGGAAAATTAGGCGAATAAGGGAATGTTGCCAAAATCTTTTTTTTATGCATTTTTTATGTTTTCATTTACCAAAACGGCTTCCTAATCACAAAAAAAAACAAAAAATCGACCCTGAAAAATGCTTTTGGAGATGTAAAAAAAAACATTTTGCTTTTCCCCCTCCCAAACCCTCTCGCCTACCTTTTTAGCTGTGCTGGGTGCGAAGCTAAAGCCTAAATAAATAGGAGAATATCGACTCAAGGGAATATTTCATGCATAACTAAGCTTTTTATATGTATTAAAAGCGTTTTGAAACGTTTTTAGACGAGAAACGAGAAATTTAATTTTCCAAAAAAATTTTCCTTAGGGGGACCAAGGCAAAAAAGTCAAAAAAAGTCACAAATTTGTAATTTGTTGAAAAAAAAGCTTTTTCCGGTGCCTATTTTTGTGTTTCGTAATGAGGAAGCCTTTTTACATCAAAAGGATGCATAAAAAACAAAGGATTTAAGATTCGCCTATTTAGCCGTTTACGAAATTCAGCTGCTAACGAATGAGGGTATTTCCGGGCATCCAATCAAAAAGTGACCCACATAAAAAATGTTCATAATACATATATTTTATAATAAATTTTTGAAATTAGCTCATTTGGTTCAGTAGAAAATTTTTTTTGAGCCCCCAAAGTTTAGGTTCAAAAATGCCCTAAAATAGCTATAAAAAATTTTCTACTCAGCCAAAAAACTTGCCTAATAGCTCATTGTGTAGCCAATTTGATGTAGTTTCTTAAAGTAAAGCCATCTAAAAGATTTTTTTGTTGAAAGTAGGAGAAAGAGGGCGAGGAACAAATTCAGGGCCATTCTCAAATGTGAAAACAGCGACCGAGTTCGACTGAAGTCGTTCCTCGCCCTCTTTCTCCTAGCTTTGAAAAACAAATGTTCAATGTAGCTTTACTTTAAGAAACTACATCAAATTGGCTACACAATGAGCTATTAGGCAAGTTTTTTGGCTGAGTAGAAAATTTTTTTTGAGCCTAAGATCCTTATTCGCCTATTTAGCCAAAAATTTCGAGCTAAGTAGCCAAATTTACATATATTGTGTTGTATTCGTTCCTAGGTGTAAACGGATGTGGACTAGAATTTGGGTTAAGTTAAAGAGAGTGGATCCCTTTTGATATCCCGCCATCTCTAACACCCCGACAACCCAACTCAACTCCTCCAACGTATTAGAGGGGAGTCCCTGTGAAGTGACCGACCTGTACTGCAGTTGCATAGACCCGGAAGATATGTATCTTTATTTACAGTAGTATAATAAGACGAATAGATTACAAATGAGTGTAAGGGGAAGGGGGGACTGCAAATGAGAGCCTCACTTGTCCTCCTAGGCTCCTCACTGTCCTCCTAGGCTCCTCACTGTCCTCCTAGGCTCCTCACTGTCCTCCTAGGCTCCTCACTGTCCTCCTAGGCTCCTCACTGTCCTCCTAGGCTCCTCACTTGTCCTCCTAGGCTCCTCACTTGTCCTCCTAGGCTCCTCACTTGTCCTCCTAGGCTCCTCACTGTCCTCCTAGGCTCCTCACTGTCCTCCTAGGCTCCTCACTGTCCTCCTAGGCTCCTCACTGTCCTCCTAGGCTCCTCACTGTCCTTCCTAGGCTCCTCACTTGTCCTCCTAGGCTCCTCACTTGTCCTCCTAGGCTCCTCACTTGTCCTTCTAGGCTCCTCACTGTCCTCCTAGGCTCCTCACTGTCCTCCTAGGCTCCTCACTGTCCTCCTAGGCAATCCCAAGGACCGCCCCTTCTCGGCAATAAAAGGGATAAGCACAGGGGAGAACACATTTGCATAAGACTAGACAAATCATTCAAGAATAACAATAGTAACTAAAATATCAGTTTGGCTCGGAGCTGACAGTTGAGAATTTGAAAAACTAAGATTTCCAGAGCCTTTTTTATACTTTCATGATAAATAACCTCTTCAGATCTTCGCCCAAATGAAGATTTCGTCGAGTTTTATGATCAGAAATTTGTGACGAATCCCAGAAATGAGACTGTCACTGCAAGGTTGTTTATCAAATTTTAAAAAAATTAAAAGAAAACTTTCACACTTTATTTCTTTCTAAATAAAGTGTTTATATTAAAAAAAACTATTCTTTTGTTTAACTTTTATTTTGTAGATGTACTGGAAATGTTGACGAGGAGAAAATCTGTCGTTTCCAAAGCGCTGGACAATATTTGAGTATACGGTTTGTGTTTTAGAAAATAAAATTGAATATTAATGAATATTTTTTTTTTTTTTTTTTTATTTTTATTTTTATATTAAAAAAAATAAAAAAAAATTATTAAAAAAAAAAAACACAAAAAAATTTTTAAAAAAAATATTTAAAAAAAAAAAAAAAAAAAAAAAAAAAAAAAAAAAAAAAAAAAAAAAAAAATATATTTTTAAATATTTTTTTTTTTTTTTTTTTTTTTTTTTTTTTTTTTTTTTTTTTTTTTTTTTTTTTTTTTTTTTTTTTAATATAAAAATAAAAAAAAAAAAAAAAAAATAAAAAAAAATATAATATATTTTTTTAATTTTTTAATTTTTTACATTTTTTTTTTATTTTAAAATTTTAAATAAAAATTAAAAAATATTAAAAAAAAAAAAAAAAAAAAAAAAAAAAAAAAAAAAAAAAAAAAAAAAAAAAAAAAAAAAAAAAAAAAAAAAAAAAAAAAAAAAAAAAAAAAAAAAAAAAAAAAAAAAATAAAAAAAAAAAAAAAAAAAAAAAAAAAAAAAAAAAAAAAAAAAAAAAAAAAAAAAAAAAAAAAAAAAAAAAAAAAAAAAAAAAAAAAAAAAAAAAAAAAAAAAAAAAAAAAAAAAAAAAAAAAAAAAAAAAAAAAAAAAAAAAAAAAAAAAAAAAAAAATTTTTTTTTTTTATTTTTTTTTTTTTTTTTTTTTATTTAAATATGTTTGATTATATTTTACCTCTTTCCCCCCTTTTTTTTTATTTTTGTTTTTTGAAAGAAACTTTATTTATTATTAATGTTACAAAAGCTATAGAGAATATTAATGTTTACTTTTGTTACTTTAATCAATATTTTAAAAGCAATTTCAAGCTTTCAAATGATACCAAATAAAGATTTATTTATTTAATGAATCCAGAGAGAATCGAGAGACAAAACACTAAACTTAAATCGCATTTTTCTTTTAGTTTAGCTATTGTTTAAGGGAAAAAATCATTTTACAAGATTGAGATTTATATTAAAAGTAATTTAAAGTAATTTTCTGAAGTAATTATTCTCAAGTAATTGTTGTCAAGTAATTGTTCTTAAAATTAATCTCAAAAATTTGAGCACACTGACATGGAATAAAGCGGAGATCATTTACATTGAGAAATTAAAATATTTTGCTCTTTCCTTGAAGATTTTTAACTGTAAATTTGTAGTTAAAAGTTGATTATTCGAAAAAACGATTATATCTATTCAGATTTGTCTCGGGATCGGGAGAATCGGATCGATACGGCTTTCAGGGGATCGTTTCACCGTACGATCGAGAGACAAGAGGTTCATGATTTCAAAAATCTCCCTAAATTACTCTAAAAGCTATAAATGAACAACAATATCTTTTCTCAGCTTTAATGAGTTTCCTGACTCGTTGTGGTTTCTATGTTTTGATCGGTGGCGGCTGTTTGGTGGCTGGGATTCTCTGTGCGTGTCTTTTCAAGTAAGTGAAATGAAATTCATAGTTATTTCATCTAATCATAGTCTATTAGATATTGATATTGGATTGGGATTGGTTTGAGGTTCTTTTTTAGACTTTTATTTACAAATAACTCCACCAATTATCATTTGTTTCATTGAAAAGGTTACCGTATTCTCTCTAATAGTAGTGCACCCTGAGCGTCGCCTAAATTGCTCGAAATCTCGAGAACCGCTTATCAGAACCTATCGATGTGGGGTCGGAAAATGTAGCTGACGATGAGATCTAGTGGGGGATTTGAGTGTTGAGCTTCTGGGAAAACTTTGAAACCGTAGAATAGTCATCAACGGGGAAAATACGGTACTTTGACCCGGACCCGGTTCACTATCCGGACAGGTGAATTAGCGAATACCGTACTCTCCCAAATAGTAGTGCACCCAGAGCGTCGCCTAAATCGCTCGAAATCTCGAAAACCGCTTATCAGAACCTATCGATGTGGGGCCGGAAAATTTAGCTGACGATGTGATCTTGTGGGGGATTTGAGTGTTGAGCTTCTGGGAAAACTTTGAAAGCCGTAAAATAGTCACCAACTCGGCTCGCTCGGCTATTAAAGAAAATACGGTAATTATTTTTCTCCAAAATGGTCCCAATGTCTTTTTTTCTTTCCTCTTCCTTCTGTTTCCTATTTCTCCCAAGGCAACCAAGGTGCCGAGAGCTCAGTGGTAGAGCATCCCTGGTCTGAGCCTCGGTCGACGGGTTCGATTCCTCTCGGCTGCAAAACGTTCGTGCCTCATTTTTTTACCTTATTGGGTTAATTCGGCGAAGGTAGATAGACAAAAAAGCGATTCTGATGATGCAATTTGGCCACTTCAATCAGCCAATTTCTTTCTGCAAAGACAGAATACGAAAAACTCGTTTTTTCATTTGAATTTGTTCATAAACGGACCAAAATTCGCTTAAAAAGATAGAAAAATAAACAATAAACATATATTTGAAGAAGATATTTGGAAATCGTAGATAAATTCGTGAATTGATCATTTATAAACAAATGTACAAAAATGAAAAAGAAAAGAAAAGAAAAAGATGTTTTCCTTTAGAAAAAGAAAAGATCGAAACGGTGATCCTCGATTGATTGTCGCGCCGGGAGTATCGGATGCCGAAGAGAAAGCGCTTCTTTAGATCCGATCACATTGCTCAACAATCTTTTTAGTCTTGCTCTTCAGGTGTACTTTGAAAATCTCTCTATTGACTCGATGCTCGATTAAAGAACTGTTTGTGCCTGAATGTGTTCCCAATTGATTGCTTTTTCTCTTACCACATCCACATTATTTCTCTAGTCAATCTTCACCATCAACTAGCTTCAGCCCTTTTCATTGTTGCTTAGTTCATCAAAAATCTAAACGAATCTCCACAGATTTATGGGTATCTTCTTTAGATTTGCCTTCTTTAGAATGCCGTTTCTGCTTTTTAAAACGATTATTCTGCTTGTAAATAAAAATATAAAAAGATGAAAGAGATTTTATTAAAACAAAAGAAAAAAGAAGAAATAATATGCTGGTAAAGTGGACAAATTAGAGAAAAAAAACGTTTAAAAAGAAAAAGAAAGAAGAAAAGGAAAAGGTTTTCCTTTTCCTTTTCACCAGAAATAATTATTCTGTCTTTTCTTGTGATTCCTTCGTCGATAAGGATAAGGATAAGAAATTAAAAGAGAAAATTGAGACCATTGTTTCTTGGGGTTGTAAAAAGCTGATCTAAAAAAGCTGCTCTAAAAAAGCTGTAGAGAGAATATGGTTTGAGAGAAGTTAAACATTAAATTGATGAAATGAAATTCATAGTTAAATGAAATTCAAAAACTAGAAATGAAAATCGATTAAAATTAAAAAGAGATTTTGAAAAGAAATGATTGTTAAGTAAAGTAATGTTAAGTAATGAAGTAATTTCACCAGAAATAATTATTCTGTCTTTTCTTGTGATTCCTTCGTCGAGCTCTCAAATGCGAGTGACGGAGTGAGCGAAATTCCACGTCACCGCCATCGATTTCCTGAAGAAAAGCATTTTATCAACTTCCAATGCACTAGAAAGGTGATGTCTCTGTTTGCATAAAGTACAAAACAAAACAAAAAAAGTGAAACCGTTTGTTCGACGACGTTGTTCGAGCATTTGCTTGGTCGAATGCATCTCCCATTCTCATCTCTCACAAAGCCATCATTGCAAAGACAACGAGGGAAATAACATTTCGGATTTGTCATATCATGTTCACAGTTTGGAGGGCTGAAATGAAAAATCTTCAAAAGAAAAAAGTGGTCCGATAAAGTTTCCCTCAGGATAGCAGGAGTTTGACCTTAAGCTATCTAATGATATTATTTGATAGGCTCTTTGATAGTTTAAAGAAGAGTTTAGGTGACTTTTGAATGGATAGTCAAGCTCTAAACGTCTATAACTTACTATAGAGACAATAGATTCGTTTATTTTAAAATATATTTTAAAAGAATACATTTCAGCCTTTCAAATGAGATCAAATAGAGTTAAATTGGAGAGATCAGTCGAGAGAAAATCGAATTGTTGATTGTTGATTTTGTCTTTGACTTTCGGCGCATCAAGATTCGGATCGCATCGCAGTTTTTAAACTTCTTTCCAGCCAAAGAGTGTTGCATGGATTGAAATAAATGGTAAGCTGTAGATCTGGGAAAGCGGCCGATGAGCGAGAGATTCCATTGTTGATTTTGTCCTTGATTTTCGGAACAATTTCACTCTATTTGATCTCATTTGAAAATCGGAAATATTTCCTTTTAAAATACATCAAAAATAAACGAATATCTAGTGAATTATAGACGTCTAGAGCTTAAAATTACATCAAACAAAAGAAATCTGCGTGACGAGGACTGGAACCCGAGCAAGGAGTGAATGGCTCGTCTTGTCGACAAGCACCTTGTCCCCTACGCCACCAGCTCTGCCCGAAGGGACGTTTTGATTCCGCTTTTACTCATTCTCACCATGCCCACCTGTACAAATTCTCGCAACTTTTCTCACAATGTTTCTCGGGTCCACATTTCACATGATGTTCTCTTGGGCCACAACTCGACGCCGATTTCTCGTTTCGATATGGGAAAATCGGCATTGAGCGGTGTTTCTAAAAGGATTTCTTGGAGAAGGATTTCTGTCAATTTGTTCTTCAAATTTTAAAATCTAAAACGTTTTCTATCGATTTGTTCTTAAAATTCAATCCTTTTCTCTTTAAAAAAATGAACAAGAAAACTTAAAAATTGTCAATCAAAACGGCTTCTTAAATGAATCAAATTTCGAGCAAAAAAAACGCTAATCGGTTTATGGAGATTATTTCCTTTTCAACGAACTGTGACGTTTAAACAAAAAAAAAAATCAAACAATACAAACTGTAAGGAAGCTTTCTTTTTTTTTTGTTAACACTTTGACGACAATGGCGTTTTTGCACAAACAATCGCATGGGACAACGTTGTTTTTTTTCGACAACAAATGTCACCTGACATCAGGTGACAATGTCCCAGGCGAACGAATGCATCAGGTGACAATGTCAGACAGCATCAGGTGACAATGTCAGACAGCATCAGGTGACAATGTCGTCAACGTGTTAATAACAAAACAAACCCTTGATCCATGACTTCGAGTTCGTGCCTCGGTAAAGAAAATCATTGAGAAAAGGAGAAGAAATGACAACAACAATGGCCTCATTTTTTTTTCTTGATCAGCTGAAATTTTGAATAAATATTTGAGAAAAACGGAAAACGATCAAAAATTCGTCATACTGTAACTAAAAAGGAAACATTCTCAACGAAAAAAAACTTGTTTTCAATGAAAATGGCTCAATGAAATGTGAAAATGGTGAAAAAGTTTGCAAAAAAAGAGGAAATCCCAGCAATGAGTAAGACTCTCAAAAAATAAGAGAAAAACAGTGTAAGATTGAGTCAAAAAAGACACAAAATGACTCACGCACCGAAAAGTTACAAAAAATGTGTTTTGCGCGTTTGTTTTCGGTAATGACCTTTGAGAAATGGTTATCGGACATTTGATACGCGTCTCGCCCCTTTTCCCATCGACAATCAAACTTTGAGCTTAAATATCTTGATGTTAGGCTATTCAATTTAAACTTTCTTAGTATCATTAGATGCGCAAAGTCTTTCTCTGTCGATTGGTACAAAAACTATTTCAACTGAACAGCTCAATGGCAAGATATTTGAGCTCAAAGTTAGATTGCCATTGAGAAAATGGGGCGGGGCGCGTATGAAAGGTCTGTCGCCCCTCCCCTTTGCCATTGGCAATTCAACGTTAAGCTCAAATATCTTGGTGTTGGGCTATTCAATCTAAGCCTTCTTGATATCATTAGATGCGCAAAGACTTTCTCTATCGATTGGTACAAAAACTATTTAAATTGTACAGCTCAACACCGCGATATTTGAGCTGAAAGTTGAATTGTCAATGGCAAAGGAGCGGTCAAATATATCTCAAAGGGAAAGCAGCACTTTTATTGAGTTTACATTGAAAATTGATAACTAAAAACGTTTTACATTAAAATATTAGCGAAAATAATGCACGGGAAACGGGGAAATGACAGAAATGAGTCATTCCTTAAAAAGAGAATGTTTGGGTGAAGAGATTGGAGAGAGAAAAATTGAGAAAAACCCAAGTTCATCTTCACCCCTTTTTTTTTGCGTCACTCCACCCATTCACCTAATCAGAAATCATTATTGAAATAACAGTGCCATGAAATTTGATGTTTTTATTTGATTCATCGCGAAAGAAAGAAATTAAGCGCATTTTGAAGTAAAAATGATGTACACTACTGGACAATGAAATATTTTATTTGAAAAAAGATCGTCACTTTCGCGCGGAAAGACAGCGGAAGACAGCATTAGCGAAAGACAATGCCAAAGATGGTTTCATCGATTCAAAGATGAAAATGAAAGTCTCCAAGACGAGGAACGGTCTGGACGATCAAAGGTCAATCCCCACAACCAAAACCGACATTACTTTTTCCTCAACCTCAACTCTGGAGGCTAGATCAAAGGCTTGGAGTTGCGCGACCTACACTACTGGACAATGAAATATCATACTTGAAAAAAGATCGTCACTTTCGCGCGTCTGTAACTCCCTTGTCTTTACCGTGTTTCTAAATATTAATAGCCCTTAGCCCATTGTGTAGCCCTTGAAAAGAGCTTTCAGAAAATGTATAACACTAATAGTTTAAACTCAAAGACAAGGGGAGTTACAGACGCGCGAAAGTGACGATCTTTTTCAAATATGATATTTCATTGTCCTGTACTGTAGGTAAACATTAGAAAAAATTTGAAAACATTAAAAAACATTATAAATCTCGTTAAACGAATCGAAAGAAAGCCTTAAAACGGTCAAAAAATGGTTCTTTCACTGGGAAAATGATCGAACTGTCATCAACAGATGGAACTCAATCGAATAGCGGCAAAAAGTGACAAAAAATTGGATCCGAAAATTTGCGTGCATATGGGTTTGGGTTTTTTCTTTTAAAAAAGTGAATGAATTGAATGAAATGTGGGGGAAATTTTGAGTTGATTCATTAAAATAATAAAATTAATTTTCGGGAGTAGGCTAGTTTCCGCAACTTTTCTTTACGCAACTAGGTCATTTGCGCAACTGGATCATTTGCGCAACTAGCCATAACTTTCTTCTAAGTGGACCAATCTTTATGATTTTGGTGTCATTTTGTAGATCTCAATAAGTGCAACAAAATGACATCAAAATTATAAAGATTGGCTCACTTAGAGGAAAGTTATGGCGAGTTGCGCAAACGATCGAGTTGCGCAAATGATCCAATTGCGCAAATGACCTAGTTGCACAAACGATCCAGTTGTGCAAATGACCTGGTTGTGTAAAGAAAAGTTGCGGAAACTAGCCTACTCCAATTTTCGTTTATTAGACGGAAAATTTTGTATTTATTGGATTTTTGGTAAACAAATCAAATTTTAAAATGGAAACAATTGTTGTTTTTAGGAAATTTTATGATGTGAATCCCGCAAAACATTACAACTTTTCCCTTTATCAGTATCAGTTTCACAAAACTAAGGGTTAATGCCTCATTAACGATAAAAAAAGGGTTAATGAGGCATTAACCCCCTTTTTTTTGTGAAACTGATACTGATAAAAGGAAAAGTTGTAATGTTTTGCGGGAAATTTTATGATACCATTGAAAAGTCAAGCTAACTTTTGAGCGTACAGTCGCGTCGTCGTTACTGTTTTACTGATGGTGGGAATTCAAAGCTTAAAAGGAGACATTTATTCAAAATGAATAATGTAACACAAACAAATACATAACTCCTACTGCCCTAAATATAGAAAAGAAAAAAAACTAAACGTTCAGCCCTCGGGTTTGAACCCTCGACCTCCCCGACTCTGATATGAGGCTGTTAGCCAGTCGGCCACGACGACCATTAGCCTTTCCGCCGAGAATGTACTAAAGAAGCTCGGGTTCCAAAAAAAGAAACGCTACGGCAAAGTCATTTAACACATTCGCGACGACGGCATTTTGGGCGTACAGTCGCGTAGACGCTAACTGTTTTACTGATAATTTAGCGAACATTCAAATATATACAGCGGGGACCCCGGATGTGGTTTATTCGGCACGATAAGCACAATTCGACACACACAATACTAGGCTATACCCTAACTTAACCCACGCCTACATTCTCCTTAATCCCTACTCTTATTGGACGATAGCTTGTTCTGGCGGCGAAGAGAAAGCAAAGATGTCTGGATAGGCTTCTTGCATTAAGCACCTGGGCCATGAAAGGGATCGAATCCGGGCCTCTAATTCCTGGAGATGGCTGGATGGCAGTCGCGTAGACGCTAACTGTTGTGAAAAACCCCTGTAAAAGTCAAATTTTCTAGCCGTTAGAATCGAACGCGTGACGTCCCCAATTAGGACATAAGACTCTTAACCACTCGGCCAAATAAACTAACTAAATAGTCATTTGATAGCCCTGGACCATGAATGGGATCGAACCTGGGCCTCTAATGCCAGAGACAGCCAGATTGGGGTTGCGCTACCGCTTCAAACATTCAAAGATAAACTAAACTATTATAGTCATTTGATAGCTCTGAATCTCCTCTTGTAAAATGGTAGGAAGTTAACGAAAACTTTTTGTGAAATAAAGAACAAATGTCCTTAAAAGCTTAGTGAACGGTGAATGTGTTAATGATGAAAGAAAAGAAATCACATAAATATACCTCTCAAATTCCCAACTGTTCCTTTTTTTTCAATCAAAAACCTTCCAGGATTTCCCACCTTTTTACAGAAAAAAAGGTTAACAAAAAGAGAAAAAAGAGAAAGAAAAAAAGAAAAAAAGATTGAAAGGGATTAATTGAATGAAAATCGGTTGAAGAGTTTGCGAGAATGATAAGAAATTAGGGAAAAAGATGAAATTTTAGATTTTGAGTACTCGATTCAATTCGAGATCAAGATTTTTGTGAAATATCTGATTTAGAGGAACATTTTAACAATGCAAAAGCATCAAAAGCATCAAAAGCATCAAAATGCAAAAGCAAAATTGCTAAACTTAATCCTGAATCTATTAGGTTGGCAACTTAATAATGACGCGCTTATGTAACAAATGATTTATTTAAAAAAAACACAAAAGAAGAGCTTTCAATTCGAAAGGTATTCTCCATTAGTATCTATGACTTCTTCCCATCTTCTGCGCAAATCCCGGATCCCATCCTCGAAGAACTTGAGAGTGCCAACCTAATACTCTCCGAACGAAAGCACTTCAAAAACTTTGAATCTTTTTCTAAAAAAAAACCAAAAAAAACGGTATTCTAGTCACCTATCCATCAATTTCATGAACGAATCTGTGAATCTCTCGAATTAATTCTGTCTTTTATTTCAAATTTTCAAGAGTTTTTCTGAATATTCTTGATAAATATTCAGAAAAAATCTCTAAAACAGTCAGAAAACTGAACGAAGTAGAAAACTAAGTAGAATGAAATGGCATAAGCTGCATAAGCGCACTCTTTTCCAATAAACAGTACCTTTAAGGTGTGCACAATTCATTTGAACTAAAATACTACAAATAAATGTGAATACTAGTATGAAATCTTATTCAGAATGAAAATTTTTCCTCAAATTTTTTCTTTTTCTCGCCAAAAGATCCACCAAATAGACAAGTCTAGGTTACGGTAACTGGGGCGCGTTTATATGAAAAATTGGGGGTGGGACAAATGCGACCTTTTTTTTTGCTGGAAAAGGCCTTAGGCAGCTTCGAAAATATTTCCATATAAGGGAATCGTATGCGTAGATTCCGAATTTCGACAAATCACACCTTGCTGACACGTCAAATTTGGGCTATAAGGCAAAAACTGCGGAAAAGCGTTAAGTTGCGTAGTTTTTGCCTTTTAGCCCAAATTTGACGTGTCAGCGAGGTCTGATTTGTCGAAATTCGGAATCTACGCATACGATTCCCTTCTATGAAAACATTTTTGAAGCTCTACGACCTTTCCTAAGGCCTTTTCCAGCAAAAAAAAGGTCGCATTCGTCCCACCCCCCGAAAAATTACAATTTCTTTCGCATTATTCCTTATTTTCTGCGCTTTCTTTTCTTTTTTTTCTTTTTTTTTACAACAAATCTAATTATAAATACTATTTGATGGGATTTTTCTTAAAAAAAG